GTGGGGGCCGGGCGGGCGGCGCGGGCCGGGGTCCGTCCGAGGGGAGGGGGCGCGGGGCCGGGGGCGCCGTCCCGCCGGTGGCGCTGCCCCGCTGCCCCCCCGCCGCCGCCCCGGCGGGACAGCGCTGCCCGCGCCCCTCCCGCGCCTTTGGCGAGCGGGCGGTGCAGGGGGAGGGGGCTGCCGGCGTTCTGGCTCTTTCTGCCGGAGCCGCCGCCGGTGCGCGGTGGTGGCGGCCCCCGGAGCCCCTCGCTGGCCAGGCGGTCCCAGCGGGGCGGCGGCGCGTTTGTGCGGAGGCAGCGCCAGGGATCCGCGGGGAGAAATGAGGGGTCGGGGCTGCGAGTTAAGACTGAGACCGCCGGCTTGTCCCTCCGCCCCACGGCGGGAAGGGTTCAGCCTGCCTCGTCTGCCAGCGTCATGCCCTATCCCAAGGGATGCAGCCACCTGAGAGACTGGAGATGCGCTGTGGAGACCAGCGATGACCCACGCGTTGCCACCTTGCAGGTGGTCTGATAGTGAGATAGAGTGAAGACAGAGTCGTGCTGCCGTTCTTGCCCGTGCCGTTCACCTTTTGGGTGAATGTAGGCTGGGTGTTTGTGTCTTGCCTGCGGACAGCCTGCGACAGTGCCCAGAGTGTCCCATCAGGATTCCCCCGCTGCTGGCATTCCCCTGTGACTCTGCTCCGTCACGGGTGTTTTAACCACCATGTTGGCTGGATCCGATCGGAGGATGATCAGATGACATGGTGGTTGGCATATCAGCATCTGTGGAATGGAACTGTTCCCCAGTGTTGTTACAGCTGGTAACACCTGGTGTGTCTGCAAGAGTCCTAATGGGAGGCTGAGAGGAAAATAACGGGGTAGTCAAGCTCGTCATCCATATCAGAGCTACTTTCTCCCGTGATACAGTGCCATGGTTATGAGCAGGCAGTCTGTGACCAGGAGGTTGGATTGATGTTTGTCATGATGATGTGATGTGATTTGACACTTCACATGCTGAGATTTGCTCTCTTCTTCCTCCAGGTCACTGAGGAGGATCCTTGTATTTATATATGCCTTTGCTGAACCTATCTAACAAAAATAACTGTATTTTTTTCCTTTAGGGTTTACTGCTTATTTAATGGATGATCTTGCTTTTAAAATATTACGTGGATATTAATGTATTGCTGTAGAGGTACAGTTCTGGCCTCATAAACAGAGACATAGTGTTCTGACTGTGCAGAAACCCTGAAGTGTGCAATGTTTGGATATGTACCATTTTGTTCTTTCCGCCTTCTCTACCCTCCACCTGAGTTCTGAAATAGTTTCATCTTTCATGTGACACTTATACATTAATTACGCTTCCTTCACACTGCCATGCGGAAGGATTTGTGCCACCTTTTGTCCCAGCACTGCCTATGGCATTTTCTTTTATTCCGCCTTCTCCGCTCCTCCATTCCTAATGCTTTTGGTCTGCTCCGTTTGAGCTTCTTTTTCATATGTAATCCTTGGCTGGTTTTTATTTTCATCCCTTTGTACTTTTCAAGACACTACATCTAGGTCTGCCATGTCCCTGTTGCCCTCTATTTTAAGATTTACTTGGCGTCTGGATTTCAGGTCTTTCCACCTCCTAATGTTCTTTTTCATGATACTCCAGGAAGAATATTCAGTTAATGCATATCCTGTGCATTCTAACCTGCTGAATGTATGTTGTTTACCAAGGCTACTCCCCTGACTAGTTCTTATGGCATTACCAAATGTCTTTGTTTCTACATAACTTCAAGATTCCCTCACCTGCAATTTTTGACTAATGGGCTCTGACAAGGATGTATTGATGTGCATACACCACTACCAGTCAAACTTTCAAACCCCAACTGTTGTTGTTATTGCTTCTGCCCTCACTGACTGACAGGCAAGAACCAGAGTGTCTTGGGAAGGACTCAAGTCACAAGTCATAATGAATCTCAGTTTACCAAGAACATCAGCAAAACACTACAAATGAGGAATCACACTGATTGGAACAGAAGATGTACTGAACTAAACATGACTCTGTGGCTACCCCACAGCTCTTGAGCAAGTTGTATGAACAACAGGTAAAACGGTGTAAATCTAGGAGGTTGACTGGAGAAACCTCCCTTTTTTGTGACCACATGCATCTTGTATCACATACCAGGCACATTGACAGTGACTTTGCAGCATGCCTGAGGTGTTCTGTTATATTCAAAGAAAATGAGTTCTTTTTCACCTTACTTAGCAGTAACTGATATTTAGTTGAGGTAAGTAGTGTCCTGGGAATGCCTGATGCCCACTTTGTTCTCCTTCAGGACAGTTGAGCAACCAGAGCCATCTTTGAAGACTCCTAATTGTTTCACTCTTGATTCTGCTAATGCTTCCAAGGGGACTAAAGAGTTTAGTGAGGTCTGTGTAGATCCTAGAGAGATACCCATTTGTTTTTTGTGATGACCCTATATCAGGGGCCATATACTTCCACAGGGTGACATCACTTTTGAAGTGTGTCTATGAGTACTCAGAAAATTGGGTCATTCACACGTTTCTGTAACTTGAAAGCTGGCAAAGATTTTGCTCTGGAACTTTCCTTCAGAAGATTCTTTGTGTTCTGGGAGGCTGTGCTGAAATGGACAGAATTCTGGGAAACAGAACTGAGAGATGAGGCTGAAACCTTTAGCCTAACACTAGTGTTAATATTTAGGCTTTATAAATAATTTTTCTGTTTTGGTATTTTGTCTGATACAATTGCGTGACAATCCTGATTAATAGAAATAAATAGATTTCCTTCTTTATTAAAAAAAATGGTGATTCTAGATACCCTATGCCCTTTATTGAAAGTTAGTAACTGTAGGGAGGCAGACAGTTCTCTGAAAAGCATCTAGATCTGAATTCTGACATCATCTTTTGCATTTTGTTAATCCATTTAATTTACACATATCTGACAATAAATCGTGGCAGCCACAGTAATCTGTGCATCTGGCTGTGAATTGTTCTTTGTTGGGTACTATGAAATGTGGTCTGGTTTTTTTGCAAATATACCTGGCTTTTTTTTTTCCCAGACAAGAGTAAGTAACATCACAAAATACATCTATGAAGTAATTTCTTTTTTAATCTAGAAACTAATCAAAAGTGTCTATCGTCTAGCAAGATGACCTGCAAATCTGGGACTAAAACTGAGATTAGTGGGCAGAAAGAATGAGATATGGGACGAGAAGGGGAAAACAATCTTGGACTGCTAAAGTCAACCTCTAATCTGGAGTGAAACACGTCCTGATCGGATGTTACTACCCCAGTGGTTTCAGGAGTGTATAGGAATATAGTTATGGCTGGTCTCACACAGGATAACTTCCTGGAAAGCATAGTTCATAGTTCAGGCCTATGTGGTGACCTGAAAGGCTCTGATCTTGCTCCCAGCTATACTGAGACAATCTTTGTCCATGTGACAAAATTTCTGTTTTCATTTGTTTGGCGAGGGGGGGAGGTCTTGATTGACTTTTGGTTATTCATTAATGTCACCTTAAAATAAATTTGTGAGGTAAAAGACTTAAAAGTGTTGAAATAATAAGATGCTTATGTGTTTTTAGTTTGTTACTTTTACATATGCATTATGACAGTGTCCCTAGTTGCATTTTTACTTCTTGTTTTTACAAAGACCGCAGCCTTATTCCGTCACATGATGGGCTTTCTCCTTGTGATGAAGCTGGGTAATATCGTGAGGGGGACTATTTTTGTAGAAGCTTCACTTGCTGCAGAAATTGGGTGGGTATGGTCAATACAGCAGGAAATGGGTGAAAGAATTACCCTGGTTGGGTGCTGCAAGATTGGTTTTCTTGTCATGCATTCAAGCAAACAATATCCTTAATTTGATGATTATTTGAGTGTTCCTATCTTGTGGATAATTGACTTGATATTGTGAAGCCTCATTTGTTGTATGGCTGACCACTCACAGAGTCTTCTCTTTTCTGGATGGGAAAGTCCAGTGTGTACTGTTACCTGTACTGGCAGAATGGCTCTCAGTATCTCGAGCTGAGCAACTCCCCTTTTAACTGCCTGTTACACAGTCTTGGTGCACATTTAACATGATGAAGAGTTCCCAGCCAGCTCTGCTTTCATGGAGGTTGTGTCTGCAGTCCAGCACAGCTGAGCAGCCCCTGCCACAGCCAATGCACTGTTTCTTGGCAGAGTTGGTTGATCTGAGCAGAGCAAAAGGAGTTGAGCATGTGTAGATGTCTCTACATGAGACTGTATTGTGCTCTATAGGCAATGTAAGGCATTGCAACTATGGTGGGTCATCACTTTTTTCCAATACTGAACAAGGATCCCCATTAGAAAGTAAACCCACTGTTACTTGTAAAACAACAAAAAAATGGTTTTAGTAAGGGTGTGCACCTCCTACTGCTCTTTGAAATCCCCTCATCTGCTTGATCAGACTTCCTAAGACACTTAAATAAACAGCACAGATCTTTTTATATCTTTAGTTCATTGCATAAAGTAAATGTATGGCCTACAGTAAATCACATAAGCTCTCGCTGTCTTAGTTTATATCTTTGCTTTGGCTGTAGAAATACTTACCTGTCTCACATGAACCTCCTGTGATCCAAAGACTCATTCATTATAAATGAATCTTGAGATGCTTGGAGTCATGGAAGAAGTGAAGGGTAGTAATTCATTTTTTTTTTTTTTAAATTTGCTAGCATGAAGTTTTGCCTAATACAGATGCAGGCATTCACTTCCATGTTTTCTCCTTGGCAATCTTGTTCATTTTATTCAGTCAAAATAGAAGGAGCAGAGAAACTTTTCTGTTTGTTAAGTTTAATTCTTAAATTTAAAAAAAATCAGAAATGGAAGAAACAAATATGACTCTGTCAAAGTCTGCAAAAAACCTAAATGAAAGTTTCTGTGTTTGTTTTTTTGTCTTTTATGTAGTTGCTTCCAAAATCCGTTACCTTCAGGAATACCACAACCGGGTTCTCCACAATATTTACCCTGTACCCTCTGGAACTGACATTGCAAATACTCTGAAATACTTTTCTCAGACGTTATTGAGGTAAGTTTTAACTAATGCTCTTGAAGAAAAAAGAGCTAAAGAATTGTAGGGGGTATTGATTGGCTTTGAATTTGTTGCAAGATTTAATGAGTCAATGCTCAGACAAAAAGAGTCAGAGCATAATTGAAGAAAAAAATGGTATAAATTAATCTTTTCAGTGGCTGTTGCCCAATTTGCCCAGTTAAGCCCCCTTATTGAGTGCCTGATTCTAAAATAAGCTTGGTTGATTATGCATTTGCTTGGCCCTCCTAAGACTTAGCTGAACACACAAACATGCTGAACTTGTGGAGAATGGAGTTTGTGACCTATGAAGTTTTAGATGGGTGTACTCATGGCCTCCTTGACAGTCCTCGTGCCCCAGAATCCTAGAGTGATGAGCCAGGCGAGCAGAACTAGGTTATTATTGTGCCATAGTTCAGCTGACTGTCAGGTTTGGGTTCTGGTTCAGTCCCTTAGAACAACAGGAATAGACACAAAGTTCGTTTACAGATCTGGATTTGGATGGCAACAACAGGTCAGGATTGTTCTGACCCAGGGTTTTGATTTATTCTAATATTTAGTAATAACATACAGTACTAAATACCATGTGATTACAGGATACATTACAAATAGGAATTACTACCTGTTACCTTGCTAAAAAAAAAAGGAAAAATTGTGAGACTTTATTAGGAATGACACACATTCCACAGTGCTTCCTAGTAGATTCATATTTTCAGATTGCTTTTAAAATGGCTTTTGACCATGAAGACGTGATTATTATCTGCCCAGATTTTGGCTGGCACTAGTTTTCACATCTAGAAAAATGCAGTTAAAACTGCATTTCTATGCATAGCTTCCTGATTTATACCTGGAAAGATTGTCCCTGGTAGTTTGGAAATAAAATGATTTGCCTTATTTGAGGAGGAAACATTAACAAAATACAATTTACCCATGCATTTGTACGTGTACCTCTATGATGTATACAAGTTGAGAAGCAAGAATTTAAACTTGAGAGAATGAGAAAAGTTCATTCTAAAAGTGAAAGAGCCTGAGATGCATCAAATTTCTTAACCCTGTTTATAAGAAGGAAAGACAGACAGAAATAATTTTCGGTGGAACATCTGTTTGCAGCAAACTTTAAAACCTCTCATTTACTTTTGAAATTTTCAAGAGCAGAATTGTTTAACCACTGAAATTTGTTTCCTTCCTCATTTAGAGTGTTGAAGAAACTTATGGCAACCAGGAGGACTTTTTTTTAAGCATTAATAAATTGAATTTTACCTTATTATGTTGCAGCAGTGGGAAAAAAGTGTTCAAAGAGCCACTAAAGATACCTCTGAAATGTGGCTCTGTTCCCACATCAGGCTGTTATGATGGATTATTTGCACAACACATACTTAAATCGTATTTAAGTAGGGTTATGTATGACAAAACAGCCTCTGCTTAAATACTGTGAGCCTTTAATCTGTTAAAGCAAGAAAGTTGGACTTGATTCTGAACATTTGCTCTTTTAGCTGGTCAGAAATTTACTGAGTCAGGATAGATTTAGAGTCTGCCACTTAAAGAAAGCATCTTTATACTACTCTGTTGTCTTCACCTTTCTAAGCAGTACAGTTGACATGTCCTGTGTGATAAATTCTTCACACTCCAGGAGCAGTGATGTTTCTGGGCTTACTGAAAAAGCTTTATACTTAGCACCTTTGAGAGCAGATCAGAAATCAGGGCAGCAACTGCACAACTGAGCAACTCCATTTTTTTATTTCATGTTCCGAATGGGACTGAACCAAAATCCTATTGTTGATAATGCTGAACCTCATGGGTTAGAAGTGATACTCGTATCTGATACCCAAGTCTACACAAGTGGCTTTGTCCTTCATGATCTGAGAGCTGATCAGCCTCAGAACTAAAAAGGCATGAGAAATTAAAGCTAAGACTTGAATCTAAATTTAAGTGGACTGATTTCTGATACTCAGCAAGGTCAAATTCACATTCTAAATCCCTGTAACTGGGGAGTTTGAACTGTGGGTCAAAGCCTGAGAGCTATGGCTGAACCAGTATAAGTTTATACACTTGCTGATACTAAGAAAGAAGCTGGATAAAAAAGCAAAACAACACACCCTGTATTTAGTGTGACAGATGGAAAGAAGGAAACTCCCACCCACTGCGTGCAGATCTCTGCGAGATTTACCCTAAAACTAAACAGACTGGTTAAGAACCTTTCTGAAGAGCATGTTCAGAAATTTCTTTGAATATTTTGCATGCCAAGTCTCCTTTATACCTCCTACACTGAGACTCCATTGTACAAGGTTTAACATCAATGATAGAAGTACATGGTGGAGAATAATCTTTCTAGCTTCACACCAAACAATGAATTTGGGCTGCTAAGAGAATGTTGATCAAACAGTAGCAAAAATGCCCATTGATTTCTGGAGGTTTTAGGTTGGTTGTCATCATCTAATATTTTAAAATAACTTTAAAAATGTTTCCCAGTTTATCAACTCTCCTTGCAGCTGATTTTTTTAGGACAAACAATTCTTGATGAACATATGTAGTCATAGAAATAATGGAGGAATAGTGATTAATCAGATTTTACTGTTTATTACAATTTTACCTTTCCATGTTATGGACACGTTGACTGTGTTCTTTTCAGTGGGACATGCCCACTGTTTTGAATGACATTGATATCTGGTGTCATTTTGCTAGCTAAAGATGGATTGCACAAGGGATTAATTTGCTCCTTTGCTCTGTATGCAGCCTTCATAAATTACAAGTTTGGGGGGGGGGACACAGATGTGAAATGGCTGAAAAAAAAATTCCTTATTTCTATGAACAAACATCACATAAAATCACCATACACAATGCATAGCACATTGATTCATTTAGTTCTTCTTTAGTTTTCTCTTTAGGAAAAGCATTTCTTTACATTACAGCATGAATTTGTTTCATGCCCTGCTCATTTTCAGTGTTTCCTCCCTCATTTGAGGAATGATCTAAGGCTTAATAAACATCCTGCGGAAGAACTTATTCTTTCACATTTTCCTGAAGAAAATTCTCCATATGTATTTCTAAATAAAACATTTTACATAAGAAATAGTTATAAATGCCTTGGTGGCTAACTAATGGTCAAGCTTGTTTTGCTGCCTTGGTAAGATTTAATTCTCTTGTAGGCATTCTAGGAAACCTTTCCAGGAGGGCAGTAATTTTGGGATAGGTTTTGCAGCAAAGATTTACACATCTTGAAACGAGCCTTGGTAGCTTTGTCCCTTGTCACAGAGCAAGTTCAGTATGGAGTAAGTTCAGTATGCAGTTATGATTTGCAAACATTCCAAATTCTCAGTACTTGGTTTGAATGAAAACAGAAGCAAAGTGCTGTTATTGTGTCTTGGTCTTAAGGGACTTCCTAGATTTTCAGTTTTGACACTTCTGTTTATTGCTTTTAAAAAATTTGGGTCAGGCGGGTCAGGCAAAAGCCTGTGTCTGAAATTTTTTTTTTTTTTAATAAATCTGGTGTGGTTCCAGCTGGAATTTAGTTCTGATCTTATTATTGTTGAACAGAAGGATGCCCTGCTCAAGATACAAGCGTGCTTTGGCTTCTGATCCATAGATGGGCCGTAGCTCCATGTAAAAAGGAAGGATTAATATTCTTTCTAGAAATAAGTGCACTTGAAGTGATGTTTTGGCAAGTAAAGAGATGGGTAATTGGTATCACCTGTTGGTAGACAAGAAAGGAATATAGTGTAATACCTTCATATCTCTAAACATGAGCTGCACATTATGGCAAATGAACATCAAGCAAATTAGAAGGAATCAGCACTCTGGTAATTGCTTTTTAAAGTCACACTAGGTCTTAGGTGATTTTCTGATACAATTTCATAAACGCTGCCATGACAGTCACCATGTTTCTTGTACTGGACGTTGGGTAACAGAACAAAAATAATCTGCCAAATATGTAAGGAACAATAAAAAAGGAAAAAAAAAAGTATGTAGTTTCTTAAAGCAGACTGAACCTGCCATCTCTGACTGCAAGTGTGATGTGATAGTAGCCACTTGGCGTAGAACTGTTTTTGTAAAGATGTTTTATATATATGGCAAATGAATGGCACCTTCTCTTGTAAGCACCTTAGCAGGAGTTTGGCTTATTTGTGTAAATTGTTAAATTGACTTGGAAGTAAGATGTATCTTTGCTAAGGTGATTATATGATGGGGATTTCTGTACTGTTAAAGAGAACAGAGGTTTCCAGAAGTGCTCCCTCTTGGCATAACTCTGCTCTTCACAGGTCAGTGGAAATTTTAATGTTACTGACTTGTCTTTTGTAAGCTTTAACAATGACTTTGGGAACAGAGTTAAACCAACAGCAACTGCTTTTGGAAATCCCAACCACTGAGAGGTGCAAAATGTGCTTAAAAAAAAAAAGGCGCATTGTGTGTGGTTTAACGTATTTAAAAGGTGTATTATATTTTATAGGCACATATGAAGATTATGAACTAACCCTATAATTACTTGATAACTAAACTATAACACTGCTTAAGTGACAATTTATTTCTATTTAAAATAGTGGGGTTTATTTTTTAAAAAAATTAATTAGATTAACATGTTTACAACCATGTTTGCAACATTCTTAAAATGACATAACAAGCTGGTTGACGTATAGCCTCTATTTTGATTCCCACTAAATCCTTTTTATTTTTTGAAATTATCTCTCCTTTAATTTATAGTGAGTTTTGTTGAATAATAACGTAAGTAACAGCAGGAATGTATGGTAACATACTGTCTGATCTGCAGTTACATAATTGATCTTGCTTGCTTAGCCCTTAGATTTCTGAAGGTAACTATTTACCTAAGGAGTGTTTGTATTCATAAAGTAAAATGTTTACTCCCTAAACATGGGTAAAATTAAAAACACACATAAACAACCATTATCATTAGCTCACAAACATATGCCAAAGACCATCTAGTATATATTATTTTATAACTTTTCCAAATGTAGTTTAGTTAACATTTTAGAAATATTATATTATTTCTAAATCCATGTGCCTGTTTAAACTTCATTATCTCAAATGATACTGAGTGAGTGGTCATGAAACAGTATCATAAAATACATACAGACATTATTTTAATGCAATAAACATGTGATTTTTTAAGACTATCTTAACAAACACACATGTTTATTCTTTGCTAAAACATGTTTCTGCAAGTGCCACACCTATATTTTGCATGTTTTCAGTCAGTTGGCTCAAAAGATTGTAGGGGGAAAAAAATAAATCTCTCAAAATCTTCAGAATCTCAGAGTGAAATACCAGCCTATTTTGACACAGCTATTTTTCCATAGCAAACAGTTTTAATTCTCAGAATTTTTCTTAACTGTGAAACATGGGTAGGGCACTGAAACATGCATTTTTATATTTTTGCTCCTTATGAACCAGATAACACATGAGATGCAATGAAATTTTCCTAGATGTCAATTTTTAATTCCCTTATCTTGAAGCATGAAAGTAAATGGTTGCTAGATTTGTAGATACACTGGTTTTGGTAGTGATTGCATCTTATGTGGGATGTATCTGGTCTTTTATTATTTGTTTTATAGTGTCATTTCAATGTAATGTGCTGTTCTTTGTGTCTTTGTTGTCTCTTTTTTTTCTTTGTCCCCCCAACAGCATTTTGTCCCGCACAGGGAAGAAGGAGAATCAAGATGCCTCCAATTTGACAGTGCCCATGACCATGTGTCTTTTTCCTGTGCCATTCCCACTCACCCCATCTCTAAGACCACAGGTCAGTTCCATCAACCCTACTGTTACTCGCTCCCTCCTTTACAGCGTCCTGCGAGATGCTCCATCTGAACGTGGCCAGCAAAGTCGCGATGCTCAGTTATCAGACTACCCATCTTTGGACTATCAAGGACTTTACGTGACACTGGTGACACTGCTGGATCTAGTTCCCTTGCTACAACATGGTCAACATGGTAAGCAGGCCCTTGAACCCTTCCAGTATGCTTAACTTCAGTGCTGTGAATCCATGAGTGATGATATGCAGTAGAAGAGATGGGCCTAAGCTGACCTGGATCTGGAATTCAAATCTTCTGGGATGTGTTTATATCCAAGTGTTTGGTTTGACTTTCTTAAATAAAAGACTTTTTTTGCTAACTGTGGATTTGAGTTTGAATTCTGAGGTTGTCTGATTTTTAGTGATATGCTGGTGGTATGTAACTAAAATACAATGGTCTGTAACAAAAATTAGACAGATGGGTCTAAAAATATCCAGATTTTGGACTTGAATCTGCTGGGATAACTTCAGACTGTCTTTTTGGGGTGAATCTCTTAAAAAGGCACAAAGAGCTTGCCAATGTGTATCTGGCCTATAAGAAATATACAGATTGAGCGTTTTGGTGAAGGTCCATCTCTAAGCAGAATATAGTATATATCTAACTGAAGAAAAAACATGGTAATTGTGCTTTGAGATGGCTTTAAAATATTCCTATGTAAAAGGATGGCAACATTTTTGTCTGACTCACAGAAAAGCAATATTGTCTCACATTTTGAATTAGTTATTTGCAAGCTTTTTTCGTGACTGTGTTGTATTTGTACTGTTTTCCCTCAAGTTCTTCATCTGTCTGCTTCTTAATCTTTAGGCTTTCCATACTGGGATTCAGTAGCCCAGTGTTCTCCCTTTGTTACATTAGCCAAATGTTAATTTTCGCTGTGGTATCAGGAACTATTAATTACATAGTTCAGTATAGGAAGATTATTGTCAATCTGATAACACTGCTGAAATTCTTTAGGAGAAAAGTTGTGTCTGTTAAATGCTGAATTCCTTTTGAGCTGGCAACAGCATGTTTGAATCAAAGAGCACTGCAGTATGAAGAAGTATGATCTTGCAAAAGTGAGGCTTCCAGCAAGTTGTCGATTTGTTGACTTACCTTCAATTTCTAGAAATTTTGGAGTTAATTGTCAGAACAATCTTTTCCTGAGTAGATAACATGGTGATAATTAACAATCAATGGAGACCTGTAAAGAAAAAATAACACTGAGCAAACACAATGTCTCTCCTTGCATGGTTTTCCTCTCCTTAGGTTATGTTGCTGTGTCACTTGACATCCTAATGGGCAATCTGGGACATGGTCCCACCAGAGTAAGGAAGACACTCTGGGAGTAATTACCAGTGGCTCAGCAGCTGGAAGGGGATACCAGTGGGAAATCTTACGAGAGTCTGTGCTGGGTCTAGTATTATTAAATATTTTAATTTTTTTTACTTAGCTTATAGAATTGAGAGAGCGCTTTGATTTGCAGGTGTTATCAAGATGGCCTTGATGTGAAAGATATGTCATCATTCAGAGTAATTGTAGCAAATTGCATTCTGTTTTGAAACATCTTCAAAGGAAAAATATAAAATACTATGTTTAAGTGGGAGAAATCAAAGGAAATGGGGAAAATAGTAGCTTGCAGCTGTACTGCAGAAAGATCTGGTGTTCACAGTAGAACAGAGCAGACCATAACTCACCAATATATTAATATTATTCTAGCAGTAAGTAAACAATTTTTTTGTGTATGAGACACCAAAGCATTATGCTTATTATTCTAACAGCCCTACCATGGCCTCAGCTGGAGTAAAATTTTCAGATTTGTCCACCTGACTTCAAGAAAAACATGGAGTATTTGAGATGAGTCCAGGAAAAAGAAACAAGAATGAATTGAGGTTTAGGAAATGTGAACAGTGGGGAAAAAACAGAAAGAACTTAGTATGTCTAGCTTAGAGAAAAATGGAAGGAAGATATGATTATCATATGCAAATATGTAAATGTTACTGTGAGGAGAAATGAACTAAACCAGTCTATTTGTGGTTACAGTTAATTAGGATAAGAAATGTCAGCAAGCAAAATTTTTTTTAAAAAGAAGGTCTTTTTATGATAAAAATAATTATGATGAATTGACAGGAGAAGGAGTGAACTGTCTTGCAGATTTTTAAGAACATATTAGATAAATATCTGCCAGGAATAATTTGGTTGACTCATGCTTGGGGCAAGGGGAGGTCACTTACTATTTTTATGAATTTGTGTGTGGAGAATTACATTTTGCAATACAACTTGTTATTTATTTCTTCCTCAGCCTAGTATTTGACTAAAAGAAATATATATTTTTTTTTATCAGAACAATCAATGTTGTTTGGGTAAGTACAACTGCTGTGCTAGGCAATCCTGAGTTTCGGCCCAATCAGATTATAAAAGACTCTGTATTTAGCTGAGAAATATGAATTGCAAGAGAGAAGCACTCTCTAGCACTAGAGGTCTAGTCAGACCCTTGCACAGAAGACTTGCCAGAACCACTGAAATGGAGAGCCAGTTTTTAATCTTACTATGACCCGGGATGTTTACAGCTACAGATGTCTCTGTTACAGAGACAGTTTTACATTGCACTAATTTTACAGGTGAGACTGAAGGCCTGTATAATGTACTTAAGGCTGGGGAGTAAGTAACAAAAGGAGAAAGGCCTTCTGATGTATTTGGATCATCATACAGGTTGAAACTTGGGGTTCATCGAGTGCTGTAACCTTTGTCAGAGGGTTACAGGCACCAGCTTAATTCCTCATTTGGGAGAGAGTGTAAAGATTCCACATGATGGCACAGATACATAATAAATTGTCCCTTCCCTTTGGATCTTGAAATGTTGTGCAGTTATTAAGTATCCTTTCCAAAGACTTATACTATGATAATTAGAATAAGTATAGAAATTCTTGATAAATACTCTTTTTCTTTTAAGCCTTGGCCGTTTTTGACCTCAAAGGCTTCCCAGGAAATCAAGATCTGTAGTTTAATCATGTGTGGTTTGAAAAAATGCAGTGATGCTTCCTGTAGTCAATATGTGTGGGGTACTTTGCAGCACTCTTGATGGTAATTAAGATAAAACCCTTATTATAATATGACTGATAAAGACTAGAATGCTTTTTGCAAAAGCTGGCCTTTCAATACAACATGAATTTCAAATTCCGATTCTAGTAACATCTCTGCTTAAATACAAGCCATTGTATGTTAATCACTCTATGATTAAAGTCAGTATTGTTTTAAAACTATTATTTTATCGGTTGTAGTATTCATATTCCCTTCAGACTCTTCTGATTAGTGTTCAACAGCTGTTTCCCTCAACTTAAGAGGGGCTTAAAAATTATGAGTGAAGTCACTTGCCTATGGTGATTAGCTTCCCAAATTATTTTGAGATGAAAGCTTGAATTTAAATGTAATTTATTTTTATAGATTTGTAAACAAAAAAGTACATAGTCATAATTACTTTTTCATTGTAATGATTCTGTATTTTTTTCATTTTATTCAACAGATCTTGGGCAATCAATTTTTTACACTACTACATGCTTACTTCCTTTTCTCAGTGATGATATTTTGAGTACTTTACCCTATACAATGATTTCAACACTAGCTACCTTTCCTCCATTTCTGCACAAGGATATTATAGAGTATCTCAGCACCTCTTTTCTACCTATGGCTATATGTAAGTAGAACAAATAGTATTGTTTTGTCTTGGTGCATAATAGTATCAGACTGTAGGAGTCAAAGCTGGGTCTGTCATAATATTGTAATGGGACATCAATCTACTGTATATATGCAAAATAATTTCATGTGACTACTTTTCAAAGGGAAATAATTCCATAATTTGTATTTATTTGTTATGCTATGCTTTTGTGTGAATTCTTCCTTCATTTACGGGGTGAAGTTCACCTTATTTAAGAAATACCAGGTTTTCAGACTCGTAGAACTTCTGATGCCAACAGTGGGAGTTTTGAATACAGAATCAATGGGCAAACTGCTCCTGAAATTAATAGATGCAATAGCAACATGCGTAACTTTTGCATCTGGACTATATCTGGATGTACAAGTATGATTCTTCTCAATGTAATGATGTTTGTGATGAATTTCTGATTTTTCTTTGTCTTTTCTACACTTTCTTTCTTAAGTTCTGTACTAAATAGCTGTGCCTGTGTCTCCTATCCACAAGTGTTAAGATTGAATTTGATGGTGCCTGCTTTTTTTCCTCTTTCGTTTTTCTTCCCCTCCCTGATTACTTAATTACATAGTCCTTGGACAGTGTGGATCCTGAGGTGTGTTTTGGGCAGTCATCCATGTACCTGATAAAAAGCTTGATGGAATTTCAGTAGTAACAAGAAACGTAACCATATTCTGCAGATGGAAGCGTTAGGGTCAATATTAAGTCAGTTTTAACCAAAAGGCCTTTTACTGTGTGGGATCAAACACTGGAACAGTTTGCTAGAGTAGTTGCAGATTCTCCATCCTGGTACATGCTCAAAGCACAACTGGTCCTGAGTACCTGCTTTAGTTACTTTTCTTTGAGCAGAGGGGTCAGACAAGATGATCTCCAGGGGTCCCTTTTAACATGAACTGTTCTGTGAGTCTGTGAGAATGTCTCCTACTTACTCTGTATTCCAGACCTTTATGGAAAAACATGAAAAACTTTTGTATAGAGATCAACACTGACGTCATTTAAGCATGTAGAAGATGCTGAAGGAAGCATGGTGCAGTGTTGAGATTTAGATTTTATGTAAACTTATCACGTATGTTTTCTGACTCGACCAGTCAATGATCTTGGAAAAAATCCCTTACGTCTCCTGTACCTCAGTTTTCCCATATAAAATAGTAATTGTAATTAGACACCGTATTGAGGTTTTCTCTGTTACCTTTGACAGGTCTAATGACAGTATGCGATATAAGTCATATATATGTGCAATATAGCTCCTCTTTGGGTTAAGATCATAATGCTGCATTAAACAACTCTTTTTTCCATTAGTGCTATCTGTTAAAGAGCAGCTGGAGTTGGTGACTTATCCTGTCTGTCCTCAGATCTGTAGAACTATTCCTCAAAATAACTGGTTGAGCCAAATGCTTGGTTTACTTAAATAGATACTGTTCCCGAACTGCCCTTGACAGAGATTGCATTCGTGCATTTGCATTTGTCATGCTGCCTTTCTTCTCAAACAGTTTTGGTGAGATCTCTGTATGTAACCAGTCTGCTGCATTTTAAATTTGGCTTCTAGTAGTGTCCTACTTTTTTTGCTGATGGCCACATTTTAATTGCCCAGTTGGAGCCGCTGAGTATTTTTCAATTTAAATCCATACAAGTAGACCTTGCTGTAATAATTTGGGGGGCTCTTATTTGTGTGGATGAGATTCAAAAACAAATGAGTGAAGTGCAGAGAAGAGAGCCATAGTACTGCTGGATCATGTGGAGAACAGAGAGAAATTCTCCATTTTCCCTTCCCTTCTTTTTTTCTGGTTGAGTGCTCTTTTAATTGGTGTCCTGGTCTTTCCCCACTGAGAATTGTATGCTCCTTTACAAGGCGAGTGCAGAACCTCTCCTTCCTCTAGTGTTCAACTGTAATTTAAACTGAAAGGGAGGATTCAAGAGATTGTGTAAGCAGTTGGAGAGCCAGATGGGAGGGATGAAAACAGCTCACTGAGCTGGTAGCTACAGTTCTGTGCTTCTATCCCAAATGCTTGGTATTTGGGTCCTGGCAACCAGGCTTGGGAAAGTACTGTGAGGATGGAAAGATATATGCCACATCTCTGTGTAGGAGGTTGCCTTCAGAGCCGTATTGCCCTGTAATAGTTCAGCAAATAAACACCTACACTCTGCAGGGTTTTTCCAAGTATACCATTTAATAGTAGCCCACTTCATAGGAAACCAGAAGGAACTCCGGCCACTTTTTGGGTGAGGTCAAAATTACAATGTAGCTTAGCTACAGTGCTACTGTTTATCATTATCTTAGCACAGTTCACATAACGGTGGGGACTAATGTTTCTGGTATGTAGCTGTAACTTGAGCTCATACCCTGTGCTCCTGGAGAAGTGCTCTGCCATACACCTGCAGCTATCAGCAGCCCCAACCCTTTGTCAGGATGCCTCAACAGCAGGCTTTCCATTTTTTCTTGATTCTTTACCCTCCAGTTCCTTTTCACCCTTCCTACAATCCAAGGCTTAGGTGGACTTGGCTATATAAGTAATGTTATTTTGATCAATCTGTGGGTTCTGAAGGAGAGTGCCTGAGAAGATAACTGTCTGGTTAATGTAGCTCTGGGAATGAAATCTTACTGATCTGGAAAACCAGGTGTGCACTCTGTGAATCAATATCTAGTCATCTTTCTCTTTCACCAGAAAAGATGGAGTACAGAAAGTTTCTAGTTTTTTTAGGTTTTTTGTTTGTTTTGTTTTGGTTTTGTTTGTTTGTTTTAGGTTTTTTCTTTTTTTTTTCTTTCTCTTTTTCTTTATTTCTTTTGTTTTCTTTTCATGACATGGTACCTTAGGAATTTTATTTGCATGTATTGAAAACAGTTACATGCTATTGTCACCTATGACAGTAGAAAATTTATATATTTTTTGCCCTTTCTTTTAAGTGGGATCCTCAAAAAGAGAAGGTGTTCCAGCACATGTCAATCTGTCTGCATCATCAATGCTAATGATTGCAATGCAGTACACATCAAACCCAGGTATGTGTAAACATGAAACACGGTATCATTCTTTCTAAAACTATCAATCAGGAAGAATTGTCAAATGCAATCAGAAAAGTTTAGATGATGGGAAAAATCTGTGTCATTATCCAGCACAGGATGAACAGTAATTGATTTTAGTCAAAACTGGAATTTCTGAACATTGTGCTGGAAGTAATCATTATGTGGATAAGAGATCTCATTGTGATGAAGAAATAGGATTTTGCTCAGGATTGGAGATTCTGGTCTACTCTTGTTTGACATCAGAAAATAATGTTAATATATATGACATCAGTATTGGAGAGAAATACCACTTACCTTGACTATAGGAACTCATAGTAACAGTTTGTCTTATACTGTGATTCATCTACCATCAAGTTCACAACTGGTACTATCTGTTAAAGAAAACAGGTAATGCTGGCTGCAGGCTCAATGGAACAATAATGAATTTAAGTGTAATCATGAGTATCTAAACACAAGTCCAAGGCCATTCTCTCTCACGGTGACACAGTCCCAGTTAAATCAGTGGGATCACATAAACAAATTGAAACAAAAATTTAACCCGAAGGAGCTGTTACATTACATGATAGTTAACTATCTCCTGTTTTATATAGATGGGTTGATGGTGTGTATGTGAGGTGTCACATCATGACATGTACTTCACACAGGTAAATAAAAGCAGCACACCATTCTTAAAAACTACTTTCAGAAGTCAGTTTTTTTCATGAAATGTTCTATTTTTGTTTGTAAATTCCGTGTTCAAACCATCTGAGAAAAACGTTGCCCTGTGGTTTTTGGGAAATCAAACATGTAAAGTAGTTCATTTGTTTGTTTGGTGCAGAGTGGCTCCTGTAGCCTTTGGTATTCGTGGGAATAATGTATTGTTACATGTGACTCCCATTGTTGCCTCAAGATGAATGCAAAGACACCCATTTACATTGTGGCAGAGGGATAAAATTTAAATGAATCATCTGGTATTCTTCAACTAGATGTGTTTAAAAAAGATCTCCATTGCTGTACAAAAAGCTGTACACTCATGATAATCACCTTACTGCATTCCTTAACAGAAACAAGTTACCAATATTAAATTTCTAATATTTTATGATGACTCTCAGGGCAATGATTCTTTAGCACTTTAAAATAAAAAATAATTGGATAGAGTTTTGGATGGACAAAGCAAAGCCAATCAGCTAATGAAATAATTTCTGTAACCTGAGTTTCCATTTCCATATTAAGACTATACTGTCTCTTTTCTCTCAGTGTATCACTGCCAATTGTTGGAATGTCTCATGAAATATAAGCAAGAAGTATGGAAAGTAAGTTTATGATCATATATACTTTGTGGAAATGACTGCATTTGGGTAGCCATGAAAACCAGATGGCTTGAAAATTGAACTGACTGTATGCGAAGAAATTATAAATGATCTTTATATCCAGTCATCCCTCTGGATTATGGAGAGGAAGGTCCCTCTAATTTCTAGTTACTGTCTAGAGACAATTCCATGTTTTGTGGAACAGAGCTCTGTTTCCTAAATACCATGTGGTCGTGGCTCCAATTAGCACAAATTTTAGTAACTAGCAGTCTTCTCAGTTCACGTGGGACTGGATTTTTAAGAGAAGTATTTGTGAGTATTGTCATCATCTGAATCTGCTCTGGATTCAGTTCTTTATCTATATAGCACCTCTTTGCTCCATGGCTATATAGGGGGTTATATAGCCTATATTTTGCTATAGTTAGTACACTGCAGGGTGGGTGGTAGCTGTTGCATGCTCTGATCAAAGTCAGAAGAGCTGAAGTTAGTCATCTAATCTGTCTGTAAGAGCTGCAAAGGAAGTTTGGTAGGGCATGAAATGTATTAATTTTGTGTGTTCAGATGTCTTTGAAAACAAGGACTATTTTGAATTGTGGTTTGTTACCTTGCAAAAATAAACTTTGTACATGTCTTTCCTTAGGATTTGCTATATGTGATAGCCTATGGACCATCTCAAGTTAAACCTCCAGCAGTACAAATGTTATTTCACTATTGGCCCAATTTAAAACCCCCTGGGGCAATCAGTGAGTACAGAGGACTGCAGTACACAGGTCAGTGCAGGTGGTTTTGTATAGGCCAAAAGAAATAAATGATCAGAAGTATGTTAAAGTCACATATTTACAGTTCTATGATGTATTTTGAATTTTTTTGTTTGATAAGTTGTACTTTCATAAGTATTGAATATCTGTTTATCTGCATTTTCAAAAGATGTTATGAAAAATAAAAACTCAGATCGTGGCTAGTAAATACGTTGTCTTATTCCCAGTATTAACTAAACCAGAACAGGAGAAGGAATAGGAAATACTCTGTTTGTTCCAAGTGGTCTGTGAAGCTGCTGCCTTGGCCTTACAATGGTTCTGGTTTATGTTCCTTTCAATTATTGCTTTGTTTGCTTTTGTTCTGCCAGCTGCTAACACTGCTGCTGTTGCTAAGAGTCCTTATCTGGCTGTTACTGTCAAAAAAAGTCAGGTGATGTCAGGTGCAGTCAGTATAATGGATATGTTCTCAAGGTTGATTATAGGATGAAAATGAGAGACAAACTCAGCAATGCAGCTGGAGCTGAGTAGGTGGATGGTACAAAGTCTACTGTCTACCAAACTCCCAGTGGTACTGATGGGACAGTGCTACTACAGGGAAGACTGTCCACTCATGACTTGCTTTTGCCTGCGTGTCTGTCTCAACCTCTGTAATATGGCATATGTTTTTTTCACTTTTAAAATTTCTGGACCAAAATGTGTCATTTTAAATTATAAAAATGAAGGGTTGGAAGAAACCTTAGAAGACCCCCTAGACCAACTCAAGTGCATCCTGAATGTTCCTGATAGAAGTTTGTCTGATCTGTTCTAAAGCTTTCCATTGAAGGGTTGATAGGTTTTCGTGACTTTTTTTAAAAAAAATCTTCATGTACTGCTCTGCATCACTTCTATGCAAGCAGGTGTGTAAACTAAGCATGATATTCCATCTGAACTGTTACTAACACTGGATAGACTGGATTTTTTTTAATATGTATAAGTTTTTCGTTAATATATCCCAGAATGGGATGAGTATTATCTGCAGTTGCATAGCATTTTGACGTGGGGGCAACCTGTAGAGAGCATCCAAATGTTGCCACTTGAGCATTCCTTTGTTATTTACTTCTTGTTGTTACAAAACTAAGGCTCCTTCTGTCACTGGACTAGTTTTCCTTTGTTATAGTTGTGTTTTTGTTTTGCCTGGGATGTTACTGAATTTACTCAGCTACTCCTACCATCCTGCTCCTGGAGTGGAAGGATATTTAATTAATCAAGGTGTCAGTGAGATGAAGAAGGGTCTGCAACAGGAATCTCCATGTCTTACTTTTTCCATTTCTTCGCTGAGTCCATGGTTCATTTCATTGTATCATAAGTAAGTCAGTAGGCATGTATGTTCAAGTTGTTTATTGTAATTATTAAGCCTCCTGAGGAATGGCTATTTGTGTAGTACTCATGTTGTATAGTACTTACTACAAGAGGATCTTGTTCTCAATTGATATCACTAGACACAAAGAATATAAATATCTCTTCTCCATTTATTAATCAGCTGTGTTTTGGTTTTGCAGCCTGGAATCCTATTCATTGCCAGCACATTGAATGCCATAATGCAATTAACAAACCAGCTGTGAAGGTACTGCTGTTATTTCAGGGGTCAAACCCAACTATCTGGGGGATGGGAGGTTGCACTTTTACCCCAGCCATATGCTGTGGTTTTGTGCAGGTGACCAAGAGCAGGAGCTAAGGGAACAGCAAAGCCTGTTGAGACCACGGGTGTCAGACCTTTGTGAATATGTTCTTTGACTGCTTAAAGCAAGATGAGATATTCACTGCAACTACCATGGGCCAGATCTTGAAATTAAACATGGGGATGGTTGTAGAACACTTTATAAAATTCTAAACTGGCTCCTGGCTAATCCCTGTAAATATTTTCCTGAACATGTATATGTGTATAAATACGTGCACAAATATTACTGTATACAGGAAACATTATTTCAATTGCATAAGTACATGTTCACCTTGGTATCTTGGCTGAGGTCATACAATGCACCTACTCTGATTGTGATCCTTTGCTTGAAATGTGTCCTAAAGCAAATGGCAAAAAAGCTTTACTTACCTCTTCTGCAGCCCTGTTGAAGGAGGTAAATTGTATCTTCACACACAGAGTAAAAATGCAAAAACGTTTGACACAATTTGATGGCAGCGGCAAGAATACATCCCGAGTCCAGAGCATATTACAGTTAGGTGTACTAATTAATTGATTTGTATCTAGTTAAATATGTAGACACAACCAATTTTTCTAGCATCAATTCATATACTAACATAATTTCTTTAGTCAAACAGTTCTTCAGTGAGCCTTTTCTGCAGGTTCTGTTACTGACAGGGCATAATGGTGGTACCTATCTCAAAAGTCCTGGAAGAGACCACCTTCCTGTCTATTCCAATCATTCTCAATGATCCCTCATTTATAGGAAAAATGCTGAAAGGTGTTGCTTCATGTTGAAGTGATCGCTAGATTCAGACTAATAACTCAATAAAGCAAGATGTCAAAAAAGTACAGTTCCAAGCTTTGCAGATGAAATACTTGAATATTTTTGAACGATCTCTTATCTTCATTTTGACAGAACCAGTCTTGATCAGTCGCCACTCAGAAAAATGCAGCCTGTTTTGTCTTGTAGAGATGAATGTAAATTTGGTTAACAAAAATGAGAAACATTCAAGGACACATTTGTCTTTGTAAATTAGGTCTTGCACTTGAATGGATTAAGAAACATTTTGATTAAAGTGGTTAAGATATTGTGTATGCATACTACTGTTCAATGTTTCCTTAGTAGTACAGAACACTTTGACAAATATGTATGTAACTGGCTATTAACTGTAACTGTTTTCTGTAACTGACTAATGTGAAAGAATAAAAGCTAATGCAAGACAAAGTCTGGACCTATGTTACCAAGGGAACTGTGAGTCTTTGTTCTGTCACTGCAGTTGTGCTGTGTGTTAACAACTGTGATGACTGAAAATTAGATTTTGCTGGAAGAGGTGTTACTGAGAGAGAAAAATCTAGACTTTTACATTACCTTCTCCTAAACAATGGAACCTCTAAGTGACTATGTCTTTGGGTGGAAAAAAATAAATTAGAAGTCTATAGTGAATATGCAATGTGAATATGTAACACAATGTACCTGTCTTTCAGACAGTGATAATACTGATACTGAAGGATGTCCTATTTCTTATAGGCTCTTATTTTTCACGTATATCCTTCTCTTTTTTAGAAATAATTTGAGATCTTGTGTGCCACATCCTGAGTACCCTCTTTCAGAAAGTTGCTGTCAACACATATCAGAGCTGTGTTACATTGTATGTCCTAGCATTAATGTGTTGAACTTTTTCAGTGGGTTTCAGTGAACAGGTGTCTTAATTCTTTTCCTTCTCTGTTTTTCAGATGTGCATTGACCCATCCTTGTCTGTGGCTTTGGGTGATAAGCCACCTCCCCTATATCTCTGTGAAGAATGCAGCCAGAGAATTGCAGGGTAGGTAAGCTAAGAGCTGTAAAGTGATCAAATATCATCAGACTCCAGAGTTCAGAACTCTGGAGTTTTGCCTAATTTTCTTATGATTAGCATATACTTTATATAGATAAACCTGATGAAATATATGGAGCATGCTGCCATTTGTTATGAATAAGGATTGCAGAAATTTGTCTCGCATGATCAGCATTTGCACCTAGCTTAAACAGAAGGGAATTTTGAAGTTGAGATCTCTGAATGGATACTGTGGGATGCATTGACTATAACAGGGGAACCTCATTATTGTACAAGCTTCTGCTTATGAAATGTCTTTTGTCCTCATCCATTAGTTGCCATTAAAAGCAAAACGTTACAGTGAAGGCTCTTTCACAGAGACTTCATTGGTTTTCTGTAGCATGTATTTGGGGTTATTCTCTAAGGTATACTGTGAGGCAGCAGAGATCAAAGAAATTGATCCAGGATTGGCTGGTACTTGAAAGAAATATGGCCTGAGATGAATTAACCTCACTTGGGTTTTTGGTTTGATTTTTCTTTTTTTCCTTTAAATTGCTAATATGGTTTGCATTAGTTTATAAAATCTACTAATACTTACAGGGAATGCAAATCATTAGTTGAAATGGGCAAGATTACAGGTGATTCAGAACCTACATGAGTGTTTTTCTCCCCAGTTTAAGACGACTTTATATCACACCAGCTGTGGGAAAAGCAATTACATCTCACCTTAGGTTTTAAGGCATCATTGATTTAAAGCTGCAGGAAAAAGTAGCTGGATTCTGTAGAAGCATAGCTTCTATGGACACTCACAGAAAATAGTACTGGTAGTTTGGTTTTTTCCTATGTTCATCTGTTATTCTTCACTATCATTTCTTAACTGTCAGGCTTTCAGAGCACACACTATTTTAATTTGATAAATTTATGCCTCAAAAGTAATTTTGGAAAGCCTTGAACATGGTGACCAACATCAGCAAAGTGGTAATTTAATAAGACAGGCACAACAAAGAGACGTAATGTAAAGCAGCCTGCAGTTTATAGAACTACATTTGAAAAAAGTAGCTTCAGAATAACGTCAGTGCTACCACATTATCTCAGTTTCCTCTGTGCAAAAAATAAATGCATAGATAAACAAAAAATGGAAAGCTAATTATATCTATAATATTTATAGGGATCACAGTGAGTGGTTGATTGATGTTCTTCTGCCACAAGGTAAGAGGTATTTTAAGGGTAGGTACAAACTAGTCATAATTGTACAAACCTATGGTTCTGATATTTCTGCATACTGTATTACTTGCAATGCTGCATTCTGTTCAAAAGAGGGTTTTTTTAGAATTTTAAAGTAGTTTGTACTTAATGCTGCTGAATGACCTTGAAGTACTATGAAAAATTGACTAATCCTCTATCTGAAAATTGATACAACTCTTTATGTGTGAGGAAACAGAGACAACTGACAATTTTGAAATCTTGAAGTATTCACAGTTGGGACCAAGTTCTTAAAAAGTATTTGTGTCCCACACCAGTGTCCAAACAGGGGAGCTGGTTCTTCCAGTAACCTGGGTCTGATTCGAAAGCTCTTAAAGCTTGCGAAAATCTGTAATATGAGCCTGCAAAGGATATTGGAAAAAAACATAAAAATATAAAACATAAAAAACATAAAATATTTTTCCATGATCCAGTCATTGATCCGATCATTGTCCTTTGGCCAGTGATATTTTATTATCTACTAGAATGCAGACAAAGCTTGTTGACAGACTAATCAGCATGTTATCTAAAATAACCCTTTCAGGGACACAAGGAAGACACCACCTCTCTCTTTGCTCTGCAAACTGAAAATTCGTAAGCAGTTGAGATTTTTTTGCTGTCTGCTTTTAGTTGAAATGTTACCCAGATTAAGAATGTTTTATTTACTTAAGGGAAGTACTTCCTTTTAATCAGCCACTTAAATTTACTGAATCATATGTTGCCAGGACAACAGATGGAATAGCTACTGCTTACAGGTTCAATCTGCAAACATTTCACATGAAATTATAGGCCACAGACGTAGTAGCTACTTCATCCATATTCACTACTCTTTTATCCCATTAACTTTCACAAGCAGTGTAGGCACATCTAAGCTATGTTACTTACAGCATGCCACAGTAGTGTGCCTACGAGGTGTACTTCTACAAGTCTGTCCAGGAGGCAGAAGCATAGGCAGAAGGTGGATGGGTAGGAGAGCACACCACACTTAATGCACAAATGCTGTTATTGCATTTCAATGTGGAAATAGCCATAGGCTTAAGTATAGTGTCCTACCTTATGCTGTCCAACTGGCTTAGAGGTTTTGACAGTATCTGGAAACCCAAGTTTAGCCTTAGAGATTTCCTTGCAGGAAGTCCTTTTTCCCATGGCTGCCATAATAAAACAGAAAGATCGTCATTTTGTGTTCATGTTTTGTATGCCTTCCCCTTACAGCTGAAATTTCTGCTATATGTCAGAAGAAGGTAAGATTCAGCCATTCGTGTGATGAGGCATGATTTGATGTTGTGTGTAGTGTCATTCCATTACTATGTAGTGTGCACTTCTTTGTATCATTCCAAAATTTCACAATTTATCCATGAATGCATTTGTTGATGGATGAGAATGATTCAGCAGCAAGGTTTCTTTTTGTTAAAACTGACAGTGTTTGATTTGAGTTGTAGATTTTAGTTGAAGTGTCAATTAGTAAAGCAATTCAATTATGCAATTGAGCTCATTTTGTATTCTATAACTCTGCCTATGAAGAGGGTAGAGGAAGAGGTGGATTAATCCTAAATTGGACAAAAATCGTACTCTACAATGTATATTTTTAAAAGTCTTCAGTGCTTGGCTCTGAAAAGATTGCTGACAAAAAGAATCTGCTTGCAATACATACTAGCTAGTGTGTTTTAATAACACTTTAACAGCCAGGGATACAGTGCATAGCATATTCTAGTTCTCATATGGTAATGAAAGCTTTTATGTTGGGCTGGATTACTAGGTGGCAAAAATAAAGATAGCACCTATTTCAGAGCCTTGGTCAGTTACCTGTGATAAGGTAGATCCTTACATAGCATAAACTGTGTCATGGTGGCACCATTTTTTTGCAATCCTAAGGATCTGCCTGTTGCTACTTGTAATTTAAAAAGACATTCTGAAGCATAAGAGAATGAGCGTAAATTTTAGAGATTGCTCCAAACCAGAAGGTTGAGGCTGATGACTTAAATGTCAATTTGGTCTGCTCCAAAGGAAGAGCAACTGTGACATTTAGGTTCAGGCTCGACACTTGATCCTGAGTTTATCTTTCTGGAAGGTCAGTGATACTTGACTTTAGGAGTTTGCACACAGTAGTGCTTATATTTAATGATTTTGGAAATTACCAACACTTGAGCCAGTTCCCAAGTTTTCACGCCTATTTTCATTCCATTTCCTGATACCTGTGGCCTGATAAAATCTTTTCTGTTTTTCAGAACTGTAGTTCACACGTCAGAAGAGCTGTTGTCACGTGCTTCTCAGCGGGCTGCTGTGGCCGCCATGGCAACAGGCCAGTGCGCTACTGCAAGAGATGCCACTCGAATCACCACAGCAGCGAAGTTGGGGCAGCTGCAGAAACCCACCTGTATCAGACCTCACCCCCTCCTATCAACACCCGGGAGTGTGGGGCAGAGGAACTCGTGTGTACTGTGGAAGCTGTGATCAGGTAATATGGCAGCTTAGGAGGCATCAGTATGTAAAGCAGGATCAGGCTTTCCTGTAAATATTACCTGCAGGTCTTGTGCAAGTGGATTTTAGATTCACCTGGGTGAGTTCGGAGCACGGACACTGAACTCCAGCTGCCTTATCAGACAACAGATCAGCTGTGAGTGTTGTCCTGACCAGGAAGTCAGCCTTGAGTCCTAGAATTTGATGTTATTTTATTACTGTTCTCAGGAAAATGATGACATCTAATGCCTTAACCTGTAGTTATTCTTGGTTACTCTTACCTGTATCCAGTGCAGGAAAGTTGCATTCACTGACCACAAGCTTGTTTTATAGCTTGCTGAAGGAAGCAGAGTTTCATGCTGAGCAGAGGGAGCATGAACTCAACCGCAGGAGACAGATGGGCCTCTCCTCTTCCCATCACTCCCTGGACAACACAGACTTTGATAATAAAGATGATGACAAGCATGACCAACGCCTCCTGAGCCAGTTTGGAATATGGTTCTTGGTGAGAAATTCATGCTTTCTTCTCACTCTTCATGGTTCAGTCTACTTTCTGAAGCCTCAGTTTTAGCTAATATTTTTTCCCCACTTCTTTGGAAAGTTGGAGACTTTTCTGATTTGTAAGCAAAAAGTTGTTCTTTGAAGCTGTCAGACTAGGAGATTTCATAACTAGTTTGGGTGGAGCTTGTGACTGCCTCTGACTACTACGTAGAGTGTAGAACAGAATTGTTCAGTCTAGGTTCTTAATTGACTTTCTATGCGCCATCAGCTTCTGCTCACAAGTACCCCTTGCTGAGTGTCATTATTTTAACTTCAAAAGGCAATCCCCTAAGAATCTATTTTTCACCTTCCAGCTTTCAGCATCACTCTCTGGAAGCACAGCTTTCTCTCTTACCTCCAAAAGGCTGGAGGAGTCTTAATGGGCTGCTCTTCCTTCCTGCGTTTTGCTTGGTCTGTCTGGATCAGCCAGTGTATTCCAGCTGATTTACCTGGTGTGGCTTGACAGAATGAAGCTGTGCTGGTTCTACCACTCACAATAGTTAGCAGAGATTATTCCAAAATATCAGGACTGCTGCTGGCCAGTTCATGAGCAGGCCAGGCTGCAACCTGATAGATCCTCAGAAATTGCATTCTGCAATTCCCCTTCAGGAGAATTCTCCCTCTCAGGCTGTTTCCAATTCCCTTTGAGTTCTCAGGCTCTCTCCTCAGTCACCCAGTGACAGGTGGGGAATAGCAGGACCCTCATCTGTCATCTAAACAGAGATAGGATCTCTGGATGGCCAGGTGCCAGGTGTGGAATTCCGTAGCCCTTAAAGACTTTGGAGCAGGGGAGAATAATGTTGATTATTATGTGGGGATTTCTGAGGACCTAAAACTCACTCCAAGTGAGGACAAAAAATCAAAATTGGAATCTTTTTGCAAAGTAAAGATCACTTATTGTATTAAGTAGACATCTTCTTTCAGAATTTTTGAAGTTCTTGATTTGACTTTTTATCTTGTATGTTTTATATACGTGTGCGTATGTATATCTCATATTTTACCAGGTATTACATTACCTTCTGAAATGAAAAGTCATTTTAAAGTTCAAACCAAAACATTTCAGTTTGTCAAAGCATTCTATATTGATATTTTTCAGTGTTGAAAGTAAATAAAAAAATTCAGTGCTTGGCTTTTTTTTATTTTCTGGTTTGGAAATGTTTTGTCAATTGTCCTGTGCCAACCTCTGCTTAAAACTGATCATCTTATTTGTCTTCTAGATATATCCTTGTAAATCTGAGAATATGCAAAATATAGTTGATAAATAATTTGTCACCTTTAATTCTAGAAATGAAAGTTGATTTGTGTTTCTCTCTTCCAGGTGAGCCTTTGCACTCCCAGTGAGAATACACCCACAGAGAGTTTAGCAAGGCTGGTTAGCATGGTATTCCAATGGTTTCACTCTACAGCTTACATGATGGATGATGAAGTTGGTAGCTTGGTTGAAAAGCTCAAACCTCAGTTTGTTACTAAGTGGTTGAAGACTGTTTGTGATGTCCGTTTTGATGTCATGGTTATGTGCCTCCTTCCTAAACCAATGGAGTTTGCCAGGGTAAGAATGATTTATCTGAAGGTTCCTTTATTTGCTGCAGATATTAAGGTCTTAAGTAAAAAGATCTTTTTTTTCCTAGTCTGTCAAGGCAAAGAAATCTCAATGGTAGAGGGAACAGTGAAGTTCAGGAATTTTTGCTCTTCATAGCATTTTTAGTTTTACTATATTAGAAAGTGAGCATTATTTACACTAATACGAAGACAGGTTGGAAGAATGTAGTAAGTATTGAAAAAATACTGCATGTTTTTGATAGCTGCATGTTTTCATTATGCTGCTGAAGTACCCAAACTTGTCTTTAGTAAAAGGTATCGTTTGCCTACTCACAAATATAAGCCTGTCCTTTCATAATGTTTCTCTGTTCTTTGCATACCTCATCTCTGAAGCTGTGAATTCAGGTTTGTGAAATCACACAGTTGTAACCAAAGGGAATTCTGGGCATACTGATGCCCTGTAGCTTCAGAGACCTGATTTAAGTGACTGAGTTGAAGACCAGTCTGACATGGTTTGCCTTGTTGCTGGTGAAGAGAAAGAGATTTACCTGGAAGGCCATCCAGGGTGCCTAAGTGCAACCACTGGTAGGATCTCTTCCAGAAAGAGTGTCATTCTTTCTGTCGTAGAATCATAGAATCAACTGGGTTGGAAAAGACCTCCGAGATCATCAAGTGCAACCCTTGATCCAACACTGCCGTGGTTATCAGACCATGGCACTAAGTGCCACATCCAGTCTCATCTTAAAAACCTCCAGGGATGGTGAATCCACCATCTCCCTGGGCAGCCCATTCCAATGTCTGATTACTCTTTCTATAAAAAATTTCTTCCTAATGTCCAACATAAATCTCCCCTGGCACAGCTTAAGATCATGCCCTCTTGTCCTGCTGCTGGTTGCCTGGGAGAAGAGACTGATGCCCACCTGGCTACAACCTCCTTTCAGGGAGTTGTAGAGAGTGATGAGGTCTCCCCTGACCTTCCTCTTCTCCAGGCTGAACAACCCCAGCTCCCTCAGCCCCTCCTCACAGGACTTGTGCTCAAGTCCCTTCACCAGCTTTGTTGCTCTTCTCTAGACCTGCTCCAGCACCCCAACATCCTTCCTGAACTGAGGGGCCCAGAACTGGACACAGTACTCCAGTTGCAGCCTCACCAACGCTGAGTACAGTACCTTCCCTGGTCCTGCTGACCACATTGTTCCTTGGCCACCTGGGCACACTGCTGGCTCATGTTCAGCTTCCTGTCAATACAAATTCCCATGTCCCTTTCTGCCTGGCTGCTCTCCAGCCACTCTGTGACCCCCCTGTAGCGCTGCATGGGGTTGTTGTGACTAAAGTGGAGGACCTGACACTTGGCCTTATTGAACCTCATCCCATTGGAATCAGACCATCTCTCCAGGTTGTCCAGATCCCTCTGCAGAGCCCTCCTGGTTTCCAGCAGATCAACACTCCTCCCCAACTGGGTATCATCTGCAAATTTGCTGATGGTGGACTCAATCCCCTCATCCAGATCATCAATAAAGATATTAAATAGAACTGGGCTCAACACTGATCCCTGGAGGACACCACTAGTGACCGGCTGCCAACTGGATGCAGCCCCTTTCTCCACCACTCTCTGGGCCTCGTCCGCCACCCAGTTCCTGACCCAGAACAGAGTGCCCCTGTCCAAGCCATGGGCTGCTCCATAATTAGGATGATCTGTCCATTAATTATGAAGCAGAAATCACCACTTAAGCATGCTTTTCCAAGACATTCATTTTGTGACCTCTCATGTAAAATGTTCAGAAGACATGTTGGGTTTGTTTCCCAAAAATAAGTTTTGTTTCCTAAAATTAAGGCTATGCTAGAAAGGGCTGTTGGGACTTGATGTGATGTATCACATCATCAGGCATGAGCATCTGTGCATTTTTCATGACCTAACTAATGGGATTTGCTGTAGACAGACCAGCGTACGAGTGCAGACCAGCATGTATATGTGTCTTACTGTGAACCATTGCTCGGAAGATACATAGGACTGTGGGAGGATTGGAGGGCAGCTGAGGGAATTTGAGAGATGGATGGATACTTTGACTGTTAGAAACTGAAAAAAGAGATCAGAGTTTTGAGGCTAGGGGGTAGAGGAAGGACTGAACCTCATTCTGTAATCTCTTATGTATTTTTTTCTTGGATCCAGCCCCTCTTTTGAATTTTGTTACCCCCAAAGACTAGACTGACAACTTGCCAGATTTGCAGGGCTTCATTAGAACATGTAGACAAATAGCCATGAAATTAGCTGTGATGAAGAAGAAAAAGTAGTTTGTTGGCCGAGATTACCAGTAGTTTCTGCCAGAACAGCAGGCATCTCAAGAACCATTAGTCAGGAACAGCAGATGTGAGCTGAGGTCAGTTAGAATAATTAATCTCTGTACACCAATTACGTACGTGCTTAGAAGTACACTTTTTTGGCTTACATCACTAAGAACCTTTCCTCAATAAAACCCTAAACAAACATCTATGAAAGAACACCTGGTACAGACCATGTTTCTCAAAATAAACATCCAGCACTGTAACAATTTATGGAGAGCAAATACTTTATGGTGCAGTTTAATGAAATAAATGTGTCCCTTTTTGAGAACTGTAAACAGTAGTACACTGTAAACAGTAATATAATGGCCTGGAAGTGAGTGAACTTCTAAGACTTTGACAGTGCTTTTGGGTACTGTGAGTCAAATAGGAGAGGAAAAAGCAATGCAACCCCCGTGGCCGAATTCTAAATTCTGCCTTGCAGGTACTAATGATCACCCCCTACAGTTTCCTGGCTGCAACACACTGAACAAATTTATGATGCTTGGCAATTTACGGGGACTAGAAATGTTGTTCATCATTGTAATGCTTGGAAATACCCACAGGTTGGCGGATACTGGGACAAATCGTGTAGTGCTGTAACCCAGTTAAAAGAAGGGCTAAATCGAATCCTTTGCTTGATTCCATATAATGTGATAAACCAGTCAGTGTGGGAATGTATCATGCCAGAATGGTTGGAAGCTATAAGGACAGAAGTGCCTGACAATCAACTGAAAGAGTTTCGGGAAGTACTGAGGTATGTAGACATAAGTTGGAATCATTCTGTTGTTGCTATGTTGATTCTTGAGCGTTGTAGCACAAGACGGTGACAAGGAATAAAAATGCTTATATGTGCAACAGACAGTAGTGAGCGAATGCTTCTGATTTGTTTTTGTGACATATTTAGACTAAAGCACTTAAGCTTTGGGAAAAGTCTTTTATTGCTTCTGATATCCTCATATCTGTATCAAGAACCAAGTACATGGATGCTTCTTCGCTGTGAGCAAGTCACATTTTTAGTGACTTCCTGCAACATGTTGGAAGGACCATCTTTCTCCTTCTGTCAAGTTGATGAGAAATGGTGGGGATTAGTAGAGCTGTCAGTGATATATTTATTTAGCTAATATCTTCCCCTATTGAGCTAAGAAAACACCAGAATAAGAATGGTGGCTGAGTCATAATTTCATGCCTTTAACAGTAAAACTTCACATTGCCTTTTAATTGATGAAAAGGCTCTGAAACTGACTGTAAGTTCATATCTCTAGGTATTGCTGTAAACTTTTTTTTAGTGCAAGCATGGAATAGTGGACTACTGGTGTGATAAGAAATTTTCCAATTTTTACATTGAATGTTGGAGGAGATATTGCTGTCAAATGCAACTGGGCATATTAGATGTGATGTAAATTCTTAAGGTGCGTCACCAAATTCAGAGATGAACTTACACAGTCAGGACAGGTGGTATCAGCAACCTAGCAACCCTGTGGAGGGTGAAAATGCAAGCTTTCTACCAGTTTTCTGTTATGTCTCATATGGTGTGTGCCATCATAACTCAGTGATGATATGTTTTTGTTCTACTTTTCAGCAAAATGTTTGACACTGAACTTTGTCCTCTCCCTTTCTCCATGGAGGAGATGTTTGGCTTTATTAGTTGTCGATTCACAGGATATCCATCCTCTGTGCAAGAGCAAGCATTACTCTGGCTGCATGTAAGTGTCCTCTCTTGATGACTCATGCTGGAAGAGCTTTTAATTTTGAAAAAGAAAAGAAAAAGGAGAGTAAAAAAATGAAGCCACTTAGCCACTTTTCCAGAGTTCATACAATCCTTCTGCTCTTTGCTTAGCTCTTGTGTAAGGATGGTTGGTAGACGGACCCTGAGAAGCTTTGTTACTAACCCATCATGAGCAGTAATCTAGTTGACAGGGTGGTGATCTAGTTGACAAGGTGGGGATCAGTCAGAGGTTGGACTTTATGATCTTGGAGGTCTTTTCCAACCTAAATAATTTTGTGATTCTGTAATAAAATGGAAGGCTGGGAATTTCTTTTACCTCTGAATGCCAGTTGTGTTTTCAGGGTCATTGAGCTGGTTGACTTTTTGACAGCGGAATTTGTTCTGTAGATTCCAAAATTAATTCCAGACTCCAGAAACAGCTGTAGTTGTTCCTGCATATGAAGACCTGAATGAGACTAGCTCTATACCCATCAAGCTTTCTGCTGCTCTGACCCTTTTGCACTATATTTGCCCACAAAACTGGCATTCACCCAATGTTCATATTTTAAAGCTACAGGGATAATCATGTCAGCTGAGAGTGGTGACTTCAAAAGGGGTGTAAAATTTTCCACAGCACCTTGGAATAATACCTGTACTTTTCATTATCGCTTCTTTTCTGCTGAGGCTTATTTTAATTGAGCCTCTGCAAAGACCAATTTACCTGATGACCGTAGCAATTTTCAGGTATACAAGGTTTTCAATTAAAGCATGATATTTTTAGAATTTTCTTGACTTAATAACATTTAATGACAAGTACAAATGAGCTTATATTTTTTCTGAGTGTTGGTGACAAAATAGATTGTGAATATTCTCAGTGATTTGCAAAAAACCATCCCGTTACTATGTTGACACCTATAGGCTACCATTGTGACTGGATTCTTAGAATAAATACAGGAACTCAGTTTTAAGTAGTAATAAATAGAGTAAATAGTTATTCATTCAAGTATTGGTAATCTTCTGCTTTACAGAAATATTTTTGTGGAATAACCTCACATCCCTGTATGGTTTTGTGCATAAAACTGATCTCAAGGTGCACCAAGTGGATGCCAACAAATAATTTGAAAATAACCTATTTTTTACCAGTTTTCTTTTGCCTGGATTCTAACAGAAATCTAAACTTGCACCTCACCTCATTGAATCCCAAAATTAAATACATGGAATTTGCTGAGCTGAGGATTGTATTATAAAGATGCTTATAAAGTAGATGGTGTTTGTGATTAAACTTGAAACTTACTTTTTATTTATTGTCTATCCTCAGGTGTTGTCTGAACTTGACATTGTTGTACCTCTTCAGTTACTAATCAGCATGTTTTCTGATGGAGTTAATTCTGTAAAAGAGTTAGCAAATCAAAGAAAATCGAGAGTCAGTGAACTGGCAGGAAATCTTGCAGCTCGGAGGGTAACTGTTTCTTATCCTGCTTATTTTTTTTGCTTAGAACAGTCTTCCTAATAGAATGCATGTGAAGGATTAAAAAACCATCTTTCAATATGGCAGCATTTGATTAGAAACACTGTAAATTTTGAAAATGGAAGAAAATTGACGTAACTTCACTTAACATCGCTCTATCACATGATCAGTGTAAAGATAATACAGGTAGCAACTTGGTATCTTTTCCAACCTTTTCTGTTCTTTTCACCTTCTATTAATAACTGTCAATGGCAAGTTGTTATGGACAACTGGTCACCCAGAATAATCTTTTGTGTTCTGGTACGAATTTGGTGGGCCCAGGTATGTTTTGGAAGAGTGATGGAACAGAATTATTTCTGTTTCCCAGAATTTTTTTTCCACACCCAAGAGATGCAAAATTTGATCTGAAGTTGCCAAAGGCTTTTGGTCTGAAAGAAAACACATACAACTCTGTAGGCATTACACGTGCTTGGTCTGGCTAACTTCCCGGTAGTTTGGATGAAGTGCTTCAAGGACATCAGGAACAAGATTGCTTGGGAAGATCAGATTCTTTAGATTTAAGGAACTACAGCATCGAGGCAGTTGATGATGCCTTACATGTGGTCTGCCTGTCTTCTGATGTAGCTCTGCAGACAGCTCTCCCACATCTAACCCAGGATCACTTCTAAACTAAGCAGAAAAATTGACTAACTTACTCTCTGGTCTTTCAGACCACACCTGACCTGAAAATAGACCTCATGTGTCATCTACGTGTGTATCTCCCTACAACACCTAGAGCTTCTCAGAGTATTTTAGATGGCCTATTGTGGTGTGGGCATAAATCAGTGCAGACATACACATCTTATTACCATTGCGTCTAGTTCAATTCCAGCTACCTGTACTCTTAGTACAGCCTTAGTTAACACCCTTCTCTTGAGATGGCCTCCTTTATTAGCCTCCTGCTATTAAAATTAGTGTCCATAGATCATGAAGCAGATCATTGTAACCTGATGGCTGCTTTACTGCCTGCACCAGTTTTCTGTTTGGTTTATGATATTAAGATTCCTCCTCAGTAAGAGTAATATAACGAGTGTCAGCCACTTAGCTTAAGAGAATATATACATCTGTGCAGAATATGGTTCTCATACTTCTATCATATTCTATCATTTAGTGGCATTAAGGGACGTGTATATTTTGCAAAACAGCTACAGAAGAGTAAGGCTGTCATAGTTCTTGATATTTTTTCCGTTTTCATATAGAATGGGATTTCTTAAATGTCTAACAGTCATTTGGACATGTTGATTTTTTAATATTTTCAGGTGAGCGTTGCTTCTGACCCTGGGCGCAGAGTTCAGAACAACATGCTGAGTCCTTACCCAAGCCCCTTCCAGAGCCCATTCCGGAGTCCAATACGTAGTCCTTTTCACAGCCCTTTCAAGAACTTCGGACACCCTAGTGGAAAAACAATTGATTTTGACTGTGAAGATGAAGAAATGAATCTTAATTGCTTCATTCTGATGTTTGATCTCATACTGAAACAGGTACTTGCAGAAGAAAAACACCCACATGGAAGGGACACTGAAGTTCTGTAGTCACTTTTGGCTCTCCTTTGATCCTATATTGATTCCCTTTCTGTTCAGGGATGAAGTATAAGACATTTAAATTCCAATACAGCTGTCATCTGCCTTTACCTCTATAGGAGTTATAGGTTCATGTTCATTGAAGTTAAATACTTCCACATTCAGGTTAGACACTAACCTCATAATAGTGAAAGGAACTTCTTGAAGATTTCTACAGACTAGAAGCAGAGGATTGTTGATAGGCTTAGATTAGATACATAATTTTTGTATAGCTAAATTTGGACATTGTGAATCCAAGGGCAAGTGCTTTAGATAACTGTCTCCAGGTAAAATTAGTGTATCCTGTGCTTGAAATTGTCTCTTTAGTTTAGTTGTTGGAGCTCAGGCCTCAACACCAGTGAAAATTTAAAATTTAATATGTTACAGTTTATCTCAAATTCTTCCCAGCACTCTAATATAAAACTAGTAGAAATTTAGGATGAGTCAGACAGTTAGGACTCTGGCTTTTAAATAAATAATAAATCCTTACCATTTTCACTTTCTTTCAGATGGAACTCCAGGATGATGGTGTCACTTTGGGCTTAGAGAACAGCATTTCAAAAGATATAATATCCATCATAAACAATGTATTTCAGGCACCCTGGGGTGGTTCTCACACCTGTCAGAAAGATGAAAAAGCAGTTGAATGTGGCCTGTGCCAGTCCAGCATTCTGTGTTACCAGCTGGGTTTTGAGCTGCTGGAACAGCTTGCTCCAAAGGAAGAAATTAGGCTTGTGGTAAGTAGAGCTGGGAAAGGGTCTGTATTATTGGTGTGCTCAAACTCCTCTTCCTCATTTTTCTCCTTCCATTGTGCTTGAGGGAGCAAAGCTGCACTGACCTTTGGCAGGAAGGATTCAGAAGGTTAAAGCAAATGCCACTGAACTGTAAAATTTAAGTCTGAATTGATTCAATGAACCCAGGGAAGATGACAATATTCATCCACTGTGAACTCTTCCCCTGTAAACATTCAAATGCTGTTTCACTTTGAAAGGTTACTCCTGTGATACTGTCTCTCAAGTATAAATGTAAAATAATCGGTTTAATACTTAGTGCTTTTTGTCTTCTTTTAAAAGCAAAGAGTGGGTACTTTGAAATGATTAATGATTTTGAATGAATCAGTTGTCAAGTGAGCAAGCCTTAGTTGGTGCTTGACCATTGAAAATGCTGAGCATTGTTGAAAAACCAAATGTACTTCAGGTTGTGTATCCAACTTTTCAGACACAAATCTGTACTCTTCAATCGCTAGTCATCATTAAAGTCTTCTGTAGGTTTGCAGAAGAACTAGAGCGTTTTCCTGTGGTGGTGATGGTTTGATGAATTTGTTTTAAGCTGTATGTCTATTATACATAACTGTTCCAACTGATAGTTGAGAAGACAGCATCATTCCACTTATTCTGAGTGCTCATTTGCTGTGACATGATAGTAGCAGATGTTTATTAGTATTTCTTTTTTCAGTGGAGGGCATAGTGATGGCCTTCTAAGTGTAAAAGATTCAGGACTTCATTTGGATGTTTTTGCTAGTAGAAGGTATTGTGCATGTGGTATTCAGTATTTGTGCTAGAAAAATGTTCTCGTGCCTGGTCAGTACAGATTCTCATCTCAAAATTAGCAAGTAGTGCAGTCTTGGATGCTGGAGCATGGTACCACTTCTAGGATCCACTCTGCAATTTACAACATAAATGTCACAACGACAACCTTTAATCCTGAGCTCCTGGCCACTGGCAGAAGTAACTACAGCCTATTCCTTTGTTCAATGTAAAAGTGGTTGAGGTACGTCCTGCCCCTAAGCCTGTAACTCTGCAATCATGTAGGAGATGCCTTGCTCCTGTCTGTTACTCCTTTCATGCAAGGATGACAAACTTGGTGAAACATTGGCTCCGTGACTAGATCCACCTAAGGTCAATATGGATATGCAGTTTCTGTTAAATCCATGTCTGAAACATAGTCTTTCTGTTGGTATGCATTTGCTGATGCAAAATATTAGATAGCAGGTGATTTGAATGCACAAATGTACATGGAACTAAACAATGCCTCATTTGAGCTCAGCTTATCACACCAAATGTAGCTTTAACAGCAGGATATGGACAATATCAAGAAATGAATTTAACCTATTATATTCTTAAAGGAGCCCACAGATAACCTCGAAGATAGTCTTCTGTATACTAGACCTGAGTTTATTATAGGAACTGAAGGAGAAGAGGAAGACAAATCAGCACCAAAACATGGAGAAAATCCAGGAAATCACACAGAGACCACAGAAAATGCTGGTAGGTAGAGGATGAGAAGGTTGAGTATTTCCATAAGGCTTTGAAAGTAATGCTTTACTCATATAGAATACAAGTTTCTGAAGCACTCTTTCAGTTCAATAGTGCACAGTCACTTTTTTATCATGCATTTAATTATTTCAACATATTAATTAAATAAGAAGGCTGTATTTAGGTTGGTAGCATGTATGACTGTCTCTCAGAAAATTGTTAAAAGAAATTTTGACTTTTTGAACATAAAATAGCAAAAACATTGCATGCCAAATTCCATGCTGTTCTAACTTTATTGACTCAGGTTCTGTGGCTAGAATTAATATATCTTTCATAACCTCAACATTCTTTAGTTTCATTTTTAATCCACAGATAAAAGAATTTTAACATTGTCTGTAACTTACATTTTTAACAGCGATAAAAAATGACACAGAAAGAAAGTTTTGTTATCAGCAACTTCCAGTTACCTTGAAGCTCATATACACTATATTGCAGGTAACATTGATTACTTGTTTGTTTGGTTTGAATTGTTGGTGGTGTCATTATGTTGACAGTAATACATCTGCTTACACAGGAAATGTCAAGGTTTGAAGAACCAGACATTCTTTTTAACATGCTGAATTGTCTGAAGATCCTGTGTCTTCATGGGGAATGCCTATATATAGCAAGAAAGGACCATCCACAATTTCTTGCCTATATTCAAGATCACATGCTGATTTCAAGGTAGGTTTTTATTGCATATTGTGTCCTCATACTTTGTTGGTTCTCCAGCTATACATTTGTTGTTAGCATCAAAGAATTTTCAGGTTTAGTATGGAAAATTAACAAGGGTGGTAGGGAAGCATGGAAGGGTTAAGAAACCCATTTAAGAGCTCATTGCACAGGCTAATTAAGACATTAGAAATGAAGCCAAGGTACCCTGCGTTGTCCATCATGGCTACTCTGTCATGCACCATTTGTTTTGAATAATAGCATTATGTGAGACTGAGGTATCTTCCCTGACTCTACAACATAAAATAAAATACGATGTAGAGACAGGTACATGGTTTATAGGACTTTAACATTAAAGCTGAGAGAACAACAGTATTGCACCTTATTTTTATGAGAAAAAGGAAGATTTTTCATTTAGAATCAGAGCGAATTGGATTAAAATCTGTGCATTTTAAGATTCTCTTTGGAGAAAGGGACTTTACAGAAAACTAGCTGAATAAACATCAGCATATAATCTTCTAAAATAGTGTGTTCATCACCACTTACAGCTGCTCTGTATCAATTTCACTGAGCATCTCCTGAGGCTGTAAGGTTTCAGCAGACTAGAGAATCTGTTCTGAATCTAGATACCAGCAAATTGTGAACACGCAACATCTTAGTTATTCGTTGTGCCGGGACAGTTCATGTGGCTTATGTTCTGAAGCTGGTCATGCTGAAACTCCTAATTCATAGGACAGTTTATGTTCCATGGTAGTTGCCTTGAGTTAGGCAACCTCTTTTAAAATTTGAAGTGTTTCAAAGTAAGGAATATTTAAACCTGGATTTTCCAGAAAAACTGCTCAAGTTGAAGATTTCCAAGTAGCTCTGTTTTCCTACAAGCCGCTCTGTAGAATTCACGTAAGTCTCTAGGATGGCTCACGAAGATTTTCATGAAAAGTGCATTACATTTAGAAGAAAGGATATAAAGGGAGTGTTTTTATAAGCAGGTTTGCTCTTTTTTGTCTTTCCAGTTTATGGGGAGTTGTGAAGTCTGAGTTCTCTCAGCTTTCTTCCCTGGCAGTCCCACTTCTTCTTCATGCACTTTCGCTTCCCCATGGAGCTGACATTTTCTGGACAATCATAAACAGCAATTTCAACAGCAAAGATTGGAAGATGAGATTCGAAGCAGGTAGGCCTGAGGAATGTACTCTATTTTCTCTTTGTTACTTCTCTGAAGAGGTAGAACTTTCTCTGCTGTAACTGAGGAGACCAGTAATAGATGATGATCTTTTTGCTGCTATGGAGAGTTTTGAAGATAGTCTGTTGCAAAACTATGGCACAACAGTGCTATAGAATAGAGGAGAGCATGAAACATTTTGGGTAATAAAAACAAAATTACAACTCTCGCTAGCTATTTTTGTTGTTACTTTCTCAACTCGGCATGTTTCTAGGAAAGTTCTATTCATCGATACATAAAGAAGCCATTGCCTAAATGAATATGTCTCTTTTCTTTGTCTGGGTACGTGATGGCTACAGTGGAGAAGGTAGCTGTTTTGTGCAGATTTTTGGATATTCACTCTGTGACAAAAAACCACCTACTGAAGTACTCCTTAGCTCATGCATTCTGCTGTTTCCTGACTGCTGTGGAAGATGTCAACCCAGCAGTAGCTACAAGAGCTGGGTTATTACTTGACACCATAAAGAGACCAGCTTTACAGGTGGGTGCATTACATGGGAAAAAGTACATTCAAACAGGAAACTGGGTTTTCACCTGAAGTTCAGATGTACAGCATCACAGTCACTGCTAATACATCTTTAGGCAAGCGTTATAGGTCTTGGTCATTGACATAGGCACAAAATAGCCAAGGGAAATGGTACTGCCCTACCCCCAACTTAGAATCATGGAGTTGTTTACATTGGAAAAGACCTTTTAAAGATCATCTAGTCCAACCATAAATACTTTGATGACTGCAGAGGATACTATTGCGTTTGAAGTGGTTGTAAAAAGCTGTAAATATTTTTTATTACTTTAAAATAATTTGATATTTTTCAATTAAAAATACATTTTTAAGTCTTATGACACCCTGCTGAGCTCACAATGAGAAAATATATTTGAGCAAAACCAAACATGGCCTTGATCTTCAAGAAATTTACCTAGACATGTCATTTTGTCATGTGAGAGAACCTGTCAATCCGAATTCTCATGATTAAAACTAAATGGATTATGAGAGAGAGATAAGCAAGATAAATAAATCTCATAGTACACGGTTCAGTTCTAGTTCTGTGGAGAATAGAATGAATATGTATTTTGAAACGTTCAGTTTTGCTGCCTGTAAGAAGTTGTTAATATTTACTAGTTTTATTCCATTTGGTACCTTTTCAAAATAGTTTCCAGAGAACTTGAATTCAGTGAGACTGTTACCAGTATACCACACTTCCATATTTAATGTGAGCTTTCTTCTCAAAGTTAAGTCTTGACACTAGAGCCGAAATTCTAGTGCAAGTAGTGTACAGAAGAATTTTGAGGCAAAGTGCCTCTGATACACTTCACCGTGTAATTTTTCTTCCTCTATTTGGGCTTGATGATTCATTCTTTTTATAATTAAGGGCTTGATTCGGTTACCTGAATGTAAGGTTTTTCTCAAGCAGGGGTGTATGAGCAAAGTACTTTGATATTGTGTACCAAATGTTCAGTAGGACAGAACTTTGCCTGCACCTTTACATTCCTCAAAGTCCTAGCAAATTCTACATTCTAAATATGATGTTCATTTATCTCCTTATTTACCTTACTTTCCTGTTGATATCAATAGCATTAATTCTGACTTAAAGGACTTGATAGAAAAAAGGAGCTAAATCTTTATCCTATACTAATTGGCAGGAGTTGTGACCTTTCACCTCCTTTTGCTTTAAAATATCCTGAAAAGACTTCATATCTCACTTCTATGTTATTTTTTTTGTTTCCCTCTATAGGGTCTCTGCCTCTGCCTTGATTTCCAGTTTGACACAGTAGTCAAGGACAGGCCCACAATTCTTAGTAAGCTTTTGCTACTTCATTTTTTAAAAGCAGACATTCCAGCTTTGAGCTGGGAGTTCTTTGTGAATCGCTTTGAGACCCTGTCTCTGGAAGCACAGCTTCATCTGGACTGCAACAAAGAATTCCCTTTCCCAACAAGTAAGCAGAATCGAAATCAATCTGATCTCCTTTTATCATGTTCTGGAATTTAATCTTCCTGCAAGGGTCTGAGAGACTTGTAGGTATCACATGTATAAATTCTCTGAAATTAAGTAATCTTTCAGGCCAAAAGAAAATAAATCAAAGTGAGGATTTTTTGACTGCCCAACTACGGATTAAGCTATAGTCTTTTGCACCTTTGGGCATCATGTTTTGTTCTCCCTAGCATGTGATTGCCAGCCTTGGTTGAAATGCAGTCTGGTTCTATCATCAACTACAACCTGCATTAACCCACCTGTTCTACTGTAGCTGTTCTTATGCTGTCAAGTTCACTGTTTTCGAAGTCCTAAATTGTACCTGACCCTGTTCTGTGGTGGTCTGTCTAAACTCAGCCCTAGGAGCTGTATGATCCTCAAAAAACCCCCAGTGTATGTGGCATAACACAAGAGGCACGTGGACTCCTGGAACCAGTGTTCAGTTAACTATTCTTGCAGTGATAAATGTATGTAAATGTTTATCCTGTTCATACTTGGTTTCTTGATGAGATACCATGTCTCCTTACATTCACTAGGAGGGGACTAAAAAATAATTCATGCATGATTGTTTAGCATTTAGAGTAATTGAAAATTTCCTAACACAAGTGGTGGCCCATAAGGAAGATCTATTTCCATCTAATTTTCTTGGAGGAGGTGGGAACAGCTGTTTGAACAGCATGTGCTCCCTCAGCAGCCTAATGCCTCCTCCTACATTTGCATGAAGCCCAATGCTTGAAAATTCCTGGGTGCTGCTGCACAGGAGAGGGGTGGAACTGCAAATGTATTTTCTTCTCCGTATATTAGTAGCTTAACCCAATCCTGGGAACTGCTGATGTGGCCTGAGGAGGGAATCTTGACACTGTTTTCTAGCATCTCTAGCTGCAAGTGTGGGGTCATATCTTTAAATATGTGTATTTGGGAGTTATTTAAATTATGCAAAAGATAATTTTTAGATTTCTTTTTAACCTTCTCTTTGCCATTTCAAAGAGTGGTGCAAAGGATGGGCTCACTGGCTTCAGTCACTCAGATCAATAAACTCAAGGGGTTTCAGTGCACTCTAGACGTAAGTATGGAAAAGTATTGGTGACCACATTAAGACATGCAGTGATGCTGCTGGTAACACCACTGTAACTGCATAATGAACACTCACAGGTTTTTTGTTCATATACAGGACGGTAGGTGTAGGCAGGACCAGAGGTCAGTGAGGCAAGACTAGAGGCCAAATTTGTGTATGAGTGCACTAAATGTGATCTGTACTCGTGATATTTTTGCCATTTTAAGTAGGGTGCATCTCATATTCCCTTAGCCTGAAATTCAGGTTTTGATTTTAAGAAGCTGTTTTTATCCAATCTCTAAAGAAGAAAGTAACAGCAAAATTTTTTAACATAGTTATGCCATTTGGGGTTTTATGGATTTCAGAATGAGAGCATGCAAATGAGTACCTTGCAGGTGGACCCCTTGAGCCCATATGAAGCTTTCTTGACTGGAGTGGGACCTGGGGCCCAGTTGCATTAGGCACTTGGCAGCGCTGGGGCCTCACCATGCTGTGGAATGAATCCTAACTTGGTCAATTGCATTTGCAAAGCTATCACTGCTGTCCGGACAAATGTCGCCAACCTCAGTGATGCAGCAATGTGGAAGATCAAGAGGGCTCGTTTCGCGCGTAACCGTCAGAAGAGTGTGCGCTCCCTGAGGGACAGTGTGAAGGGACCAGCGGAGTCAAAGAGAGCACTCTCCCTTCCAGAAACCTTAACCACCAAAATTCGTTGAGTATCTATTTACGTTTTTGTGACACACCTCCGTCTTCTCCCTTAGGATCGTATCCTATTTATGGGTACACATTGGAGCTGCCAATATTTATCCAATTGGATAGCATATTTAGGTTTCTGACTGTTTTGGGCATTATTCAGATAATGACAAGTTAGTGAGTTTGACAAAGAACATAGACAGACATTATGTCTATGCTGTGTTTGTTTAAAATGACATAACAAAATGCTCCAAGACTAGTTTGTATATAGATCTTTATTTGTGGCTAAAACACACCAGTTTTGTCTTAAATAGAAGCAGTGTTTACAGGAAAATTAATTTGTTACTAATTTATCTATTATTTGTAATTATTAATCAGTGCATGCAGTATATGGTAGACATGTAAAATCAACTTTTAATGTCTCAAATGAATTTTTGGATATACTCAGAATGCTTTTGTTAAGAAAACAATGTCAATGCAGCACATCCTTCCTGCTAGCTTCTATAGGAGGATGTAGGTGCAGGAAAACCATAGGCCTATATGGAGTGCCATGCAGATACCTTTCCAAGCAGAAATAAAGTTCAACCATTCTCATTTAGAGAATTTTACGAACACAAATTAGTGTTTATATTCAAATTGGACCTCTCATGTTGCTCTTACCCATATAAAAGGATGATAAAACTTTCAAACTTGGTGCTAGTAAACTATTAAGTTACAAAGTAATTTTTCTTCCAACACTCCCTCTGCCCTCGAATATTTTGGGATTCTTAGGTAATCCTGCTTGACCAATTATCGATCCTGCACATGGACTCCTGTGTGATAACTCTTCTAACAGCAAAATTAAATGATGGAGAAAGTTAGAGTTATAGAACATGGTGCACAAAACCTGTAGGGCACAGAAGAGACACATTCCAAGCAATTACACTCACTGCCTGACAACAGCGCCATGAGTAAATGGCACATAAATATGCTAGCACTGAATATATGCTAAGTGTAAGATGTCAGTGCTGCCTTATTAAACAGAGTTGCTCTTGTTTTTTTTAAAGCTGTGAGCTTGACCAGACATGAGCAGTCTGCACCAGCACTTGGAGGAACACCAGAGCAAACACCAGGTGGGTTTGACAAGGGAGGTGTGTTTTGATGGAACAGGAAAAGGAAGGCTCTAACTCTGACTCTCTTGCTGAATCATGAGATAAACTTACACAAGATGGAAGTTGTCTAAGTGGCACAGTGAATCACATCTCAGCATGGTTCCAAAAAGTGTAAATTGAAGCTTTGCTCACAGTCTATACTGAAAACTGCCTCCAGTTGTAAACAGTACTTCAGAGTTGGGAGGAGGTTATTCAGAGGCAGTCAGCTATGCCAGCAGTGCCTCACCTTCCTGTGTTTCATTGTCCACAAGTAAATCTTTAGTAAACTGGCCCTGTGGGTCACCTATGTTGAGCCTGATCTTTGACTGTCAGGTTTTACAGACAGCTTTTGCTTGTCAGTACCGTAAATAACACTTATCTCTTCTGTATGCTTACAGACATCTTAAGTCCTTTGTTTTGTATTAAGTGACATTTTGTGAAGATGTCACCCTTCTGTCAGGCATCTGTAGAACAGATAGCTCAGTAGGGTCCAAGTAATCTCTTATGTAATTGTGACTACTGGCAGTTCTTGCTTTGAGTGCTGTGTAGACTGACAATTTGGAAATGAAAAAGTCTCAGATTCAAATCTTTTCATGCTCCTTCTTCAAGACTTGGATACTTCCAACAGATGCAAATTCAGAATCAGAACATACCAGTTTATTGGGCGATCAGCTGAAAGGAAGATATCTTGTCAGTGTGGGTGCTGACTAAGCTGAGAAATGGAATAGTAGAGCTTCTGAATTAGTGGTATATAGCCCTGTTCTCCTAGCCCAGTGAGAGCTGCAAGTCAACCAGTTTCTTACAGAACTGGTGGGTTGTCACAGGCTCATAGAAGGAACAAGTGAAATAATGGTGTGATGAATAGATGTGTCAGTGAATGACTGTTCTTCACTTAATGGCACCAGTCACCTGGTATGTACTGGGCTTAAAGGAACTTGTCATATAAAGAGTGTCGGTCTCACAGTAGGCATTGTTAGCCATTGTGATTTTATTAGATGTATTCCGGTATTTTGAACCTTCACTTTCCATGCTCAGGCTCTCTTCTGCCTCTTAATCACCTGAGGTTCAAATGAAATTTCCACTAAAAATGTATATATAAAAGAAGTTGCATGTAGCTAGTAACTACTGATCTGAAGTCTGATGATATGATTCAGAATATCACAGATGATTTGGGAACTAGGAGACAAGTGACTGTCCCTCTCCTCCTGCCCAGTATTTATTATTTCTTTCTGAAATAAATAAATAAATTCTTGTAAAAAATTATTTTAAGGTTTGACTCATTGTTTTTAACACTGCATTGGCAGTACTGAGCATATCTGATTCAGCTAAGGAACTGACTGACTCCTGAACAGAGGCTCTACATCTGTTGTAGAAAAACATTTGTTTTACACTTATCACTTGAATGAACTAGTCCTCGTGCTGGTCTGTTCTTTCTAGATCTAAAACTGTCATTCTTGCACAGTCCAAATGCAAGCTGAGTTCTGCGTGCATTTTGTATGCATTGAACACCAGGATCATGTATTTGTTCCTGTATCCTCTACCTGTATCCTGGACAGTCACTGAGAGAGTTCAGCCTAGAGGAGACTGAGGGGAGACCTCATTGTGATCTACAACTTCCTTGTGAGAGGAGGAGGAGGGGCAGCCACTGATCTCTGTGGTGACCGGTGACAGAACCCAGGGAATGGCCTGAAGTTGTGTCAGGGGAGGATTAGGTTGGATATGAGAAAGAGGTTCTTCACCCAGCAGGTGGTTGGATGCTGGAACAGGCTCCCCAGGGAAGTGATTACAGCACCAAGCCTGACAGAGTTCAAGAAGTGTTTGGATGATACTCTCAGGCACACTCTTGGGAGCAAGGCCAGGAGCTGGACTCGATGATCCTGGATCATCGAGGTCCCATCCTGGACCCACTCGATGACCATGGGTCCCTTCCAACTCAGAATATTCTGTGATTCTGTAAAGTAAAATGTCAGGAAAAGTCCTGGGAAGTCTTTGTTAGCTAGTGTTAGTATTATGAAATACTGGCAAAATTGAGCATTTTGTCACTGAGCTTCTAAATTATATTGTTCAGCAAGTGAAAGTAAAATGGATTAATCTTTTCGGATTAATTACTCATGGAGTTCTGTTTGGAGAACCAGGATTTATTTAGAGCTCAGTGATCCTTTTCCTCACTTCATCTTATCTCCTTCTTTGTTTTCTTGAAAATATCACAACATGTTAAAGAGATGAAAATAAATAGGGCTAATTAAAACAGATCTAATGTCATCCTTAAAAATTATGTCTTTATGATACAATTTCATGGAAAATTTTAACCTGGGTGTAATATGTGGAAATATTATTTCTCAGTTGATGTCCACAAAGCTAAGGTTATTTACTACGTGCATTTTTAATGTGCTTCTGAAAATGGTACTTGCTTTATTTCTCATTCAAATTATTTCAGATTTCATTGTTTTTGCATCTGCAAATCTTGGTCCAGCAAAAGCTTGGGTAGAGAATTTTCATTTTGAGGGAAGGTTTCAGTAAATAAAAAATCCCAGTGAAAACTGTCTGGAACAAAAAATATCGTATAACATGAAGTTCATAGTTTCTTTTTACCAAAATGAGACCAGGAAAGGAAAGTTATTCTTAATAGATGTGGATCTGAAAATTGCACAACCCCCCGCCCAGTGGAATGACAGTTTTCATTTTCACCTGTCATAGAAATAACAACCTTCTCCCATGCTCTGCAAAACAGCGAATCAAACAAACCCCTTTGCTCACCCACCAGTAAAAAATGTAAAATATTTTACCATTATTCAAAAAACTAACAGACACTGCAGTTTGTCTAGTGAAGATGCAGTTGTACCAGCAAAGGAGTCCCTTGTCAGAATAGCATATTACATTGAGAATATCGGTAAATTAGAATATTAAAATAATTTTTAGTATTTACTATAAATATATAGCTATGAATGTACATAAAACCTAGGGCATGTAAGTAACTTTAACAGACTAAGTGGATGTTAAATGCTGACTAGTAACCCTAACACAGATGCAGGAGCCATTTTAAGATTATACTTTGAGTAATCTTGCTTGTTTAATTTTCAAATTAGTGTTTTTGCAAAAGTAAGGACTATGTCTGGTAGTTGAAAGGATTTACGCTTGAAATGAAAACAAGCAGATCGCTTTATAATTCTGCTTCATACCAGCTTCCTTTATCTCAGTTATTCACTGTCAGACAGATTTTAACCATGGATCAGAATATACATCAGAATACATTTTAGTAACTAATTTAGTAATTAATTTTAATTATTCAGTTATAGTGATTAATGAACAAACTAAAATTAATGGTGCAATAAAAAAATTAATGTTCATGTATTGCCCTGTTTTGATGCTGTCAAAATATTTCTTTTGTTCCCTTTGTTGATCAATACAATGAAAAGTTTTTAATTTATTTTGCATGTAATGCATATATAATGCATTTTATTTATACAAAAATATTTAAGTTTCTCTTTTAAAATAGAACACTGTGGACTAACATACTTTACTGTTATTTGACTATGGATTTATTCAGAATTATTTAATAAAAAGAGTTGTATCAACTGTTGTGTGAAATGATTTCTGTTTTTTCATTCCTAGTGTTACTACCATGTAGAGCTTTAGAAACAGCTAAGCACTAAAAAAAGGCTTCATACATAGGGTGAAATGGAAGAGAATAATTTCAAAGGGAATTGCTAGAAAATTCTATTAATCATACATGGTTTTAAGAGTGACTGGAAATACTATATTTTAAAAAAAAATTAAAATACAAGAATGAAAACACTTGCCCAGTTGGCAACTGTTATTTGCAGTGTGTCTGTTTTGGGTAGTGACAGCCAGCATCCAAGCCTTCCTGTGCTTTGTAAGTAGCCTCTTGTCTTTAGCATTATCATATTCCTGTGGAAAGTACTACAGATTGATTATTTCCATTCAGAGTTTATAAACCAAATCTTAAGGTTCTACTCTGGGAAAAAGTCACCAATGTTTTCACATAATACATAGTGTCCTAAGAACTAATAAATGATAATAGTGCCTATGTTTTGGTCCAGGTTATTTAAGTGAAATACAGATTCAATGCTGAAAGGGAAAGTCTTCATTCTTTGTTTAATCATTATTTGGTAGAATTTTTCATATTTCCTACCTGTATTCTGTACCCCATTTATAGTGTTACTCAGTGTCTGATTCCAGTCTCTCTTGTGCTGATAGGACAACCCTCCCCAGAGAATGATAATACGATAAAAGACCTGCTGCCAGAGGATGCTGGGATTGATCACCAGACTGTGCACCAGCTCATTACGGTGCTAATGAAGTTCATGGCAAAGGATGAGAGCAGCGCCGAGTCAGACATCAGCAGTGCTAAAGCTTTCAACACAGTCAAGCGCCATCTGTACGTCCTGCTTGGCTATGATCAGCAGGAAGGATGCTTCATGATTGCACCGCAAAAAATGCGTGTTTCAACATGCTTTAATGCCTTTATTGCTGGAATAGCACAGGTAGGTGAAGGCACTTAACTACTTTTTGCCTCTATTGCTTATTGCCTGTTGTTGAAATGGTGGTAGCACAGCGTTCTTTGTAGCAAAATAATGGCTAAATGTGTTAATCTGACTTAAAACTTCAAGACCTATTCTGTTGGTGAAAGAATTTCTACTTTCTACTAGTAGTCTAAACTTGCTGCCTCATTGGCATAGGGATAATGGTTTTGTGTGCATGGAGGCATGCAAATACTATTACTGTATGAAAAATTAGTGACTGCTTCAGACCTCTTTGCCTTCTTTCACTAGCCTGTGAACGCCTTACTTTCCTCCTGTGTATTTCCTCCTTTCCTCTTCAGGAAGACCTGGGACCCATGTGTTCTTGCTTGTTTCCCTGCGTGAGTGATCTGTAAACTCTTGAACATTCTTCACTTTGTAGGAGGCTCATTTTTCTTCCAGTATTTTCTCTTTTCCCTTTCCTAGGAAGTGGCATCACCATGATGAACTTTTGCCTACAGTGCTATGATAAATGACCAAGCACATCTTTGCCTTGTACCTTCTTTCTCCATCTTGTAAGGAGGACCATAATTTTCTACCTCACAAGGCTCTTCTAAGGCTCAATTAATTCTTAGTCATAGCAAGTGCGTGGTACTGGGCTGAAAAATATTTCACACTTATAGAGTATTATTTGCAATGAAGCATTATCATGGCTTCAATGCTTTTTCCTTATCACAGACTCTTATAAAGGATTACCTTAGGGGAACAAGAGGGTTTTGATTTCAGATGTCCACTGTAACCTTCAAATTTCAGTGATCATAGTTGACCTGATTTTCATAAGTACTGCTTACTGCAACTGTAAATATCATCGCCTGCCTTTCTCTTCCACTTTTAAAACATCTCATGATAGCTGAATTCACCATTTCTGTTTAAAAGCTTCATAATTGAATCCTAGTTCCTCTGACGTCAAATGGAGTTTGAGAACTTCAGTAGGCCAGGATTTTTTTCTGTGCAGCAGACATCAATATTTTAGTTTATATTTTAGGGGAATTTGTTTCTTAGCTATAGGGCTGCTTAGTGTTGGGAATCACCTTTACTGCAAGAGAAATGCTCTTTGCAATCTGAAGATGTGTTTCCGCAATGTAAAGTCAATACTGAGCTCCTAAGAGATCTATTTCAGTTTTAGTTCCTGCTGAAGTCATAAATACTTGCTTTCCCCGCCAGCTCCACAAAGGTTGGGATTGGGTTGGCTTGCTGGTTCGTTGATTTTGATTCAAAGCTTGGTTGGAATCGCCAGTTCAAGAAAAAAAAAGTCCAATATCTCTTAGTATTTTTCATCATAAAATCTGAGTATTTTGAACTGCTGAAGACATAACCCGCCTATTTCTCCCCCTGGCAGCCCAAGCTGCCTGTTTGGCGCTGGCCGCCAGTGCGGTGCTGCCCCACGTGGTGGCGCTGCTGCGCAGGCCTGGCCCAGCATCCATCCCAAATCTCCCTGTGACAGCTTAAAAAGTGGGTCTGCTCAGCCTGAGACGTTTGCATTACAGTACGTACTGTGCGTTAAGGCAGCGCTCTATCTTCTTTGTATGGATGAGTTTTTCCTAACCGTGCTCTGTAACTATCACAAGTTACATAGGCACTGCAGTGTAGGACCAAATTCGGTGATTATATATCATATATTCAACAGGCTCGCCCTACATGGAAAGGCATGGGATTCATCTCTTTAGCTTTGTGTGCACGCAACACAAATATTTGAGACAGCTGCACATCGAACTGGAGAATTTTATGTGGAAAAACTAGTCATCTTGTTTAGAGAGAACTTGAGACATGAGTTTAGTGTTTGTAAATTAGGCTCATCCCCTTGTTCCAATGAAAAACAAAACAATTACAGACTGTCTGTTTAAATGTACAGAGCTCCTGATAAAATGTACTTAGTCCACTGAAACTGCAGGGACATGTTAGATCTTGGGGTTGTGCTGGACTTCGTTTGGCCTGTTGTTACATCTTCCCAGGTGTCAACCACTGTAGGTCAGCATCAGAGACGAGAGCTTTGTGGATCCTTGTTAGCATCTAGTTTAACTGCTGATTTCAGGGTGTGTGATTTTAAAAATAGCTAATGTTGCAATGCTAATGGGAAGATTATGAAAAATAGCAATGCAGTTTCAGTCGAAAGCACAGTTGTGCCAGGGTAGTGGGAATATGTGGTCTTACTGCACCTAACGATCAGGATTCAAACCTCTAGGGCAGACCCCAAATAGCATGATGCTCTTCAAAGTTCATGGAAGGCAAGGCATATGAGTAGCAGTAATCACAGCAACCTGTCTGGGGCCACTTAAGATTGATGAGTATTTTATTTAAAGCAAGATATTTTTCATTCACTTTATTCTTGGATCCTTTAGAATTTTTATGCTTAGACTTCCCACATAACACAGTGGACACACTCTTACCTTTGCTATGGTGGAGAGTGGGATTCTAGTGTCATTACCTAGTTCCAGAACCTGGGGCTTAAACATCTAATGTGGCAAGCCTGTTGAGAAAAAAATAGAAAACAGCTGCATCCTATCTGTTAAACATGGGATATACATGATATGGTTTTGTGTGTTGAAGTATGATCAGCTTGTGCTATAATACAGGGCTATCCCAGCATAATATACTTTATGAAATTGCCAGTGTATGTTAGGATTTAGACTGTACTGGATGAAAGGCTTTCAGAACACATTTTCTTTTGTTTAATTTTGCCTATCTAGCTAAAATGAGAAGATGGCAAACTCGCAGAAAGCTTCTAACTGGTAGTGAGGCTTCCTTAAAACTGTCCATTTCTTTTCACTTAACTAGGACCTCAAGTGTATTATTTTTCAACATAAGTGGATTTGGTTTTGGTGAGGTAACTCCTGTACTCTTTTCAGGTGATGGACTATAACATTAACCTGGGAAAACACCTTCTTCCCTTGGTGGTGCAGGTGTTGAAATATTGCACGTGTCCTCAGCTAAGGCATTACTTTCAACAGCCTCCTCGCTGCTCCCTCTGGTCCCTCAAACCTCACATTCGGCAGATGTGGTTAAAGGCTTTGCTCGTTATTCTCTATAAGGTGAGTGGTCTTAAAAAGAAGCTGTCCACAGAAAAAATTACGCTTCAATTTAAAATTTGTTACAGGGAACACCTAAATGTACAGCAAGTGAAAGGAACTGTAAAGAACACTTTTCTTTTATATGCTTACTTACTGCATTTAATTTTAATGTCTGAAATAGTTAGGCTTTCTTCTGTGCTACTGACTTCATCTATGCTTCTGCAGTGTATATTGTCTTTTGTGTGTTTACCTGAGAAAGAAAAGTATGAATTTGAAAATAGGAAAATGATGTATGAAATTCCAGTGAGAAGTATTTTGAGTAACTTAAAATTAGTTTTGAAAAATTAGTAACTTTAAATGGGGGAGTGTGTCAGTTTAACAGCTTGTATTCTTTAGCTGAGTGATGCTTTTAGGAAGTGTTGTTAAATGGTAATGTGTCTATGCACTGAAATGGGGCTGTGAGTACTTTTGAGGTGCTTAACAAATTTCTAGGAAGTCTGTAGGGTATACAAGGAAGTGGAGACACTAAATGTTACTAATATGGACTTTTAATATTTTATTAAAATAATTCTGTGTACAAAGCTGACAACAGTCCTGCTTCTCATGGTGTAATTGTGAATGTATGATGAAAGGAAGGCGAAGGGCATCCAGCTGACCATATTCTTGTAATATTTCTATTTTACTGCCTAAATGTTTATCCAAGGAGAAAAGTTAGTTTTTAAGCTGAAGTTTTTCTCTTTCGCTGAACAGTACCCCTACAGAGACTGTGAAATCAGCAAGATTGTACTGCACCTAATCCACATCACAGTCAATACCCTCAACGCTCAGTATCACAGCTGCAAGCCCCATGCAACTGCTGGTCCTTTGTATAGTGACAACAGTAACATAAGCCGATACAGTGAGAAGGAGAAAGGTACTTTTAACACTGATTTGTATGATAGTCATTGATTTAATTCGTTAAATCTTGCAGTTGTTGTAGAAATGGGTAAATACGGTCTAAACCTTAGAACATAATACTCAGAATTAAGTCTGAAGTGTGACTTTTATGACCAGCTATAGCCACCTACAGTAAAAGACATTCACAGTTGCTCCTTAGGTTGAGATGTCTCACATCTCTTGGGGGGAGTGTATCTTAAACTTAGTAGTTCAGTCATCATGATAGTGATGATAGTTCTTAGCCTTTTCCATGACAATGCTAACTGACCATGTTCACATGCAAGGTGTGCAACCAGCCTAATGCCACATTCTGATTTTACATTGTCATGACTTGGAATCATAGCAAGAAAAGAGAAAATTATCAATTCAGTCTATAGTTTGCTTTTCTCTGTTAAAGGAGCTGAAGTTGACTAGCTTAATGCAAATGTATTTGTGAATGTCTAAGGGCAGAAGAGAATGGTTCAACCCCTTGAGTCAGTGTTTGATTGTTAACTCTATGTGCTTGCAAAGGTGCTCTCATGATGTGAGCTGGTGTAAGCTTGGGCCTTGAAGTCACATGGTGTCACTGAGTGTAACTCCTTACAATTGTGAGGTTTATTACATGGTAAGTGTTAGTGATCAAAAGGTTTTATCAGGTTTAGCAGGTTCTTTTGATGATAATCTATAGCTGCTTTTCAGCTATTTTGCCTTTTAGCTGCTTGTCTGTGATTTACATCCTCCTTCTCAAACAGTCGTCTTAGTGTGGAGTAAACTTCTGAAAAAAAATCCAAGAAGCACTCTTGTTATGCGTGTTGGTCCCTTTTCCTCTTGCTGCTTGTTGCTTGTGAAAAGATATCCAGCAAAAGAAGAACACATTTTTTTTATTACCTGAACACCCTATTACTCAGCTCTTGAAAATTAAAGCAAGCTTAACATGGATTTAACCTATGTATCACATATTCTCACTCACTTGGATGTTTAGTATTGGTAGTGGAGGGCTAAGAGTGTTTAAATAACTGTGGCCTTACTATAAATTTGTCTTTGTTTTGAGCCAAGTTAATGATTTAATTCGTAGTGACTTAATAATGCTGAGGGTAGTAATGATACATTTATAAAATGCATTGACTTTCTGGATTGATTCTGAGATGTTTCTAAGACAAAGTGAGGTGACTAAGTACCCAGCTTGTCCAACACTGGTTCCCTGGGTGGCCTTGTGTCTCACTTCATCATTGTTTCCCTATGTTTACATTAAGGTTAATAATATTTACTTGCTTTCCAAAGCTGTTGTGATGGGCTTTGGGCTGCGTGGAGGTAAAGGACCATAAATGGACGCATTTTACTCTGTAAATACTGACTTAACCATAGGGCTTATTCTCCTCCTTTGTGGAAGGGCTGCAGAAAAAGGAGGATGTAGGAAAGTTTTCTTCCATCTGCAAGAAGCAGCCAATATAATTCCATAGGGACTTGGAAAGTTGAAGCCTTTCCCACCTTTTCTTAGGAGACTTGTTTAATCTCTGGTCAGGTAGTGTGTGTATTGCTGCCATCATCAAAAGTGATGTTTAGAGAAATGAACAGATGAGAATTTCTTGTCAGGCAGCAAGAATCCCTATACTAAAGATGGATTTTCCAACTATTGAACCTTTTTCCTACTTTTTCTGCAAAACTTTGTTGTGGGGTTTGTGAGTGTTGTGGGAATCAAGTATACAGACTGCTGTAGAACCGGTGATAAATATTGTGAGAAGAAGCATTTGTTGCCATGGGGAAGAAGAAGTCACACATAGGATGTGACATTAAAAGTGATCTCCTAACTTATTAAACCCAGTTCATGTAGAAATTCTTACTATCAACCTTGTTTGATTTTTCTGGATTTGTCATTTCAATTAGGTATCTTATGCCCTGGTGCTTTTAGGTGGCAGTTCCATAGCTTCACATGTACTAGCACTTTCCAGAAATTTCAAAGCTAAAGATATTTATGTTGAATTTAAGTCTTCAGTTTTTGTCCATTCTAACTCTTTGACTTACTTGCCTCTCCACTCCTAGACACCAAATGCATTTCCTCTCCATATTTGCTTGCTAGAATAAACAAGGCAAACTTTGTTTTTCTTTTGAGTGCTCTGTTTTCTTTATGGTCCCAGTAGTGTTTTATTTCCTTGAAGATGAATCACTGGATGTAGAATCACAGAATGATTCCTCGTGATAAGTATGGATTTTTCCTTTTTTTATTTCTGTTTCTTTTAATAGCCATTTCATACAGATGATGTGGCACTTTTCAGATGGATAAATAGATTTGGATCTTTCTTTCTCTTTGCCATTTTCAACTGGCAGGTCTCAGAGCATAATGTTTTACTATTACTACTTATATCAATAATTTCATAGTTCATACTCTTAGGTCTTATTCTATTACCAGCTTCTCCAGATTATCCATTTCTTCCTTTTTCGCTTTTGTATTTTGCTGGTTTATTACTGACCCTGCAGTTCTTTGAGTAATTTCCGTCTTCTTCAAGTTACCATTTCTCACTGAGCATTACAGAAGTTGTTTACTCGAGTCAGTGTCCCGATCAAGTGTATTTCTTCCATCTAAACAATCTGTATTATTATCAGTAGAAAATATCAGCTTAGAATGGTAAAAGCATTGGTATACTTTTGTTGTGTTGTAACCCATTTTTCATTTATCTCTGACTTTAACTGAAGAGATAACAAGAATGACAAAGTTATACCTGGGATATAAATTGTCTTGCAGACTTAAGATGATTCTTCATTTTTCAATCAAATTTAGTTGAAACTAGCTGGGGTTTTGTTACATAGACAGCTTTTCATTCGAGAAATTGTGCTCTCTTAAGAGTAATAAAGCTTTTTCTTTCTTCAGCAGAGGAAGACAGTGTTTTTGATGAATCTGATATTCATGATACACCAACTGGACCTTGCAATAAAGAGTCTCAAACTTTCTTTGCAAGACTGAAAAGAATTGGTGGCAGCAAAATGGTGAAATATCAACCAGTTGAGATGAATGCTCAAAGAAGTATGAATTGTTTTGTTGGTATAAATTCATGTAGAAATACAATTTCCTACTCTGAGTTTCAAGCTAACACCTTTCTTTGTAGAGTTTGTTGCACTGCCTGATTTGAATACAACTGCTCTATCTGACTTAAAAGAGCAGATACTCCTCATTTTCCTGAATGAATTATCTTTCAAGAATCTCAGAGTAGGCATTCCAGAATAAAAATATCTGAAATCAGCAGTTGTTTTCTGAAACTTTAAGCTCTTTTGAATTAAAAAAAATTGTGAGGATTTGTTGGAATTTTCTTTGACCATTGGGCTGAAGATTTTTACTGAAATTAATTTTTACTAGAAATTGATTTTGTTGGTGAGGTGGGACTCAATGGTAAGCAAATTTATTGTTGCTGCTGCAAATGTTACGCTTTCCCATTGGCAAAAATGGTCATTTGGGGATTTTGAAAAGTTGGAACTATTTTGATTTCAAATTTAGGGTTCTGAAATGAATAGCCTAAAAAAAGTTGAAGAGATTTCCATCACCACCCACTTGCCTTTTTTTTGTTTCAGGTATTTGAATGGGGTAGGGGGGATGATTCTGACTAGAGCAAACATCTACTTTATTCCTCACTTCTTTTTTTGCGTGGTGATTCATGTGTGGAGTATTTTGAAATATGGGGATATTGATGATTAGGAATATCCTGTCTTATGTGAAAATATGTAATTCATAATAATAATACAACAGTGTTAACCCCTAAAAATGTTCTCAGTGAGTATGTTTGCATAGCAAAATACCAGTGCGGTGGTAGTACCAGCAAGTGTAACTGTGCTTGCTTCCCTCCTCCCTAGGACAAGGAGCTATGACTAAGTGGTGTGATAGTTGCTAGACTTACAGCTAATACTACCCTTGCTTCTTGAATTAGAAGCATCCATTTTAAGCCCACTTTGCTGCAGTAAATTAATGTAGGTGTACTACATGCAGTCAGCCCCAAGTGTCTGTAGAAATGTCTCCTTTCAATGCACAAGGCTAAACAGTCTATCTTCAGGGTACATCTGTCCAGGATGTATAGAGTTTGGACAGTTTTTAGATAAACCCTATTATCCAAATGGCAGGTTTTTTTTATTATTCTTTGTAAATATCTGTGTAATGTGATTCTGAGGTTAAAACGAATGTGGACAATTTTGACTAATACTAGGTTTGTATTTGAAATGCTAGTCATGTTGAATTGTGAGATAAAGATGAAGATATCTGCCAAAAGTCTCCAACTGAGGTAGTATTAGCTCTTTCTGTTTTGATCAGGTGAAATAGAGCTGGCTGAATATAGAGAGACGGGGGCCTTACAAGACAGTATTCTACGCTGTGTGAGAGAAGAAAGCATTCAGAAAAAAAAACTGCGCTCTCTAAAACAAAAATCTCTTGATATAGGGAATGCAGACTCCCTGTTGTTTTCATTAGATGAACATCGCAGGAAGTCCTGCATAGACCGGTGTGACTTAGAAAAACCACCTGTCCCTGCTGCTTATGCCATGCACAGGCAGAGCGATTATGGACGATCTCGGCAGAATTCTTCTACTAAAGCTGAAAATATAGAAACACAAGAAAGTCTTCCTCGTACAGAGAGTTTCCAGGAAACAAGAAGGCCCGTCATACCAGAAGTTAGGCTAAACTGCATGGAAACCTATGAAGTAAAAGTGGACTCCCCAGTTAAACCTGCTGGTCCCAAGGAAGATTTAGATCTGATAGATTTGTCCTCTGATTCAACATCGGGTCCTGAAAAGCATTCAGTGCTCTCCACTTCAGACAGTGACTCTTTAGTCTTTGAACCACTTCCTCCCCTTCGAATAGTGGAGAGTGATGAAGAAGAAGAAACAACAAACCCGCTGAACGATGAGGTCTCTGGCAAAACTACTGTGTCATCTCCTTCAACTCCTATCAATGTCTCTGCACTCAGCCTTAGCACAACTCCTCTGGTACAGTTCAGCATTGAAGATTGCTCCAAAGACTTTAGTTCTAAGGATACAAGCAACAATACTTCATCAGGAATCGAGGAGATAATTTCCACTTCTCCCAAAGATCAAAAGGACTCTTCAGAGTTAGTTAAGCTGGAAGAACCTCAGGACATGTCCTCTGGGAACCCACTAACACTGAAACAGAAGAGGGACCTGCTGCAGAAGTCATTTGCCCTTCCAGAAATGTCCCTTGATGATAACTCAGAGCTCAATGTGGAGGAAATTAGACCTAGTGGAACAATTCCAAGCCCTAATGTAAAGACAGTCCTTATTAAAGTCCCCGAAGATTCTGAAAAGCAAACAGAAAGTGATAAACTTGATACCAACACAGAGTCTGACACTGAACAAAACGCAGAGCAGAAACAAGAAGAGGAGACTGAGGAGTCAGAATTTAAGATTCAAATTGTTCCTCGCCAGAGAAAGCAGAGGAAGATTGCTGTGAGTGCTATTCAGAGAGAATACCTGGACATTTCCTTTAACATCCTTGACAAGCTGGGAGAGCAGAAGGAGTCAGGTGAGCTCACTGACCCAATCGAAAGGATTATTACTGCATGAAGGTTTTAGTAACAGACTGGTGTAAGGAGATGTGTATATTTACAGGGAGAGATGTGTATATGTAGCATCTGACGTGGTCCCAGCCAGCTGATGCTTCCAGGTGTTTGTTTCTCACAAGGAATGTACTGATACAGGCATTGTGCCTGTGCGAGGGCCCATTTGAAAAGAAAGTAGAGCTCAATGACAAAAATATTCATTCTGATTCGAAGTTAAGAAGTGAAACTCCATGGCCTCTTTATGCAGGGAGTCAGAAAAATGGTCATATCTCTGTGCCTTTTATCCTGCTGAACTAATCCATGCTACACTGATTCTCTTCTGGTGTAGTGATTTCTGGCCTTTATTTCTTTTTCCAGCATAAGGCAGTGGAAAGCAGAGTGGATCACAAAGTGCAAAGCTGAGCAGGCTGTAAACTTCAGAACTAAGAGCACTTAGAATTAACCACAGTTTGCATTTAGGAACAGACATACACACATATTTTGGTTTTATACACTAAAAGCTTTTGTATTAGGTATCCACAAAGTTTACATGGCCTGTTTAAATCTTTGTTAAAAGTTTAAAATTCAAGCATGGGGAATCCTCTGTGTACCCTAAGTTTTTCCAGGTGATTTCAGTGCAAAGTTTTGTTACTAAGTTTTTTCAGATGGAGAGAAAGTAAGTTTTTTCCATTTCCTCAGTTTCCAATTGAAACTGTGAAACAGTTTGAAAAACTGTATGCTGCTGCACTTTTAATTGTGTGGTGCAGTGAGGGGGAATATTTATGCATTCCCGACCTCACTTTTTTCTTAGTTGCTTCAGAGACAATCACAGTGTACTTTCTTATTATGATATTCCACTTTCACAAGGAGCAGTCGTTCAGTGTAATCATAGTTACATTTTCCCCTTTATGTTTCAGGCCTATTGTCCCATTTATGGTTCTAGTAAGCTGAAGAACTACTGGAGCTTTATAGAAATTAAAGAGAGCTGAGTGCTTTTGAACCTTTTATATGGATACTCAGGGAAGCAGAGTCCTGAAAGAATTGTGCAATTAGACTCAGTGCTTCTTTGACCATTCATAAGGGCCAGTTTTCATGCAATAACTAGCACTATCATCCCTGAAACTGCTGTGCCAGTCCTGTATCGCCAAGTGGAATCTTTTTAGTGAAAGAATCTTAAACTTTATGAATCTTTGGGATCAACTGCTGGATCAGCAGCCTTTTGAAGGGTAAACCAGACAACATGTTGGAGATAAGGCTTTTAAAAGATGTTAAACCATCACTTAAACTAGATTTACATCAGTGGTACCTCTATTATTTCCATGTTGGTGGTTCCAATAATCACTCTGAGAGTGGGATCAAGATCAAACTATGTGCATTTATTAGTTCTGAGCTCTAAAGACCACAGGCAGCAGTCTCCTTTAAAGTGATTTTGAGCACTAGATCCCTGTTCCCCTATAAAAATTCTTGTGAAACACACACTGAATCCTTTTGAAACTGCTGGGAATGCCAGATGGTGTATGGATGACTGAAATGATTCGAAAAAGCACAATTTTCACATGCAGATCCTGCTGCCAAAGGACTTTCAACACTGGAAATGCCGAGAGAGTCATCATCTGCACCGACCCTTGAAGCAGGTGTCCCAGAGACAAGCAGTCACTCTTCCATATCAAGTAAGTTTACCTCTGGTTTGAGGATTAAATCAAAGTTACTGTATTTGTGCAGCAAATGCATAGCATGTATGGTAAATTCCTTCCTCTGAGTTTCATGGATTTGTGGAAATAATGTGTTGGATATAATTAGATCTGTTAAACCTCTGATGGTCAGCAGGATTTTAGCAGTTAATGGGTACAAGATTTTCTGTTGTGACATGGCAGGTTTGATAACTGTGGTTTTCTTGAATTAAGGTAGGTAGCAGCAGCTAAAAGCAATATTTCACTAAAGCATTGTCAACTGTCAGTGCACAGAAGCAGAGGATGAGAACTCCACAGGGCTGTTACTGTGGCCTTTGATACATTTCTTGCTGTACCTTAGGGAAAGAATCTCATGCAATTTTTGTAAAATGCCTTGAATGCCACTTCCTCAGCTGCTTGCTGTAATGTGGTAACTATTTATCTGAGACTCCCATATCCATTTCAATTGAAAATGAACTATATTGACTCAAGTAGACATGACACATAGCTTAACAGAACACATGAAGATAACATGGTTAGAACACTAACAAAATTCAGAATGGTGTGTTCATCTAGGTAGTGCTAAATAACACATCTGAAGGCTGATGGAACAGAACTCTGACTAATAGAAAAGGGAGGGGAAATGACCTTTGATACCAGTGAACTGCTAGATCAGCTCAACTGTCTTGCTGCGCTTCAATTTCAGATTGCTATAGAAATGTTGAATTTCAGTTTCTGAAATTCATTGTCTGCTGATTTGATCAGAAGGGGTGTCTGGCCTATGAAAGGAAGGTGTTAATTTAGACATGCAAGTTGAATACTCTGAATTAGATCTTACCTCTCCAGTTTTCCCACACGCGTCTCGTGTCATGTGTATCTCATAGTCAGAGAATATTTGTTGGCCAACTAATGATACAGATGTCACTTAGTAAAGCAGCTGAAGAGGTACCAGTTAAGACCTATCTCTTTTGGGTTTAGCTGAGTGCTAAGGATTCCTGTAAATACCAACATATGACACTGAGATTAGCTCAGTTGTTTAGAGCATGGTGTTAGTAACTCCAAGGTCATGGCTTTGATCCCCATATGAGCCATTCAGTTATGAGTTGGATTCGATGTTCCTTGTGGGTCCCTTCCAACTCAGAATATTCTGTGGTTCTGTGAAATTGGAAATATTACCTCTATGATGTTAAGCCTAAGTTCCTATGTAAATATTTCTTTCCTCTTTCTGTGTACCTCAGTTTCCAGCTGCAAAAAAGAACATGAATGCTTCCATTGTGTCTCTTGTCCATTTAGACTGAAATGGTTGTGACCTACTGTGTGTCTTTACAGTGCTTGGCATAAAAAGCCCTGATCAGGTCTGTGAGCACAAGACACTTCAGTAACACAAAGAGATAACATTACTTTTACAGCCAGTGCCTGGCCACAGGAAGCATACATCACTGACTGTGACAGGAAGATTTTGCCTTTGAACTTCTCTTTTTGAGTAGAGAATTCCACAGGAACGGAGGGATGATTGTGTTGATCACTAGCTAACAAATGAAAGAGTTGCCAGCTACTATATGAGGGTTACTGATTTTCTCATGATTGTTAGGTTTGTTGGAGAAAACCTGAGAAGGGAAAACTTCCCTCCCTATGGCACTAGTCAGTCACAGGCATGAAAAGTTATGTGCTGGTCCACAGCAATCAACCTGGCTCCAACGCTGTTCAAATGCTGGCAACTCTTTGGTTTTGTGTTTTTTGTGTGTGTGTGTGGTTTTTTTTGGTTTTTTTTGTTTTTTTTTGTCTGTTTGTTTGTTTGTTTTTTAATTTGTTGTTGTTGTTGGTTTGTTGTTTGTTTTTGGTTGGTTGGTTTTTTGTTTTTTTTTTTTTGTTTTATATTTGTGTGTTTGGGGGTTTTATTTTATTTTATTTTTATTTTATTTTTTTGATAAGCTTATCAATATTTGAAATCATGGCTGTCCTTGAGAAATGAGGTAAATAGTCCTGGAAATACAAACCTGCTCAACAATAGCCTGGTCATGTGAAATATGCATGAAATTTTTTAAATTGCAATCACAAAAAGCTGTTAAGAAAATTCAAAGAGATAATTTTCTCTATTTTGACAGTCATCTGCTCTCCAAGCAGTCTTGTCAGTTCTAACATTAATTGCTGTTCTTTCATCAGGAAATTCTGTGCTTGATAAAGTGATAAAGCATCTATTTAAAATCATTGCCCTGGAAACGATGAAAATTCTGTTTTTTTCCTAATTTGCTCTGAAAGGCAACTGCAGTATAACTTTTAAAAGTGAAATATGGAATGGTCTCTTGGTCAGCTTCAGTTCCGCAAGCTCAGTTACACCAGGACTGCTTTGAAAAAATGCTGTAGAGGTTTGTACTTGGACCAAAAATAGAATTTAAGTGGACTTTGAAAGGATATAACTGAAAAGGATATAATGAGGAAAACTTGAAATACTTTATCCGATAAAATAATTTCAGTGTACAGATTTCCTCTGAAGTATTTATTGTGTTTACTATTATGCAAGGCCTGTGTATGTTTTGTGAGGGAGTACTCTGTTTACTCTGCATTTTAAAGTCTCTGATAGAAACTGAGTAGAGCAATTTTAGGAGAAGGCACTCAACCCTTCAGAGCTTTCTGAAAGTTGTAATTTATCCCTTATCTCTGGTTCTTCATCACAGTTAATAAAGTGAAATGCTGGGTTTAATTTCACAGCTTAGCTGGGTACTGTTTGGAATTTTAGAACAGAACTAACTGATATTATGTTAATGTCCTTTTTAATGATGTTGAATGTAGTGCAGATGAAAATAATCATTCAGAAAAGATTTTACTTTGTTGCCCTTGTTTTAAGGCCCTACTGAGGAAAGAAGTTAAACATATACTTAAGACAACATTTTAAAAGCTTTCCTGGATATTTATGTCAGCAGTTTCACAGTCCTTGTTCAAGCATGGCCTTAAAACTCTGTCTTCGTACTGTGAACAATGATTTTATTTTCAGTGGTGGAAATATATTGTTCGGACTCAACTGTCAAAGTGAATTTATTATACTCATTCAATTTGAATTATTTTATGAATGAAGGAAAAAGTAAGAAACTCAGGAATTGTGTATAATCTGTTTCTTCTTCAGTTTGAGCATAGAAAATACATAGAATCATTTAGGTTGGAAATTACCTTAGCATGGTAATTTAGCCAAGTCCACCCTTAAGTCATGTTCCTAAGCACCAAATCAACATAAACAAAAAGTGTGAAATTTTAAATCCACTTTATGTTTTGATTTTGAGCATTATCCAGTGAGAAATATCTCATAAAGCAATCCTTTTAAAGAAGTAAATAGTTGGATGAGGAAGAATTGAATGCTTGTTGATAAATAGCTTTGTGCAGGAAGTATGGCAGTAAAGTTACAAAAGGGTCTCATCTTCAAAGGTGTGCTGGCTTCACACTCCAGCAGAATGGGCAGGTGTTAAGCCTGAGTGGTGGGTATGTAGGACTGTGTTCAGGTTGTGCCACCCACGAAGGGTGCTGGTGGTACCCTTGGAGGGTGCTGGTGGAGGGTGCTAGTGTCAGTGAATTTGTTTTCTTGCAGTGAGCACAGACGTAGAGCAGCAATCCTTACTTTGCCAGGGGGAGACTGAGTTTCCTTCCTTGGTACATTGTATATGAGTGAGATTCAAGTACACATTTATTGACTCAGAATGGGAATTTTGGGGTAGTATCTGACACTTCACAGATACCCAGTGTTTTGATGAACTTTCGTGATATTTGGAGATAAAAAGGCACTGACAGTTGACACAGTGAATCCAAGCCACTTCTGACTGATGGCATTGAGGCCAGAACTGTACCCTGTGTAGTTGTGTGAAAGGTGTGTATTGACTTGAGAAAGATCCTTAGAGCAAGCAGTCATCGTCCTTTCAGTATTTATATAATGCTGGCTTGTAAGATCAGGAAATAAGAGTAGTTTTAAGTGTTGTCTGAGCTCCTGAAATCCTTTTGCATTTCTGACTTGCAGCTCAGTTCAGACAAATGAAAAGAGGCTCTTTGGGAGCTCTGACAATGAACCAGCTAATGAAGAGGCAGCTGGAACACCAGTCTAGTGCTCCTCACAATATCAGCACTTGGGATACTGGTGAGCTGCATTTATTGTTCTTTATTTTTATTTTCTAAACCAACTACCGTGTAACAATCCACTTAAAAAAAGAGGAATATTTCTGTTCTACCATCACAGATAAGTAATCAAGATCAAGTCTAAAGTGAATCTTTGTAGTGAGTACAAGATTCTCACCTGGTATGAGTTGGAATAGTTACGTATTTGGGAGGTAGATCCTCTGGTACAGTGGTGTGCCTACAGTTTTGCATATTACCTGGATTATTCCCTGGCCTCATTGAAAGAAATGGAAGTATCACTGTTGATTTCATTAGGTATAGGATTTCATCCCTGGTGCATGGAATTATTTATTTGCATGTGTTTTTACAATGGTGTTGGTACATCACAGAGTTGTGCCTTATACCAGCCAGTTTTGTTTCTCTTTAGAGAAGTTTCTACCAGCTCATGCTGAACACATGAAGTTTCTGTTCACTCACTGTTTTTTCTCCCCTTAAGATGAATGAAAGGGATGAAAACTGAATTAAACACAACATTTACTCATTACTTGTTTTATTTGTTTTTATCATCTGTAAAACATTTTCAGTTATGACCAAATTCATAGCAGATGTAACTAAACAATGACTTCATTCTGGTTTATCATAAATGCTAGATATTTCAATGCTCATCTTGATGTTAGTGGCATTACACAATCGTGCTACTTAGGAATTTATTAGCAGATCCAGATGCATCCAGAGACAGGAATGCTTAAAATGTTATATGGTACTTCTGCTGACTGAATTGTCTCACCACCAGCTCTGGATAACTGAGTTGAAATTTGTCACCAATTTAGATTTCAGCATGAAGTTCCATCAAACTAAATTTTGTAGCTGAAGAGTGGCTAAAGATGTGGTACGTAGTTCAGGATTATCCTTTTTATTCCAGTCTGCTGAGCAGCATGCTCAGCATGACATCCTTAAATCATAAAGGTCACAATTTGTCAAAGATAACAATGGTGGTCGTATCAGCAGGTAAGTTTATTTATTGAGGAGTCTTAACTGGATCAGCTAATCTCTCAGACAGGGTTTTAAAGATTAAAAAGTTACTGTTTTTTTTCTGCAAGAAGTAGTTAGCCTGTATTCAAGAGAAACGAGTCAATACTCAACACCACTTAGGAATTCTGTCTTGTTAATCCTGTTGCAAGTTTAGTAGCTTTCTTCACAACATCTATGACTTTTCCCTCCAACATTAATTTCAGCTAAAGGCCTTCAAGCATGGAGAAGCAAAAGAAAATGTTCTTTTCTGGAAAGCTTTTCATCTCTTAGTCTCTTGTTCAACCACTAGCTTAAAAGTAAAATTATTATTTGTACAGTGGGGTTTTTTTTCAGGACAAATGCTCAGTGTGACTATTTGTAATTTCAATGTCACACCACAGTTTTAAGAAATGAAAATATGAGTTGTTATATTTATGTACCAGCTAGGAGGTGGTCTCATCCTACATAAGTATATGACTTGTGTTTGGTCCATGCGCACTTTAGTAATTTATTTATTTATTATGTGGATATGTAATTGCTCATTTCAAACCACTCTTTTCTCAGGCTTGCTATCTGTAGAATAAAATCATTCGGTGCCTGGCTTCTTTCAGTACAAACTATATCTGACTTCTAGTCTCTTGGTATTTCTAAACACTGTCTCTTTCTCATTTTGTGGTTCATATATTTCGTATCTTGTTGAAACTTTATGGCTAGGACTTCCTTCCCTTTTTTAATGACATTTTTCTAAAATGCTTTCTTTGTTATTTGGTTACCTGTGTCCTTTTTCCTTTATGGACTTCTTTTGTCTTTCTCTCCCCTTCCTCTCTATGCTTAAAAAATTAACTCTTTTGTTTGGTTTTTTTTCAGTAGCAGTTGTATTTGTCTTTTTCTTGTTTTAACAGTTCAAGACTTGTGGTGCTGGTGACTGGTGACAGATGCCGGAATCATAGTTCCGGAGACTGAAATTCTTTCTTTATTCACAGAGCAGATACAGCATGGAAAGAGGCTGTGCAATGTTCCTGTTTGCCTAAACCCTGACTTGGAGGGACCACCACTAAGAATCAGAGGTTAGTTCAGTGTCCATTTGACCTGTCTCTCTGCTAAGACTGCCAGGAAGGTTTTATAGCTAGTACAAAATGGTACTGAATTTTATGTTCCATTCAGCTGTTTTAAAGCCCTCAACTGTCCTGCAGATTGTAGGTTATTGGGAAATTATTGCACAAAACATTTAATTTAAGACAGGAACAACTGATAAGGAAGTACTGGCTTTCCTCTGTTATTTGTTTTGGCTGTCAACCCGGAAATAAAAGACTCTGTGTGCAGTGTGGTTGAATGTAATTTCTTTATGAACTTTCCTCCCTCTCAGCTGAAGTACATCCAGACTTTCTTACAGCCCTGCAGTGAGGCAGTGACCTACCTTCTTTGCCTAAATCATGTGTTTTTTTTCCTACTCTTCAGTAAACAAGAGAGGACATTTTCATTTTGAGTGGTTAAGTCTTATTTCAGCATTGTAACATGCGTTATGACTGCTTTTAGCATTTGTGTGCTGCAGTGGTGACTTAAATCTAGAGAACATGACAATGAAACTTCCAAAGTCACAACAGAGGGATCTTTATGCATTTGTGAGGGAAAGGAAAAACTTCTCTAGAAAAACCTGAAGATCTATTCCTATTCCTTGCATTCTGGATGTTGTCCTACATTACTGGAGTATTCTGGACTTCCGTCATATCCAATAAAATCTTAGGGGGCAGTTATGAAGTCCTAAACTCTCTATGTAGACGAAATGTTTCCTTCCATGCTTAGTGAAATGTTTGTTGAAAACCTGTCCTATTCTTGTGAAACAAGCCCTCATCACTCCACATATTTGGACTTCAGAAAGGGTGTGAGCTTCTTAGATTATTTTGCCTGAGAGCTGATGTTAAATATGCTTTTCCTGCCATAACAGGATTATCTCATAGCAAATTCCATCTGAACCTTACACAGAGAAGCTTCCTTCTGTTTCCATACTTAAATATTATCAGAACAGGCTAATGTTAACATTAAATCTGAATCTACAGATTGAAGCAACCAGAAAGTCAATAATGAATTATTTAATCTGTGGTTGAATTGGCATCAAAAGGGCTTTGATACTCTTTTAAAAATTGGTTCACAAAATGAGCTTTTCATAAATTGGTCTTTAGAGTGAGACACTCTTGGGGGACAGCTTATATAAATAATGATGAGGTTTATCAGCTGAGCTCCATGGCTTTGTTATTGCAGCTGAGCTGTATAGGAACAGGAGTTAATGCTGTTTCTTTTATGGCAGCTACATGTGACAACAAAGAGATATATTTTTCTTTAAGAACAGAATATCTTGTTTTGTCTTAGTGACTTCGAGAATGAAACTGTTAACAATATTTAAATGTTCATCATGAGGCATTGCAGATGAATGATGTAGCTCATACATCACAGTAACTTTGATCCAAGTTTCTGATGGCTCATAAATGAGTGTGATTATTCTCAAGTGTTTCTGAGCAATCAGACTAGCTGGAGAGTTGTCTTTTCTGTATGTTATTTGGTTTTGTTTGGTTTGGGGTTTGGATTTTTTTTTTCAATTGCTGTTGTCTCCTTAATGAAAACAAAGGGACCAAGGGAGGAAAACTCTCCTTACTGGAGAGAAGTTAGACAGTCGGACTACCCATATTGCTGTAATTCTGTAAAGCAGTGCTCTCAGAAGCCAGGACTTTGGATCTTTCATTATACATAACTTTTCCTATTAAAACAAGCATCTATCAGACATTAGGTGCATATAATGTGCCAAAGGCAAAGGTAACCCCATATGTTGGCATGATCACAGTGGCTGTGCCCCCAGTGAACAACTCAGCTTTGAAGAATAAAGATATTTGTGAAGGCTTTCAATAGAAAGCATTTCTAATGATCAGCCCTCCAATGTTTTCAATATTTTTCAACTCCTCATGAATTATTTCTTCTATCTGTTCTTTCCTGGTTTCCCTCCTGTGGCTCTGTTAGGGACGGTATGAATAGACTGATGACCTGGTTTTGAGACATAAGAACTTATTTTCTTCTTCATGTCACTGAGAACTGTGGAAAGTTAATTGTCCACAAGTATGGGGGAAGAATACAATCTTCTCATGTCCACTCTCATAGCAACTGTAGAGCCATCCTCTCTCCCTACTAGATACAATTGTATCCACTTTCCTGGACTTCTTGTTATTTTTCATCTTTTTTTTTCACCAAGGATTTATTTATTTATTTTTAATTGATAGTTCCAGGTAATTGGAATAATCTGGCAGAAGCGAGGAATGTGCTATATGTCCTTTTGTGGACACACTTTATTTCTTATTTCTAGGCATAGTAAAACCATTATGGTTATTCTTTAGAAGTTTGCTCTTTGGATTTCTGTTTTATGATTTTCTTTCCTTTTTTTTTTCCCCCTAATTGCCATAAGGTGCTACAAAATCTAGCTTGCTGTCAGCACCCAGTATAGTCAGTATGTTTGTACCTGCACCAGAAGAATTTGCTGATGACCAGCCCATTTTGATGACTGACAAGTAAGTTTTTTTTTCTGTTCCTTTCAAAGAACTAGTTGAACTTTAAATATGTCAAGTAAAGTATAGATATACTTTATGGAAACATTCTGTTATTTATCTCTATGCCAAGTTTTTTACTTATTTTTTTTTACCTCAAGGTAAACACTTCCTAAACACTGCCAGCAAGATGTGGTTTTAATTCAGTAGGACCTGGATGATTTTGCCCAGGTGAAATGATGACTCAGGCTATTGCGTGTGCGCAGAGGGCAAGGGAAGCACTTTCCATCCTATTTTAAATCAAGGGTTCTTTGTGATCCATCAGAAACCACTTTTGTCTTAGGGAAAAAAAAGAAGTTCTATATAAAAATTCCTTTGGGTTTCTGTTGAAATCAGTATTGCGTAATCATGTGTAATCAATGTAGCATTTTTAAAGCTGATACTCACTGATCCTCAAAGCTTTTTCAAACCCTAATTGGTTGATTCAAATACCTCTAAAGGAAGTGTTAAACAGAAGTATATTCATTTAATGGAGAAGTAAAGCAGTCATCAGGGAGCCATGCAATACTTGGGAAGAGAAACCACAAGTTTTTTCCTGCTCAGTCCAAACATGCAAGGATAATCACTGGAGAAAGACAGGACCATTGTGCAGGCTGTGACTGGAAGTGGACCTTATTGTGTGACTAAGTGAAGCATCCCAAAAGTTAGTCTGGTCTGTGGCACTTCCCTTGGCCATTTCAGCAAAGCTTAAGCACCACCTATTAAGATACAGACCAGCTCGGCTTGACTTTCATGGCTTTATTGGCGTATTTTCTTTCTGTTCAGTAACAAAGGCAAGAAAATTGCCTGTTCAGTTCCATTAAGTTAAAATCTCACAATCTGCTGGAGTCATTAGCAACTGATTGATCAAATTAAGCAAGCCTTCCTACTGGGCTGAGATGAGCCAGTTTCCCACGTTGGTTTGCCTTTTTCCTAGGTTGTGAAAGCCTGTCTCATCTCTCCTAAATCTGACATCCCCTTTATAATTAGACATTACGGAGCTCTTTCAGAACTTCAGCAGTTGTCTTTGAGCATTTCAGACAGGATAAGTGACTCAGAAGCAAATCTGCCCTGGGAAAGTAGACTTGTCTGAAATCTAAGATTCTGTGCCCCTGAAAGGTCCTTTCATTTATTTCTTAATAGCTGTAACTGCTGTGGGAACCAATCATATTGTTTCCTAATTGTGTAATTTGTTATTCATAATTCATGATTGACAGGAAGGGCAATGTGAAATTGTTCCATCTCTTTAAGATCATCTATGAGTGTCATTGTTTGTGTCTATGCTACTACACAGAAGAGTGCCAGGGGCTTGAGCCCTTGCCTGAGTCCAAGTCATATGAATTGGCTTGTGCTCACTTTGCTGAGGGCTAGTCTTCACTGCTGCAGGTTTCTCTTGGATAGTGCAAACTGTAGCAGACCAATACAGTGAGGGAGTTGGAATACAATTACCAAGGAAGGACTCAAAACAAGGCCAGCCCTGTGGCCCTCTTTCATTTGTCACGGAAGAAACAGCCAGTGAAGCTAGTGAGAAGCTTCATTAACATTTAAAAGCTATACAGTATTATTAATTATAGAATGATCACAATTACATTATTTTTCTAAATAAATTTGGAGTAGAATGTACTAAGTAATAGTATTTTAAAAAGACATAATTATATACAGATGTATGTATAGTAATACTTTGTTTTAAATTTGTTAATATCAGTTTTAAAAACTGTTCTTTGCAGGTGCCATGACTGTGGGGCTATTCTTGAAGAATATGATGAAGAAACACTAGGCCTAGCCATAGTTGTGCTCTCAACCTTCATTCACCTTAGTCCAGACTTGGCTGCTCCTCTGCTATTGGACATCATGCAGTCTGTAGGAAGGTAAATTCAGGACTTTCCTCTCTCCAATAAGATTGAAAGAATTTTGTGCCTGGAATTGGGTTTACATAACCTTCACTGTAAAAAGGTATATCTTTTAGAACTCTTAAGTAAATAACATCTGTTTCTGTCTTGTCTTCGTTACTCATCATTTTATAAATTTCTTATGTAACTTCTTCCACTATTAGTTCAATTTTGGGCAGCTCCTTTGATATTTTCCCTTTTTACTCTCCAAAGGGAGATTCCAGCCGAGGCATCTCCCCAGTTTGTCCTACTGTAAGCAGTGATGTAAAGAACAAATTCAGATTTTTTGCAGTACCCTTATTTATTTACTACCCTGTTTATTACCTGAACAGCATTTGATGCAGCAATTGGCATGCTTCTTGATTGCTTTATGTGAAGAAAAATTTACTGTTAGTTTTTATTCCTCCTACTAGTTGCTCCTTGAACTGTTTTTTTGTGCTTTGCTAGTTGCTCCTTGAACTGCCTTCCTGTGGTTTTTATATTCTATTTGCTTTCATTTGAGACATGACTTCATCTTTTTGAGAGGCCTTCTTTTTGTAATAATCTCCCTCACCTTACTTTCTTCTGCTCTTCTGAAGACTTCCTTAACAAGTACCATACCTTTGCCCTGTGCTTCCGCTGTAATATTCTTAAACAGCTTCTGTGCTTCTTACAAAAAATGAATTCTCTTGGCTCCCCCTTTTTCCTGCTTTGACAGAATTTTTCACTTTTATGTGATTCCTGCTTTAGAAGTTATGCAGAAGTGTGATCAGGTTTTCTGAACTTTGCTCCTGGAGGACTCCTAGGTAGGATCATTCATTAGCATACCTGAAAGTCTTCAGGCTTTACACCTGTATTTTTTATGCTAATTAAGACTAGGTAACAAGTTGCATCTCCTCATGAGGGCTTCCAAACCAGCTGCTGCCCGAGGTTGTCTCTGATAAGGTCTTAAACACATTACCTGTGGTTGCTACCTTGGCCACTTCCACGGCTTTTTGCCTCAGAGGTGGGATGAGTGTGTTGGGGGTGTTATAGAATAAATTTCTGAGCAGCACTAGACATGTAGAAATGATGCTCTCCTCCTCCATGTTCTTTTTAGTGACTGAAGTTCAATTTGCTTGACTGTGGCTTCTGCAGGGGCACAGCTCTTCACAGCCCTGCTTCTCCATTACTTCCCAATTCCATTTAAACACAGCAGCTAGTCAAGTCCTCTATTTCCATTAATTGCAAGGCTGCACTTCCTTGCCATCACTGGTAATTAACTCCAGTGGAGGCAAAGTTTCTAATCTAGACAGATACTCATTCCGTATGACTCTTGTAAATACAGCAGTACTACAGCCACAGAGAGTAAGTAATTTGGAAGATGAATTAGTCTTGTTGCTACTGGCTGTAGTTTTGGACAAATTCTAAGTTCAATAAGAGGCTCCCCACAAAAGAATTATTTTGAATATATGCTAAATAAGTAACATATACAGGCAGAGAGGCATTCAGGTACCTCATGTATATAACCTAAGTCTGTCTTTCATCTAGCAGTGCCATATCATTACCTCCAAATACCCATCTAGCAGCAGAAGTGAGAATGAATTAGACTTTTTGCATTTCTATTTTTACAAAAAGAACCGCTGCTTTCATGCATAGAAGAGGAAACAAGGAGTTAGGTAATCCAAGGTCTTTCAGAATACCTAAACAACACACAGAGAGATTTTCAAAAGTTATTTGGGTACACACAAATACAAAGGGGCATTTATTGTGATTTTCAGAAGACAAGAAATTTTTGGGTTCAAATGACTGAGAATTAGAGATTGACATGTTCCTAAGATTCTGACATGCATTTTAGTTTATGCTCTGGTTCCTGAATTAAGATTTTTGATTTGGTGATTCTTATTTTATTGATTTCCAAACAGTAAAACTGGATTTGAAAGTTTAAACATTTAGACTCTTGACAGTGAAGAGCTTTGAAAAGGTTAACTTCTGTTCCTAATATGTACAGATTTAAACACATCCGTTTACTACCTACTGTCCATTTACTGTTCTGCTTTGTGGTCTGCAAAGTGGAGGTAATGATGGGAGTTCGTGGCCTTTGTGCAACTAAGATATTTAGAGTAATGATAAATACATACAAACTGTACCTTTCACAAAGTTTAAGGTGTTCCCAAGCGTTCAGTGTAGTTTATGTCTCATGAAGTTTTTCCAAAGTTAGAAACCAAATACTTTGTTTATCATAAAACCCATGCTTGCATTATCAAATTCAAAAGGAGAAGAGAACATTGGACTTCGACTTCTTTTAGAAGACAGATTTTAAGGTCTTGTTTTTCTATCCTTCAGCAGATTTTTGAAGGCAAGTATCATGTCCATTGGACATGTGATTAGTCTCATTGCATTCTGCAGAAATCCTCATGTGCTTTAATGTAATCCCATGCTACAGTTATTCCAGAATAAAGGTCTGTAGTGCTTGAAGGTGGCTTCAGACCTTTTCACCCAGAAAAAACTTTGCACAGCAGAATTAATATGTTGTATTTTAGTGTGGATTCCTCTTAAAAATAGTGGAGTCAGGAACTCTAATGAATTTTTCTGATTTATGCTACCACAACTGAAGAAAATTTAATCTTCAATCCCCTGCACCATCCAGTTTGAGATTATTGCACTGTTGACAGTATACTGTGTCCCCAGCTTGCCAGGCGTAATTAATGAAAATCACCATCCATTTTGGTTTATGCTGTTGCATTCAGATGAGCTGCCTTAGGGTCCTTTTTGGATTTTCTGTGGTGTTTAGAGAGGAAACTATCTTCAGAACAGAGGCTGAGCAACAACCTAAAAGGATCATAAATCAAAAATAAACATTGAAGACCAGGTCATCAGCAGATATAAAATAATGTAGTTCTCTGAACTTTCCACTTAGATATATTGTCTTATACCATCTGAAATACTAATGTGCAGCAGATTAAAGTAAAAAATGCATAGTATTTTGTATGTAAGAGATGTTTCCTGTGTACATGTTTATAATTGCTTTTTAGTGGCTTTTATTATTAAAGGTGTGTTGCTTTGACATTGTAAGCCCTGATTCTGTTCATTTACATGTCCTGCATATTGAAGTGCATGATTTTACTTTAAGATTGTGTCCAGTGTTTTCATCACTGAATGCCCGTATTTAACTTTAAAGTCTATATTTAGGTACTAAAATAAATGACCTGATTTTGGGAACGCAGTCTTTCTCATCTGACTTTGTCAGAGCTCATAGGTAACTTAGCATTTCTGAAATTAGGACAGTTATTTAGGTGCCAAAATGTGGAACTAGGAGCCTTACTTCAGACTGCGAAGCAGAGAATTTTTTGCTTAGTCTGTGTTGCTGAGTTAATCAGAAACAATTCAGTCAGTAGGCACCTTCTGGCAAACTTTCTTTCCCTCTAAAAAAAAATCAGTTATTATCCATGATATGCTGTAAGGCAATAACTTCACTATCTTTGTGTAGTAGAGGGAGCCAAGTAGATTTGTCTTTAGAGCTGTTAAGTATTAGTGAAACTGCAAGAGTGAATAGGGTTTATATGTCATGCAAACATGATTTTTCTGAATTTAAATGCTCTGCAGAAGATCTTTCTGGTGACATTTTAAATGTTCTCTAAAGTTGTTGTTCATTATTTATTTAAAATAATACTTTATTGGCTTACTTAAAAGCGAAACTCAGGAAAGCGTATATGAGCTTCAGTTACTTTTTTATTTTTATTCCAGGTTGGCATCAAGCACCAGTTTTTCTAATCAAGCAGAAAGGTATGGTAGCAAATGATACCTTGACAAAAATGAAACAATGAATCTAAAGCATCGTATTCCCTGACCCTGAAATCAACTAAATTTAACTTTTAAAAAATGTTATTTAAGGTTTGTGAGTAAGAGGAAAAAACTGCTCTTTCCCGCTTGTTTCAAATACCATGTGTGTTCTGAAGATGAACAGGAACCCTTATTCATATGTATTAAACTTGAAAAAACTCAGATTCAAATGTAATTTAAAGAGGCTGCCTGGTTTTCACAATTTCAATGCAGCTTTTTCTAACTTGTCCAGTGTTCAGTATTTGTCTCGATGAACTCTCTCTATACATTCAGTCAAATGAATTGTCCTTGGCCATGGATAATCCCTGGAAGTGTTGTCTTATGAAGTAAAACAGATGCTGAATAGGTTAAATTCATTTTGAGAAGCTGTACAGCATGTTAAGATATGCAGTTTATGAGTAAATAGGTAATACTTTAGCTTTTTAAATTAAATCATTCATTTATGAGTGATTAGGAAGTATTTAAGCTCTTGAAGAAAACTGCAAGAGGCAAATAAATATTATTGTTCTTGTTTTCTTATTGTTCTTATGTATGTTGGTAAAGCAGAGAGCCTTACCCTGTGTCACTGAAATACACAGGGTGAGAGCAGGATTGTATTTTGCACTCAGATAACTCACAAATAAAACTGGAAAATCAGGAAAAATACAAATACAAATATTTATTGAGACAAATACTTTAGGTTTGTGTACATAACTTATTCAGCTCTTCATAGTTGATCTGAAGTCATAAAATCAATATGCTAAATTTTTGGGGGGATCGGGACAGTTCTGCTATTGACTATCTCACTCAAAACTGAACAGTTCCACAATTAGAAAGAGTAGCATCATTATTTTCTCCCTGTAGTTAGCTTTGAGAAGTGTTTTATCTGCAATGCATTTTTTTTCTTCTTTTTTTCTTGCCTTCATTTCAGCATGATGATCCCTGGAAATGCTGCAGGTGTGGCCAAGCAGTTCCTCCGTTGTGTGTTCCATCAGCTGGCTCCCAATGGCATCTTCCCTCAGCTCTTCCAGAGCATTATTAAAGGTAATGTGCGATACCTGAGTGCATTTCTGACCTTTGGTTTCCTCTGTATGAACAGCCAGTGCAAAAATGTCCTTCAAATTTCAGATGGAAGCTTTTTAAGGACCTTGGCCACGTCTCTTATGGACTTCAGTGAGCTGAGTTCCATTGCTGCTCTGAGCCAGCTCTTAGAGGTATGTTGACAATTGGCTGTATTAATGGTGCTAGTTTTATTAGCGTTGCCAAGCACAGTGGATTATTTTGCCTCATTCGAGTTCAAACTGGCATCATCAAAAACAAAGTAAATTTTTGTATTGTCATCCCTGGAAGCAAGCTGTCCTCACCATTTTCTTTCTGGGTTTTGCTCTCACTAGTAGTTTGGGTTTTTTTTGTTTTGGTTTTGTTTTGTTTTTTTTAATCTCACACCAGCTCCTGGAGCTATTCTATTCATTGGTAGTGAGACCCATTCTTTCTTAAGAGTTAGGATCCTGTTTATAACATTTTGGCTCAAAATCTTTTGGTCAGTAGTTTAGGAACTGAACTGGACTAACACATAAATGTCACATATACAGTTCAAATTCTCTCCACAACATTATCATTAACATCACAGAAAAGCTAAGTGGTATTTGATCTGAACAAATTAGCCTCAGCACTTCCAAATACTGTTTAAGGGACCATTTCTGCATGTGTACGTTTGTTCACTGTTCTCATTTTCTTTCCCAGGGTTTAAACAACAAAAAGAATTTGCCAGCAGGGGGGGCAATGCTACGCTGTTTGGATAACATTGCTACCTTTATGGAAGCCTTGCCGATGGATTCACCCAGCAACCTCTGGACCACGATTAGTAATCAGTTTCAGACCTTTCTTACTAAACTCCCATGTGTTTTGCCACTTAAGGTATGATGTATGGACATCTGAAACAAGATATACTACCATTGTTCAGGATGTACTGAAACAGTGGGAAAACTGTGGATGACAAATCAGAGTGTCATGTGAATATTTTCTAATGATTCGACTAATGTTTCCAGAGGACTGGATTTATTGCACCTCTGATCCATCCCTTTAATTATGTTTTCCGTGGGTAACAATAGCGACTGACCAGTTGACTCTTTGCTTCTTTCTTGGCTTTTTGCCTATATGCTTTTCATACCCTGTCTTTGTCAGATTGTATTTGAGAGAGTCAACATTTAGGCAATAAAAATCCATGTGGTTTTAACTGTTAAAACTAAATAAAACTCTCAAGAAAAGCAGCATCACTTAATTAATTTGCTGAAAGTACACAGTAGTCAGACAGGCAGAGAGAACTGAGACTACTGGGAATTGGGCCTAGCTTGTTCGGCTGATCAGGCTGTAGTTCTGGCTGTAATCAGAATATAGTTGCAGAAACTGAATCTAGAAGCTTTAGACTCTGCTTTCTGAGAACTCAGAGGACATACAGCAGGATCTTAAGTCATAGGAGTATATTTCCAGATATCTTTTCAGTAAAGACAGTAAAAACTTTATTTCCTATGGTATGAATGAGCCCAGTGGTAATTTCTTCTGTGCAAAGTAGTGTTGCTCAGTATGAGCTGAGGGATCCAAGATCTGATTTTGTGATTGATAACATTGTCTTTTCAATATGGGGTCATTGCCCAAGTACATGAATGATATTAAATTCCATGGCAGTACTATGCAATAGTCAGATCTTGAAACCTCTTTAGGTTTTGGAAGATTGAGACATTATCCTGCAGCACTTATTAAACCAAACAGGCAATAACCATTCCCTCTGTATACTAGCCACCCCAATCTGCTGCGTCTTATGTAACTGAAATAAATAGAAAGAAATTAATTGGATCTTAGTGGTTCCAACTGCATATGTGCCATTCACAGAACCTTTAAGGTGAAGTGTTTACTCTGATTTTCATGGAGTAAAGCTAACTTCCCTAAACTAGCCCTTTAGTGGAGTGATCTCATCTCAAGGCCTATGCTGAGGTATGTTACCACTGAAGGGATACAATTGTATTCAGGAATAAGCCACTTTAGAGAAAGTAATTAAGAAATCATTTTTCAGACTCTGCCTATAACTTACTCATAGCTGCTACCACTGTAAGCGAGATGTGCACAGAAAGGTGCTAACTCTGTTTTTTATTTTCTTTTCTGTCTTCAAATATGTTCAGTGTTCTTTAGACTCTAGTTTAAGAATCATGATTTGCTTGTTGAAGATACCCACCACTAGTGCCACCAGGGTAAGTTCCAAGAAGATAAAATTCTATTGCCTCAGATTTAGCCAGCCTGTGCTACTGTATCTATTGTATACTGTTGTGCTACTGTATTGTGTGCTTATTCCCTGGCTAGGAAAGTAATATATAAACATAAAATGGTGCAGTCCAATACTCTTTGGAGAATAATAAGATCTTTGGAATCTAGGTTACAGTAAAGCGTGGATAGAATTACATTCTTGCGTGGGTGTGAATGTATATCTTCTTAAAGATTTGATGTTCTCTTTTTTTTTCACCTCCTCTTTTTTTTCTTGAAAAAACCCCACATGAGTAATGAACTTCCTTAGGCATTTTTCGGTACAATTCCACTGAGGTCAGTGAGGTTTTCCTGCATAAACACTACAGAATCTCGTATACCTCATAAGCACTGTGTCAGAGGTGAAACTGTTCTCTAATTTTTCGCTTCTAATTTCTCACAGAAGCAGGAAAGCAGATAACACAGCTGTTGGACCAAAGCAATGTAAATCCCAGGCAGAAAGACTCTGAGCTAAAAATAGTACTGTTCCATTCAGGCATTTCTGAGTTGGAATGCTTTTTGCTGTGTTGGGCAACCAGTTATTGATTTCTCTAAATCATGTCATTGCAGAGTCTTCTGGACCCTTTTTCAAAATTGCTAAGTTTTATAATTCAGAATGCTGTCTTCACTCTGGCCTACCTGGTGGAACTGTGTGGTTTGTGCTACCGAGCCTTCACTAAGGTAACAATGATGCTGTATCTTCCTTTGGGGACAAGGGAAAAATAGGACCAAGTCCTACTTCCCACAAGTAGTTTGGAAGTAAAGATGAAATCTTTGTCAAGTTTCAGACATGTCAACAGTTTTAATGTAGTTTGGCTAATCAAGTAGTTATCATGATTCAGTGCCTTTTAATAATACTGAGCTTTACATTCATAGTAAAGATGCAGATGAAGGGAACCTGCTGATAACATTTTTCAGAAAAGTATTTTGGTGTGATTTCATGACTTGGACTTTTTTTTCTCTTGTTGAGAAGATACCTGGTATTCATGCATTGCTTAAAATGTCTGTACAGTCATATCTTTCCTAGTGCACAGGTTTAGCCACACACTTTGTGAGTAGAAATGTAAACATTCCTGGTAGTGCCTTTTGAGAGCACAGCTGCGGGGGGAGGCAGCAGATAATTAAGTAAAATGGAAGACTCCAAGTTAGAAGTTTTCCAGCTTAGGTAATGTTTCATTCTGTATTAGCATTTCCCTTTGGCATGCACGGCTGTAAGCTGTGTAGAAAAGAGAACAGTATGTGTGCACCTTAAAAAGGTTTTAAGGTTCCTGGATGAAAGCTATGGTCTACAAATACAATCAATTACTACTAAGTTTCATTTTTGTAGCTACCAGTAAGAAACTGAACAACAAAATCCACAAAAAGCAATCAAACCTTTTACTAAGGTCGTATATGCTCCATTATGTAGATGGTCAAGGTCCTGAGTGAAAATGCTGCTTCAGCCACTAAGTGCACAATTTTCCATCCTTGATATGTTTGTCAGAACAGTAATTAATCCTCAGGAAACATTTTATCATAAGTAGCTACATGATTTTCTATATGGGTAATGTATAGCTGGAATATGTGTTGTTTGAGTCTTGATAAGACTTAAAATATTGCTGGACAAACAGTGAAGAAATGATAGAAGGAATGACACTCACAGAAAAGCTGCACCACAAGAAAATCAGAAACACTTTTACCAGATGTAATGGTTTGAAGCCAACAGTATGTTTGATGACAGCAAGCAAATACTACCTTTTTGTCTCATTTGAAACAGTAGATTTTATGAGACAGAAAAATCCTGAATACAGAAGAGATCATCTAGCTTTTGGAAGTAATTTGAGTTAGATTTATAGTTAAGGCTTTGGGAAAGGCAAAGTGAAAAAAATTAATGACTGCTGTTAAAAAAAAAGAAATCATTTGTAATGTGTTTCTCTACAGTGAAAATTACTGTAGGTAAATAAGAGTGTTGTTTGTGATAGAATACCAAATAGAAGTGAATTCCAGAATAATTTGTGAGCATTGAAACTATTCAAATTTAATTACTTGTTTTGCAACTTTGAGTATGCTGACTGGAACAAAACAGCAACTTTCAGCTAAGCTGTGGATGGTTCTTGTCCTTTCAAAGAGCAAGCTAGTCCGACATGCACTTTGTAGAGGTCAGTGCTGTACAACCACTCCAAATCTTTTTTTATCTCCACCATTTTCCTAATACCCTGTGGCAGAAATATCTGAGTTTCTCTTGTCTTGGAGCCTGAAGACTCACGTCAATCTGATATTTCCTTGTCTGAGTTTCTTTTCCAGGTCAGCAATTTGATTTTCTCAGTGCCTTTGGAACTCTCAGTTGAGAGTAGCATCTCTTCTGTGGATTGTAATCTTATCTTTAAGTTTTCCTTTTAAGTATCTTAAGGTCCTAAATGGACACTTTCTGGCTTTCTTATCTCTTACAGCTGCAGAAGTTTGAACCTGAACATAGCCTTTTGCTAGTATTCTGTTGTCCCTTACAAAGGAAATGCAGAATGCCTCATGATTTTGCTATCGAATTTTTTGAAAGAATATTAAGTGGCTGATCTTCACTATTTGTAATTACCATAATACCAACAGAGGTAAAATAAAGAATTTTGCTTTATACTGGCTTACTTGGAGGATAGCATACCACTCCATTAAATATCCAAATTTACTCTTCTTATTACTAAGTTTGGAACCTGTGGTACTGCTAGAACTTCAGTAGTTTCATGTACTACATGTAGACATCTGGTAAGTCACAATTTGAAGGTTGCAAGGCATTTTTTTATAGGGATGCATAGACATTTGAGAGGGTTAATTTGGCTGAACAGTGGCTAAAGTGTTGCATTCTTTACACTCTGATACCAGGTTTACACATGGGGTTCCCCTGGGTGTTATTCTCGTGCAACAATGACTCTGTGGCAGAATATGAAGTTCTTAAAGTATTTATAAACTAGGCTTATACATATTTATCACCAGCATAATGATAGGAATAAGTAGACTTGGATAGGAAGGGTATTCTGGGCCATGGACTTACGTGTCATCACTCCTGCTTATAGTGCAGGAAGCAAGAGGTCAGATGTCAAAAAACATTTTGCCTGATTTTGCTCGATCTCTCTGTTCTGCATGTGCTTAACAAACATTAAGAGTTTAGACTGTGAGATAGGAGGCTTCTTTGAGAAAGAGGTAGTTAACTGTTGTATTATCCTTAAAACCAAGAAGAGCTGGGATTCTTGAAGCCTGTGATTCCTTTCCAGTGTTCTGACAAAGCAATTTATTATGGCCCAATTATGTCCTGTATTGCATAGATGTTAGTATGTTAGGTAACTGGAAGCTTTTGAAAGAATTTTGTTTCTGTTCTTTTCCAGTATGTGCAGGCTACTGTGCTGGGTTACTGATAGGAACTTCTGTCCACTTTTTTGAGGCATATAATTGTCAACTGACTTGAGGATGGCACTGTGTAATGTATGCATTCCAAGACTGAAGGCATGTGATGGTAGGAAGGGTCACTCTTCCTGGTGAATTTTAGGAAGTAGTCAGAGCCTGTTTGCACCATGAGTATTGTGCACTGTTCTGGTTCTCCATTCCCAGTCAGAGTGGAGTAGAATCAGAGAAAGTTCAGGTAAGAGGTAAGAAGAATGATCAAAAAGTAGGATGAGTTCCACATACAGAGAAATTAGGTTAGGGCTCTTTAATCTGAAAGAGCAACAACTGATGGGAATGTGAGAGGTCTGCAAGGTCATAAGACAGGGATGGGTAATTTCATTCCTTTCCAGTACAAGAACATACTAAGTTTGTAGGACTTGGTGTCAAAGCAAGTAATGGGAAGTGATTCTTCAACAGTGTGTGACTCCTTGCCAAGTACCGTGTGTACTAAATGAGTCCAAGAGGTCAATGGGCACCTACGTGGAAGAGAAATCCACTGAGAGTTATGAATTATACAGAAACCACACTGAGCTCAGAAGGTCCCTGAGCTGAAAATAGTTGGTGGAATTATATGTGCTTGCCTTGTTTTTTTTCTTCCTTTTGCTTCTGCAATGGCTTAGTTGGAGACAAGTTACTGAAGACATTTGTTCTGGTCTGAACTCTCCTGGATATTCTTATATTGTATTATTTTTATCAGAGCACCACTCATGCATGTGGAACGTGTGACTTTTGAATGCTTGCCCCCTCAAGTAATGGTTTCATAACACAGCTGATTTTGGAGTGTTAGCTTCCTATGAGTTTAGCCTAGACTGCAGCAATGTAGTCAGACAAGGACAAGGACTGCAGTTTGGGGCCCATTCCATCATCTAAATGTGTTATCTGTCTGCACACTCCATGTAATTGAAGATGAAACTAGGGAGGTTGAAGTAAGGTCTGTTGATTCACAGACTGGCATCATAATGTCCATGAAAGACATACCATTCTGTTGTTTTGGCACCTTCTCCGAAATTGAGGCCTGATATTTAAAATCTGTTTTCATTAAAAGATATGTGTGTTCTGTGGAAGACAAGCAGTGTTGCTGTAAACTCTGTTTGATAGTATGCTACACACATAGTGTGGTGACATCAGTTCTCTGAAGAGGAACACTGGTGACTGTTTGGTCTGCTGCAAGCAAAGCTCTCTCTCACTTTCAGCTACTCATGTTCTCCAGGTCCTTCTTTTAGCTGCATTCTCTACCGTGTGTGGCTGGAGGTGGCTTCAAACTGACTATCACTAACTATACCTTGAAAGACTTCTCTGAGGAAGAGACAAATGAACCCATTTTACAGATACTGCAGAGAAACCGAGGCCCTGATTGAGTAAAAATTTTCACTCATTTAGCTTAAGTGAGCAGGCAAGTGCATGCGATTTACAAGATGGAAGATACTAGATTTTTAATCTTAAGCACACTTTGGATATGCTCTCATTACTGGACAATATTATTTCATTTCTAATGGTTGTCTGAAAGAGAACACAGCCTAAGTTGTCCTGCTGATCAAAATTCTTGAGTTGCCATGGTTGGTAGCAGGTTATAGATTTGTTCCACATTTTTATCTTACCATCTAAAGTCAGAGAATGTCAAAGTAAGATGTATAACAGGCCCATCTTATCTCTTGTACCTCCTTGCTGACTCAGCTCTACCGCTCTATTCTTAGGCTTCTGTCTTCTAATCTCCTCTGGCTGATTTCCCCCTATGTTTTAAAATGTTTCTGGTGTAGCAACTGTAGCCAAGACTTTTTATTGTGAAAGTGGAAAAGTACTGCTAGACTAATGAGTGAAAATGGATGTCCAAGCAGCCATAGTGCAGCCACCTTTATTTTAAGGGGAATAACAGCAGAAAAAAAGTATGGTAAAATGTAAACCATTTTTGGCAGGTTCAATGAAAGAATGATGCTAAATACTATACCAGTTTTGCTCTCCTGTGTCATTTTTTACTGCTTTCCCCTCTTCTTATTGTATGGAACTTAGTGACAGCTACATTTGTATGCCTGGGCTTTTAACTGTTTTATAAAATCTATCTGTATTTCATATGTGAAATATTAAATCTTGGATATAGTGCCTGATAAAACATCAAAGCATAATGACATTCACTGTTGTCTGTTCAATCAAGTCCATAGAATTATATCAGTGATGAGTGATGTCTGCTTTTTTGTGAGACAGGAGAAACTAGTACACTTTTGTAACTTTGTTATTCTCAAACTTAAATAAAAAGTATCCCTGTTTACTAGTGGCTGTTGGTGACTTTCAGGACATTCATAATTCTGTGTTCTTTTTGTTGTAGGAAAGGGACAAATTCTACTTGACGCGCAGTGTCATATTGGAGTTACTGCAAGCACTCAAGTTAAAGTCACCCTTGCCAGACATGAATCTGCTGCTGTTGGTGCAGGTACAGGAGATTCTTATGTTATTCTCATACTGAACCTGTCTCAGCCCAACTTCAGGAGTGGGACAGAAGAAAAACTAAGTCCAACATGGTTGCAAAAAGTACCAGCAATGTTAGGGAAAGCAGGAACTCTTTGAATGGAAATCCAGTTACTTATGTATGCATTGTTGCATACATTTAGGCTTCCACATTAAAATTTAAGAAACATTTCACAGAATGATAATGAGCTGTGCATCACTGCTGCCATATTGAGGATCATAGAATATATCTTGAGTTGGAAGGGACCCATAAGGGTTGAGTCCATTGAGCTTCATACCATGTCGCAGTGGAGCAGGTGCCCCAGGTGCTCATATCCTAGCCCCAAGCACAGTGTGCAGTTTGTTTGGGGAAGGGTGCTAGTTGATCATGGGCCAAAACTCAGTTTCTAGCAGTAGGCTGTCTCCAGTCCCTGAAGGTCATTGTCTTTTAACCTGTAGTTTTTCAGTAAAGAATACATAGACAATATTTCTGTTCTTTTCATTCTGTGGAGTTAAGCTAACTTTTTCATTGGAATATCTGAGGAAATAAGACACAGACTTGTGAAAACTTCTTCTGCCTCTGAGATGGCAAGTGCGACACAGTTTGGCACCACAAACCTGTCCCACAAAAACAATTTACTGAAGTTCTTCAAATGTAATCACAGGTAGTGGGCTCTCATTGTTTACAATGAGCTAACAATGAAATGTGTTTAGGAACTTAAAATTCTAGGGAACCAGCATAACAGCAGTCCATAAAGTGCAAGCAAGATGTTTATTACGTAGATCATTCATAATGCTTCCAGCATCTGAGCTCCATTCACTCTTTCCCTTCCCATTATGGGATCAGAGCTTCATGTAGCTTACTATGGCCTTATTTTCTTCTGAATACTGGTACATTAGTCATAGTAAGTAAGTGATTGCCAGTTGACAGAGAAATAATACTGACAAATGAAATTATATAGCCATTAGGATAACTCTGAAAACAATTATTTTGCCATCAGTGTTAGGGGAAGAATTTGGGGAGGGAACGCTTGTTTTTTTTTGTTTTTTTTTTTTTCTTTTGTTGGTAAAGGGTTATTTTTTAAAATCTATTTTAATTTAAAAAACAGGAATTTACCCTTTTAAAAAAATTATTATTAATTTCAAACTTCTTTTTTTTCACTCCCAACCAATACCATCAATTAGCTTAACAACCACCAATCTCTTTCTGTTTTACAGGTACAGTGATGCACCTTGATACTGTGTGCATTGGTATTTGGTTGACTAGAACTGACTTTTCTTGTATTACAGAATAAAGCAATTATTCTGCATTACTCCATTGTATAGCTTAGTCCTGTGACTGCCCCAAAGGATGACCATCCCCCAGTTTAGGCAATCCTGAATTTCTCATTTGAGAATGCAAACATGCCATGTCAGTTTTAGCAGTGGTATTTAACCAATGAACACTTGCCCTTCATATTGAGTCAAACACCTGATGGACCCAGTAAGCAAAACTATGCATCTTTATATTATCTCATAAAGTTAAAGTGATATTTGCCTGGATTTTCCTCCTAGCACTGTTCCCATATGCTGTATTCACTTTGGGATGTATTCATACCTTACACAACAGCATCTAATGTGGATATAAATGTCTTTTATGATGTCTTTCTTTCAGAGGCTGATGAAGTGATTCATATTTCCTGCTATCCAAAGCAGCCAGCTTCTGTTTTTATGCAGTCAGTGGTAAAGAATAGGGGTTGTATTCAGACCATCTGCCATAGATGATGCCTACTGGAGGCATGATGACTACTTCTCCCATTGACTGTGCAAATTGGCAGCTCTCAGTAGTATGTGGTCTGAATCATTCAACAGCTTCTTGAATTTAAATACCATAGTAACCACTAAGCCCACTGTAATTTAAGAAATTTGCTAGTAAAAACGCATACATATCTGATTTTTTAAATTTTCTTTGGTGTCATTAATAGAATGAAGGGATTAGTTCATTTACCACACAGAACCACTACAATATTAATTCAAATTGTATGATTTGAATCAATAAGGCCATAGCAGAATTAATACAGCACCAAACAGAAATGGCTTTAATTTCCAACAGTCGTGTCTCCATGGACATGTGAGCTTGTATGCAAGATTCCATACAGACAGTGCACACAGAATACAGAGATTCCATCAAAATGTTCCAGATAACAAAGAAACTAAGAACACTTTAATTTAATGATAGATCATTCGTGGGCTGACTAACAAAGGAATTCCTAGAAATGTACATTTGACACCCACATTTTTCCAGATTATATAGTGCCATCAGTGTCACTGGTGACATAAGTGCTAAGATGAGAGTTAACTTTATCCCACTTTACAAAGAATGAGAATTTTAACCACATCACTTCAATCGTTGCATAGGTGTCCTGGATGATAAAGGATACAGAAAGTCTGTCTCCTTGATTTGTCCTAGCAAATGAAAGCCATCATGTACATGCTGCTGTTCCATGGGTTTCCATAGGAACTGCTTCTTCACCCAGCATTTTGTTTCCCATTGCTTTTCTCCTGCTCACATTTCATTAGCACACATCTTCAGGATTTTCACTGACTTCAGGTTGTATTAGTGTCTCTTTAGAATTTACTTGTTCAGTCAGGCTCTAAGATTCAGTGTATCTGATCTGTTTTGTTTAGGTGACTCCTATTTTGGGAGGAGCTAATTTAAATCAGTGTATATCTAGTGGTTTCACTTTATGTTTCTGTGAAACTCTAATCTACTAATTACTGAATGAAAAGATTTAAGGTGACATATAATATGTTTATAAGAATATATATTTTAAAACATCGGATTATGAGTAGAGGTATAATATATACAGATTATGATGTATAGATAATTCATTACAGTCAGCAGACATTACAGTTTAGACATTACACTGCAGCTGTATCTCAGCAGGCAATGCCAGTAAGATGCATGACAACTACTTACCCATTTCTCATTTCTTTACACTGTCAGGGTATTTTTCTTTCCCTTTTTTTTCCTTTTTTTTTTGTTAATTTACACGACTGCCATGAAATTGCTTGCCAGTGACGTCTTAATGTATTATAAATTTGTAGAGGGAAACACATAAATGACAGTGAATTGGACTGGAAATGTAAGAAATTTTTCATTTTGAGTTTGGTTTCCCTGTGTTGTAGCGAGGTCGGGGTCAGTCTCTTTTCCCAAGTGACAAGTGAAAGGACAAGAGAAGATGACCTCAAGTTGCACCAGAAGAGTTTTAGGTTGGCTATTAGGAAAAATTTCTTCACTGAAAGAATTGTCAGGCACGGGGACAGACTGCCCAGGGAAGTGATGGAGTGGAGCAGCACATAAGGGTATGGTTTAGTGGTAGCCTTGGCAGTGTTAGGTTTATGGTTGGACTCTGGTCTTAACGTCTTTTCCAACCTAAATGATTCTGATTCTATGATCCTTTTTTGACTGCATTGCAACTTCAGGAAGGATGCCTGGAACTGCCAGTCTGACAATGAGAAAAATAAGCTAAACAAGGCCTAATTATTCGCTAGAGGATGACTTAAATTTATCAGTTTTTTTCACATGTAAATTAATATTTCTTATTTAACCCAAACTCTTCTGTACAAAAGATACAGAAAAGCTATAGATATATAGTTGGGGTTTTTTTTATATAGCTCTCCTGCTTTTTTAGAAAGCTTACAGCAGACCAGTAGAGGTTCCTTTGGGTGCTGTTTCTTGTTGTTGTTTTGAAAAGAAAATGTTTGAAATAAATGACATTTGTCTTTGGTGAGGGTTTTTTGTGACTTAGATGTTGAGTCCTGTACAGTGGCTGTAGCAGTGCACTGAATTGTTGGGTGCTAAATATACCCAGCCAAATTCGTCATGGAATTATGGGGGTATTTTGCAGCTGATGTAGTACAAGAGAAGCCAAATCTGCACAAAAATGGTTGACTGAAAAATCCTTTACACAGGAAAACAACCTCTCTGTTGTGCAGTGGACCTAGTGTCAGCATTGCTCTTTCTGAAATAGGGTGCATTAAGAAAAAATCTGTCATCTGTTTGCTTAAGTCCATTAATGGTCCTTTTTAAAAGAGAAGTGGAGAGTCATGGTTGCTGTTTGAACTAAGACTCAACAGTCTTTGCTGGATTGATATGCCCATACCCTAAGGCTTTCCTTTGCTTTCCATGTACTTATTATAGCTGTGGCACAGAAGAGCACCAGGCCATGTCTCATCTGAAATATGAGTTAGATTCCTGGTTTATTTCTATTTGACTCATTCTAGTGTAAAATAAATTTTAACCAGAGGAAGAGTCAACTGGAGCCAGGCCAGTGTCTAACTAGTTAGATTATTAGTCTAAACTCAAGTATGTCTCAGACTTTTTTTCAAGACAGGTGAAGTAGTTTCCAAGTCTTGGTTGGCAGTCTGAGTTCAGATTAAATCCAATTGAAAGGTAAAGCTTGTGGAGTGTAAGAGTAAATTCTAGGTCTGTAGAGGATATTCTGAAATTTTCATGAAGTGTTCGGTCATTGAGAGTACTGCTAACACACATGCATTAGACAACCATGAATTATATTGTGTAGTCAATATCTGTCTCAGTTTGTGAAAGTACCGTGGTATTAATTTTCAAGAAAGAAAATTAAGTCTTAGACCTTAGTTTGGCAGTTATTTTCTGTCTGCTCTTTCTTAGAAATTTACATTGCATCACTATGGACAGAAATTGCTCAAGTGCAAATGTAGTGTTAGGACAAGAAGTTGTAGGAACAATCAAATCATATGCAGGGTGTCCAATGCCTTATTGAATCTTATAATGATTAAATAACAGTATTAGCTGGTTTAATATATGAATGATGTGGACATTGGAGATTTTAGGTCAAGGGATTTGGAAATAAAAAGAAATAAAAAAAGAAGAATAAAGCAAGGAAAATAAAAGTGTAAGAGCAATTAGAAATATTCTACTATAACAGAATGACACTGACCATCTCTCAGAAATCACTTGTTTATGTAATACTGCAGCCTGTATTGTGCAGAAGTTATATGACACCATACCAGCATGTTCTCATCTTCAAAACTGTTTGTATAATTCATCGTTGCAGAACTTCAGTGAACATGTTATATCACAGTGAAAAATATAGCATGTTCTCCCTTGTCATTCTCTATCATGGTTTATTCTATAATGAATGAGGAGCATTTGATATATAGAAGGAATAGCAAATATGTATATATATGTTTGTTCATAAAGAAAGTCTGATTTTTATGCAGTATTCTCCAAATTGCTCCTGCACAGCATATGTGTTAATTAAGCACATTAAAGTCAGAATTTTTTCATTATATTTATCTCATTTATAATGATGAGTTAACTAGGTTGTTTGTGAAGAATGAGGTCTAGAAGGGCAAATTACCATGAATAAAATCAAGAAGACATCTGAACTGATTTTAATGAAGTAATGAATAAATTATTAGTGTCTTCAGGTTACTCCAAAAAATTTAAAAAATAACTTGTATTTAATTTTTTCTTAGTTTGTTTGTGCAGATGCTGGAACAAAACTAGCTGAGTCAACAATCTTGCATAAACAGATGATGGCCTCAATGCCTGGAGTAAGTACTGAATCAAAGTCTATTTCTTAGTTCTGTTGTTCTGTTTTTAAAAAAAATATCTTAGTCAGCTTGTTTCCTTAAATTTAATGCTCTTTCTTTTTCATTTCTCCTCTGGTGGGTAAGATGTATTGCAGGCAGAGGTTGAGATGCTTCATCCTTTTTATTAATTTTGGAAAAGTTCTGAACTTGATGTTGCTTCCCTTAGTTTCACTTATAATCTTTAGTCATGTAACTACTTTAGTGGAGCCTGTGCTCAAGACAAATGGAGATCTTCTACTATTCTGTGTGAGGAACAGACCAGCTGAATGCCTCAAAAAATGGTAGCAGGGTGGAAAGCTACAAGCCATTGCTTCCATTCTCACAAAAGATTATTTGGTTAAAGAAGGGAGTTAATGGTATATTCCTGGCAATGTGTAAGGCATTCATCTATATCCTGATGATGAGTTTAGTTTAGGAGTACTAAATTACAAGTACTCCTATTTACCTAGACACTGAGCATGCACCTGATGAATATGCGAAAAAGTAGCACAGTGGGAAGTCTTCTCTTGTTCCATGACACATGTGACTGAGTACCCAAACAGATGGAAGAGGGTTAGCCCAGGTTTGCTTCACAAACTGAGTGAGGAAAATGTTTCCCTATATGTGTGTCAGCTTTAGGGATGATGGGATAGGATCTTTCCCATTATCTTCTGAAGTTCATGATTTTTTAAATGCCAGTCTTTAATAATACCTTTCCTCCCAACAGAATATTTTAATTTATACTTGCTGTAAATAGATAGACTAACACTGGTGTTGGAAGCTGTGATAGGAATGTGATCATTTCAGAAGAAATCATAGAAAATCAGGCTTTGAATGAAACAGAGTAGATGGTTGGAAAGAAGTCTTGTGCAACTGAGCATTATTTTCAGAGATTGGAGTATAGTATCTTGTATAATTCTGTTATTCAGTATTCTGAAACCCACGTGGAATCCTTCGTACACATAAACTAGATGGAGGATATACTGACAGGGTGACCTTATTTTACTGGGTTTTATTCTGTCATGGAAACCGACAGGAACAACCTTTGAAAAGCCAGAAGGTGGCACAGTTCAACACTGTGTAGATTGATATTACCATACAAAAATGAGGAGTGCCCGGGCCAGTTGTTTAAGTATAGAATGCTAGCAGTTTTTCAAATTTCAGCCACTAAAACTCAATTATGGCTTAATAATTTTGCGATCAAAACTAAATCTGGTATACTCAGATAGGGTAATCAACCTCTGTGCTTCAAAGTGTAGTTAATTAAGTAGAGGTCAAAGAGGAGGAGTTTTCTTCTGTAAACTCTACTGCAATGTTTTGCCCTGAGCATATGACTTCGGATAAAGTAGTCTTTGGTGACTTCAAAAGGATATTTAATTTAATAATTTCATCGTTTAGCTTCAAAAGTTAATCATTGCTTTAACTTGGCCCCTAAGCATGAGGCATTCATAGTTCCCCTTGAATTCAGCTAGCATTGTCTTCACCTTAGACTATTAACATGGAAACAGAAGTTTATTTGATACCTAGTGGGTTGGTGGTATCACCTTCTGAAAGCTTGTCTCCGGGGTTCTCTGGTCTGTTCAAAGTCTTTATTTAATCTGACAGCTTTGTTCCGTTGACTGCTTTGCACACCTTGGGCACATAGTGTAATAGCTGAAGGCCAGATTCGCATTTCTCACTATGTTCTAGGAAAAGGATTATGAAAATTTGTACTGCAGAAATACAGCAAGCACCATATGGAGTCCTTTTGTTTTCCCTTTGGGGTCGTTCTTGCTCTGGCACATGTGGCTTCTCAGTGCTCACACCTTTATGATCTAACTGAAGCAGTTTGTAGCTTAAGTGCCATTAAGATGCTGTATTTTGAATGATTTTGATTCAGGAGTATATCAGAAATACTCAGTTTTTAAAAAAGGGAAAAAAAGTAAATTTCAGTGATGTTCATTTTAGTGATGTTTACACATAAAATACCTGAAGACAGTTATTTATACTATTTTTCCATCATGATTAGTGTGAATATAAGGGCATCTGTGCATGTGACTGAATTTCAATTATAGATTATTGTTTCCATTTGCAGAAATGCTCAGCTGCCTGAAAAACTGAGTTGTTAAATTCTCATCGTGTTTTTAAAACTTTGATTTTGGATCACTGTAAATTTCAGGATGACATGACAAGGGTATTCTTGCAAGTTTCATGAGTTAATCTTTTATCGCTGTCACAGATAAGAGTATTTTATAATGCATGAAGAAGCTTACAGACACTGGGCCATCTTATACTGTAATCAGATAAGAGGGCATATTACAGATAGAAGAAGAAGATCAAAGCATACCTATTCTTAATTAAAGTAATCTAACTAAAAAGTAAAATAAAGAATTTGAGACAGACCTTGTATTCTGGTGAAGAAGAAACAAAGACAAAAAACATTGAATGAACATTCAAAACCTGATACTTAAACTTATTTCTGTTGTGTTTTAGTGTGGAACAGCAGCAATGGAATGCATGAGGCAGTATGTTGGGGAAGTGCTGGATTTCATTGCAGATATGCATACCTTAACCAAATTAAAGGTTGGTTCTGAGCATACATTGATTTAAAGTGTATGTGCTTTTTTTAAAAGAAGTGTATTTTCTGTAAGGAACCTGCCTGGGAGAAGTATCTGAGGATGAGTGACAAGGTTTTTTTCTTTCTATTTTAAAAAGCTGTTAGTACTGCTATAGGTTAGAGACTTCTGGGGGATTAGTAAAAAGTAGCTTATGCAGTGTTGAAATGGAGGCTGATTCAAATATAGTGAGCACACAATAGAAATGCAGGCTTGATTTTTCTGAAATGTTGATGATAAGCTAATGATAAGTTTTTCTGAAATGTTGATGATAAGCTAATGTCATAGCAAAGTCACTCTGAGAAGTAGTGGTGTTTAATATAACACAGGGAAACATAAAAGTCCTTGCCTGTATGACTAAGTGCACTCCTCTGGAGGAATCCTGTGTCTCTTCTATACACAGACACTGAAAAAAGGGGGTGTCCTTTTTCTAATGGATGTTGTTTTCATTTTCAGGTTATGTTCTGTTGAGGTGGGGAAAACCCAAATATTGGTCTTACCTCTGTAATTGAAACTGCTTTTTGGTTTATTTTCATTAGTTGGATGCTGATTGTAGCAGGAGTGATAGGAAAATACTTCTGTCAACATAAAATATTTTATTTAGGAATGCATTTCATGAAAGCATCCTAGTAATCATTAGCTGATCAAAACCTAGAATTCCTAAAACTTCTATCTGGTTTTTCACTTTTGTGTTTTGAAATTGGACAAGAAGCTTCCCAAATACGTGGTCTGGCTGTTTAAAACTACATCAGAACCCAATGGTCTAAAATTACATGTTGTTTTGATTTAGCCATGTCATACAGGAATCTGAGAACAAGATTAGCATAATAGGAGAGTAACATATGACTAAAACATTAAGTATTGTAAAAAATAAGCTTTGTCTGTCTTGGAAAATTAAAGGGCAGTTCTTGTTTAACCAGACCAGATAAAACATTCTGTGGTTCCAGCATAGTTGAGAAAATATTTGTAAGCATTTCTGATTTCCGAAATAGTCAGAACTTTAAAAAAATTCACAAAATCTAGATTCAAATTCTTGTAAGCTCATTTAATATATTTACTTACATTACTTGGGTTTTATTAACAGAGGTGTTACTCACTAGGAAGTGAGTCCTAAGATCATCCAGTTGTACAGTTTCTTACTACAAGTATGTATTATCAACAGCATCTGGAGCACCAAGCTAACTAAGAATGCTATATGATTTATATGGCTGGTAACAATCCCAACCGCAAAATTTTAATATGTGTTCAAATTTGGAAATTTCTACTCTCTCTAGGAATTGAGTGAAGAGAAATAGTTGTTTGTTTATTCTTGCCTCATATCGTCTTTTGCGAGTCTGAGAATATTTTTTTGAAAGAGGTTAATTATTTTCAGTCCTTTGTATTAGCAACTACTGCATTATTGAAAAGGTAAAAATGTTAATTCTGAAGATAATCACATTTCAGTGTACTGTTTCAATTCAGCTTATCATGCTTTTTATCCCTTTGGGATAACAGTTTGCAAAGTTTGGCAAGGCTTTATTTAGAAAATTCCACCTTTTTTGAAAATGTATAATGTATCTGCCTACATACCTGTCTATCCTTTTTACCTGGCTGTATAACAAAGCCATTAGATATTCATGCTGGTAAACAGGGTTTTTTTCTCTTGAAAGAGACTTTAATTAAGTGATTTTTGAGAGTGTAAGTTTCTGGAGTCAGATACTTATCTGTTACAAAAATATTATTGGTTCACTGATTTTTTTATCCTATTATAATAATTGAATAACTGATGACCTAGATTTTCTTGTACAAAGCATATGGCTCTCCTTTTAAGCAAGCAACTGCATGTATTCTGTTATAGTCTAGTAGCAGAAGGTAATGCAAAGTTAGCTTAATAGAAATATAGAAGTATTTCAAGAAGCACCAATGAAACATTCCTTAAAGCTGGAAAAGCAGGATAATAAATCATCTTTCCAGGAATAAATATATATGTGTTTCTTGGTAAAAGGTTGGCCCTTTTTATTTCCAGGGTTCTAAGGCATTTTAACAACAGAATAGTGCAATATAGTCATATTGCAGGTGAATAAGTGAGAGCTTCTTTCTGAATGTGTAAATGGAATATTGTACAGGGAAGGCACTTCCTGCCCAGATGCTGTCTTGTTAAATGTTTAGATTCTTCCATCTTCACTTAAGCTCTCTGGATGTTCAAGCATTTATCAGCTGTTGAGTTTGCTCAGACAAAAGCTGCCTATACATTTTGTACAATTTATATTTTGTGTAGGCTCTTGAAAATATGACCCTCTGTGGAAAGATCTGCATATAAAGCTGTTACTAATATAGCTAATACAGGGACTAATACTAATACAGGGACTGGACAATTTTTTAAAATCTGTTTCTGGGTTTTGTTTTGTAGACACAGTTAGAGATCCTGAGAAAGAACTGAAGGGAAATGAAATAGAACATGCTGTTGCTTGGAGGAACTTAGGGTTTGGGTAGGAAATCAGATCTTTGCCTTACAGAGTCACATGAAGACTTGTTCTCAGCCACTGCATGAAGACACGTTTGGTGGACATCTGAAAGTTGGTTTAGCTCAGATTGCTGCTATGGAAATCACTCGGGGAAACCACAGAGACAACAAAGCTGTGATCCGATATTTGCCTTGGCTTTACCATCCTCCTTCTGCAATGCAACAAGGGTGAGAATGCTTTTCCACAGAAAGGAATACTAAAATGAGTTAGAAATCTTCGCCAAGTTCTGTGTTTATTGCCAGATTCCATAGATAAGACCCACAGTAGGGAATAATGGGAGTGGGACATGGAAGCAGCTGGTCAGCAGCTCCCTGATCCTTACCTGAGGAGTTTGTCAATGTAATATTTAAAGTACATGCCAAAGAGACAGTGGAGGTAACTTCAGTGGCTTGACTGGAGTTACCTTGGAAATTATCTTGATTCTTGATCTAGATGCAGACAGTGAAAAGCACACAAGTGCCTGATCAATCCTAGAATGATAGAAAATATTTTGGGAATTACAGAGAATACAATGGGAAATGGCCTTTGAAATTAGGGAGTACAAATGAGTGAGAACTCCTAAGGATAAGCCTACTGATGTGATGATAAAAATACTAACTTCATCTAGTTAATGTTAGGTGTGAGAAATCCTGCTCAAGACATGTTTTTTGTCCCTTTTCACTGTGATAAATCCTGATATGCAGCATTTTATCTTCTGAAAAAAGGGAGATACTGTCCCTTGTCTTACCATGACAACAAATGAGATGTTTTGAGTCTAGGCCATTTGACTATGTATTCTTGTCCTAGATTTATCCTGGACTACCTGTCCACTAAGTTCTGTGTAGTCTGAGTCTTCTCCCAAGCTGTACCAATGATCTGTGCCTCCATCACACTGAGACTGCATCTGCTTAATGTGCATAAGGAGACTCCATATTTTGGGGAAAGCCAGAAAAGCTATTATTGTTTAAAATCTGCTCTCTCTTGACAGGCCCAAAGAGTTCATAGAATGTGTCTCACACATTCGTTTGCTGTCCTGGCTACTTCTGGGTTCTCTGACACATAATGTTGTCTGTCCAAATTCTCCATCATCTTGCATGCCTATTCCACTGGATGCAGGCTCACAAATTGCTGACCACCTTATTGTTATTCTGATTGGGTTTCCAGAGCAATCAAAGGTAAGGGATTTCATGTTATATGTGGAGAGGTGTTGTGTGTTGGCCTTATTGCAAACACTTATTTATTTTTTTATAACAAAAAAGGAGGGATAAAACCTTAATAAAATCTGGGATCTAGGGAAAGAGGTCTCTGTAGTTTTTTTTACATAGCTGCCTCTTTATGCATGGAAAACTGATGAAATCACCACAATTAGGTTTGAAGTTCAACTACTTCAAAATGTCTCAGCACAGGAGTGAGGAAGGCAAAACTGAATTTCAAATTGAAGCTTTAGCAATGACCTAAATTGTAGCAAATCTCTCAGAAAATTATTTATCCTAGTTGTATAGTCAGGCTGGATAATTTGTAAATAATTTTATGATCAAAATAATTGCAAACAGTGATGATTCAAGCACAACTTTTTTCTCAAGGTGCTCGGGACAAGAAGAGTTATTGAAGATTATAAGACATTTGTGACAGTAGTTTAACACAAGTATAGCAGCAGTCTTTGACACCAACAAGGTTTTTATTAGTGACAGAAGTGGAATGATCACACATTTATCTTGTACATAAAATCCTCCTTTCTTTCCCTTCACCTAGCCAAGACACTGGTGCTTCCCATTCATTTCTTTGGCCTTTTTTTGCTCTTTCAAATACCTCTTTCCAGTTACCAGGCAACCATTGCGGTGTTTGGTGCAGTCAGACGACCACAGAGCATGAATTCCTGTTGCACTTGCAAACTGAGAAGACATATCTGGCCAGAATTATCTTTGTTGTAGTGAAGTAGTTAATGTCCAGCAGTCCTGGAGGCTCAGACACTGTGATATATAACAAGAATTAGCAAAGAGCCATGCTTTATGCAAAATGAGTTCTCTCTTAGTTTTTCAAAACTTACTTTCCTTGACTGTTTTCCTGTGACTGTGAGCAGTCCCAACAAAGTAGAAATGGATGACAAGTTAACAGAACACATGTAAGATCATGTATTTTGTGTGATAGCCATCCTTTTAGGTGATCAGAAGCTGAATGACTTAATCCAGTAGCATTTCTGAAATGGAGTCATATATGCCAGGGCCTCTAGGCCTTTCACAGATTGCAGTGAAATTTTCCAGGAAGAAAGTCTCAGAACTAGTCCTGAATACCTGTTTTGCAAAAGTAACCTTCTTTTAAAGGAACTGACCTTAATGCCATTCTCTTAGATTGCATGGGAGTGTGTTTGCAAATGCAGTTTTTAGTCTGAAAATATAAGCCCATTTTTTAAACATGGAGAAGATGTTATCAAGTGTACTTGACTTACTGGCTCCTACTTAGAGGGAAATATAGGAACGGGAGGGGAGAGACTGCACAGTCTTGGGATGCATGACAGAGAAGTGCTTTGATGAAAGCCTCTGCGCTGTATCCCAATACACTTACTCAAATAGACATTTTCTTGTATTTTCTGTTTCTGTACAGACATCTGTTCTGCACATGTGTTCCCTCTTCCATGCATTTATATTTGCTCAGCTCTGGACAGTGTACTGTGAACAAACAGCAGTAGCTCCGACAGTCCAGAATCAGAATGAATTTAGCTTTACAGCCATCCTTACAGCCCTGGAGTTCTGGAGCCGAGTGACACCGAGCATCCTCCAGCTAATGGCACATAACAAAGTGGTGAGTCAGGTGCTGCAGACAGATTTAGTACAGATTAAACTCGGAGAGGGCTTGGCTCTGCTTCAGTGTTTCAGTGGAGTACAACAGACTATGAATAACATCATAAAGTGACTTCGTTGCTTTTGAGAAATTAAAGGGATAGCTAATTAGTAGTGGTTTAACTTTGCAGTGGGCCTGAAACAGGATCTAACCAGGTTCTGCCTGAATCAGAATCAAGAGCTAGAGTCACTGCTTGTTGGATTAAGAGCTCCTTGAATCAGGTTTCATATATCCTGTTCTTAACTGTGATCTGTTGTTTTATCTGACTCTGCCTTACAGCAGCAATGAAGTGTTCTAGGATAATTCTATGAATATCCACTTGATTATTTTTTACCATGTGATGGTGAAAAAATGCACAGCTGCTGACAATTGACTATTCATAACTCACTGGCCACTCATCAAAAATAAGCTGCATAAATATCACTTCAGTTTTGAGTAATGAATGACCTGAAGGAGGTATCTCTAGAGATAAGAGTTGAAAAGGAAATGTTCAGTACATCCAGAAATCATCCAGACTGTTTATTTGGAAATAACTTTTAAGCATTTGTTTATCTCAAATACTCACTGCTGTTGGAGCAATTTTGTACAATAAGAACCCAGAGGGGTCCCAGCAGCCCTCTCATAGCTGGTACCATTGCTTGCCCTTGACTAATGATTCTCTGTGCCTGCAGGCTTAGGATTAAGAGCTTGTTTCTGATGGGCAAGACCTACTGTTTCCCACTTCTCAGAAAGTCATGACGGGTCAAAACTTTTTAACTGAGATGTTAACTAGTAACTGTGGCTCTGGCGAGCCTGATGTTAGCTTTGAGTGAGAAACATCCTTTATACACAACCCAGTCCGCTGAGTCAGGTGCTCTTAAGGTTTGGGTTTTTAAGGTTTGGTGCTTTCGAGTTTTTCGTTCTGTGTTTGTTTGGATTTTATTTTTTCTTTTTTAAATATGTAATTTCCCTTTCCCCATGTGAAACATCTTCCATCCCAGGCAGGCATGGACCTTGCCCTTTTAATTGTCATTGTGTGGGCTGCACTTGAATGTCTCTGAACCAATTACTATTTGCTTGTGTCTTGTCCATATCAGGCAAGGGCCACCTAAAGCTGTCTTTAGATGATATTTTAGCCTCTGACACCTAGTGAGGTCTCTGTGGTTCACAAGCCACTTTTGGGAACAGTACTTCATGAAGCTCCATTTGAAGAAATGGGAAGTGTGCATAATGTTTCTAACCAGCCAGTTGTTTAGTCAGACATAAAAGCCTCTTGTCAAGCCTTAGGACAAGAACATGACCTGGAAGTCCCAAGTTCCAATCCTGGTTCTGAAAGTATATCGTTAAGTGGCTTTAGTGCAAGTTATTAAGCTCTCTGCTTCAGCCATTGCTCTTTGAAATGTAGATAATAATACTTGCTGGTCTCACAGGGGTGTTGTGAGGTTAATTACTTAGTGTTTGTGAAACACTTTGAAGATGAAAAGCACAACATAAAAGCTAAGTTTATTATTATTGAGGGGAATTTACATGTAGTTTAGACAGGCACTGTAAATGCTCACTGCTGGCTCAGGGTGTTTGTCTTGTATCTATGAATTAACACAATATGAAATATAAAAAGCTGTCTACTACCAAATAAGTGATATTTGCATCTGTCATAAATTGTGGTACAAAATGGAAGAATTATAGACTAGCTGTCAGTTCAAAACAATAAATTGTCTTTTAATGGGGGATAAAAAGATGGGTTTTGTGAGTATGTTAATTTTCGAAGATTCAGTGAATAAAAATACCAATTTGTGACACACAGATTGATGAGAACTACACAGCAAAATAAAAACAATTTATGATGTCTGAAAAGAACAAAGCTGAAGGAAACTTGTTTTGATGTGTGATATGAATTAAAATACATCAAGCACTTGAAATATTTAATAGATAGATGTTATCGCATCAGGAGAAAACGAAATAAAAAGAATGTCCCGTATGTGCTCATGTAGTATTTAATCTTGTATGTCAGTGGTTAATAAATGCACATCTAGTGATTCAGTATAACTGCCCAGCAAATACAGGAAGACTGTGCTTAGAGAGTGTTGGCTTAGCTTACTACGTTGTTATGCTGGACATTGTTTGATTTTATGCTTGACTTTTTTTTCCAAGATGGTGGAAATGGTGTGCCTGCATGTGATCAGTTTAATGGAGGCTTTACAGGAATGCAACTCTACTATCTTTGTAAAGGTAGGCGTACCATACCATGAATATTTACTTAATGCTGCTGCCTGACTATTGTGATGTCTAAACATACTGTCCTCTGCTTCCCCTCCCACTGAGAAAAAGAAAGTGGAAGAAACTGAAGTTGAATGATAATGCAGAAATAAAATGTAGTAGAGCATAATGAAAAGTAAAATCTCTGGTAAGAAGACCAGACCATAATCTCAAATTCAAGTTCTCCTGATTTTTTTAAGGCAACATTTAATCTACTTCCTCTTTGCGTTGTTGCAATGGTCTTAGTCCTCTACTAGACATAACTGATGTTGCTGACTTTGGGAACTTCTAGCTAGTGTCTGAATTTTCAGCCATCTTTTAATCATCATAGGTCCTTTGCAGATCAACTCACTGTGCTGAGCCTCCTGTTTTTAGGTGAATAACAAAACATTCGTGCCACAGTGGTTTTCTTGTTATTTTATGTGTACCTGTTGATTTTTTAGAAATCAGTAGTCAGTCTCCTATGAGTTACCACAGTGTTTGCAGAATAGATTCCCAAAGGAGTAGGGTAGTCTCACAAGCATAAATTGATTTTACTAGCCTTTTTTACATGTTTTCACAGTGCATTATTCTGAAGAGAGTTTTCACATGAAATATAAGCAAATCAAGTAGTTAAGGTTAATATAGTTCTTCTGTTGCCATAAAGGAAACTTCTGACTGTTGCTTTACTCCAGTCTTTTATGATCCAGCAAGAATTGAAAATAAAGTAGCTAAAATTGAAGGTCTTTTATGTCAACTGGCATAAAAGCATTCACATTTACTGTGAAAATACAGGTTTATAGTCAGTAATGGCTTGATTCACTACAGAAATTCTGTCACTAAGGGATGTTAAAGTGATTATGGCTATCCCTGGAAGACATGTAGGCTTCTCTTTCAGCCGTCCAGGATGTTCAGAATTTGGCAAGGATGAAGAATGGCTTTAAAGCTGTGAAAATAGAGGCCTTTAGGGCCAAATCCCTGTCATGATTCAAATGAATGCTTTCAAGGGGGTTATATTTGAGAGTATATATTAATACTGTGCTAAATCAGGTTAAAAGGACATTGTTGTTACTACAAAATCAAGCTCATAAAACTGTGAAACTCAGAGTTAAGTTGCTAAGCTTTCATGTTTAGTGGATGGGAGATGGAAGAGAAGAATCTGGGTGACCAAATCCCCTTCATTCAGCCCTAAAGTGAAATCCTGAAAGAACAATATACATACATAATGGTACTATAGGATTTTTAGTTCCAGGTTACTATATTTTTTTTATAACTAAGTGTAAAAGTAGGTACTGTAGATCTGAAAAGTATGTGTCATAATTTAGGGAAAGACTTACTGTATTGTTTAAGCCCTTCAGAGATTCAGCAGCACAAAGTTTACAGAGGAACCTGTGAGTGGCTTCTCTATAATTTAAAAAAAAATCAAATTTGATACTGTCTCTTCTTCAGTGGCTGTGAAGTGGATCTGAACTTTGTTACTCCTACTTCAGAAGTCTGCAAGGATGACAATTCTTTGAAAACAGTTGACTGGACAGTCTTTTGGTAGCTTGTTTTATTCTAGACAATTTTATCTTGTGTTTTAAAGATTTTTGTTTCTTTTATTTTAGATGTAAGTCTTTCAAACAAGGTTTAGTTTTCACTGAAGGAAAGGACATAGTGTAGTGAGATATATTTTTTTATACAGAACATTGTTTACACTTTCAGAGATTCATTCAGCAAAATTAATAATTACCAATTATTTTCTCTTGGAACAGAGCTCATTAGCACTGAAAAATATTGACCATTTATCATTCATATAATGATGTTTACTGCAGTGTCTTTTATTCTGTCTAAGGATTCAGGTGCTGCAAGAACTTACTTTGTTAATGAAGTCATGGCATGACTCAACACACACATTTTTAATGCACCAAAATGAGAAGGTGGTGCATGTCACATGGTGCCAGGCAGTTTAGGGGGTAGCTATCCTACCTAGGTGGTCATTTTATGTATGACAAGTGAGGGGAAATTTGTCATAAAACAAGCGAGAAAGAGATGACATAAACAATCTCCTTCACTGAAAGAAGAACTTTCTTTACACCTGAGATAAGCATTCCTTCATCTCCTCCTTGTGTTGGTGCTGTGCGATTTCCTCCTCCTGGTACCATTGGCCTTTGCTATTAAATTAAAGTCACGCTGATAGCATTGAGGCAGGTCTTGATTACTTCCTGTAGTCTTTGAGCCATTCCATATATTCACAGAGGATATTTTTTGGATCTGATATTAGACTATCTTTACCAGTCTGCTGCAGAAAACAAAGTTGCTTTCTTGTGAAAACATTTCAACCATTATGCATTTAATTTTCTTACTAAGTTGTAGTGAGATATATATATACACACACACATTTACACAGATGCACATATACCTGCATCTATATTTAATTCATTATATATTCCTCTGAGGGGAAGCATTCTGCTTTAGGAGAGCTTAAATAGAAGTGTTCGATTTTTCTCCTGTTTTATTATGTCAAAGGAACTGGGAAACTGGCCATCCCAGTGATAGTTGTTGATGATGGGGACCAGCTCCTTGCTAATCACATCTTTGTCTGACCATCAAATGTACCTCTGAGGAACCTGGGGGCTTACAGTAAAGACAGGAACAGCTCACCAATCACAAGGCCATTTTTAGAGATTCAGGGGTTCTAGGCAGCTCCAGCAGCTGCTGGGTAGCTTTCTAGAGAACTGGGCAGGCAGCAGAGTTGGGAAGCCAGAACAGCACAGTGACCAGTCTATTGTACAGCCTGATTTCCATAAAAAATTGCTTTGGAATCAATATAATTCCATTGAAAATATAAACTCAAAAAATTTAACATTGTCTGACAGCACTCTGTTCTTCCAGCTTTTCTAACTACCTTTATGTATTCTTCCTTTGTGAAGAAAAGGTGGCCTAGGGATTAGTTAACAAAACTCAAATGCTTCAATAAAAATGTCTTCTTGTCTCATTTATCTGTCTGGCAGCTGTAGCACTAGAGGATTTGCTTGCTTGTGCCTGCAGCAGAATGTTGTGTTTCCCTAAATGAGTTCAGACCCTGGAAGACAGAAGTGGTGCTGGAGGACAAAGATCTGTATCTAACCTTAGACCTCTCCGTAAGAGACGTCGATATAAGCTAGTTTCCATAAGTGCCCTTTATAGTCAGTGGAGATAAACAGTATTTTTGGACATGATTCATCTTGATCTATTTTAGATACTTGCTTTGGGACAAGATGAACTGGATGTGAAGTGCTTCATTCTCTCAGCTGACTGTAAAAGTTGTCCAGTGAATTGGTTCAGATGCAGTGGGGTATCCTAAGTTTTCTACCTAGCTTCCCTCCTTGCTTGACATACTTCTGACACCAGTCCTGTCACCACTGGCTGTCTGCATAGGAACTTTGTTAATGCTGGATGAAATTTTCAGTGACATTTTGTTGATGGCACTGGGGCACAGAGCATGGCTTCTCAGTATAAATACCTGTTTTCTCCTCACCAAAGAACACTCCAGCAGTCACTGGATTTTATTAAGCACTTCATTAGTGTGAGAGCCCACAGAAGGATGTACAGAGCTCACGTCTGCTGCATCTGGCTGCATTCCAGCTGTTTTGGCATTCATCTCTCTGTAAATGCTGAGGTTTGACTATGGTTCTTCATGTGGTAGACTTAAGTAATGAGTCCTGACAGAGCTGCATATGATTCTCCAGCAAAACAGCACTGAAATTGAAACAATTATCATTCCTTGCACAAGGGAAGCAGCACTTTATCTAATGTTGTCAATAGTGATTAGGTTTAACTTGCAGCTCCCGGAAGCGTAATTGGCAAATTGCAAAGTTTAATGCCATTTGGAGGAACATTTTAGAACAGTAACCTCAGTGGTTAAATTAATATTGGAAAACATGAATACTTTTGCTAGAAATGCCTCTCTGTCTTCCATAAGCTTGTCATGTTACACTTACACAGAAGTAAAACTTCCCTAAGGAGCAGGAGTCTGAAATGCATACCAGTCCAGTTCAATAGCAAGTGACAGATTTGTATACCTCCTCACCTTTTAATTCTGGATAGTTTTTACCTGTTCTACCAGGCCTAGAGAATGTCTTACATCCTGCAGTGAAGCACTGATGTGACTAGTCCTTATAAAATGCTGGTTACCATTTAAATATATGGCATTTTATTAGGAACCTCTGCTGCATGTTTTTTTCAGTTCCCGATGAATGCCTCACGTTGCAGAATGTTTACTGTATTCACTCCAGTACTGCTCACCTGCATATACAGAAACACCCTCACAAGGAAAATAAGTGATTTCCTTTAACAAGTTTTTATTCTGTACTCTCATCATTGCCTTAAACAGGATATTAATAATTGTTACCAGTGATTCATCAAGCTAGAAACAAGGGGAGCTGGCTTCTTTACCTCCAACAGTTACCTTCCCCAAAACATATGCATCATTTAAAAATAACCACATTCTCAGATTTGTGGTTCAAACTATGTCAATTCAAATGGCTAAATGCATTAGATATATCCTTTTCTGTCTCACAGTAACTGAAGCATGTTTACAGTCACTTGTGTAATAACAAAATATACCTCTCGTCTTACAGCTCATACCAATGTGGTTGCCAATGATACAGTCAAACCTAAAGGTGAGTATTTTTCTAGTACCTTATCTTTTTATTCTTGGTGTTATACATTCCTGTAAATTCTGGAAGTAAGATCACTAGATGCGGGTCTCCAAACTCTCTCAAAATAGATCCTTTTAGTGTGTCCAGATGAAGATCTCAAGTTTGAGTATACAGAGCATCACTGGCTGAGATACTTGCCCTGTAATCAGTACTGCTCTCCTTTTCCCTTCTGAAACACTTTCCTGTAACCTGCAGGTTCTGCATCGAGGCCTTTCCTCAATATTTACTGAGATTGGTTGTTCCCTGATCTGTGGTTTTCTTTGATGTCTTAGGCTTGAGAGTCCCCTGACAAATCAGGATTGTGACTGTTGACTCAAGAGATAGATTTGGGTTCTAAAGCAGGTATTATGGGCTTGGGTAAAACTGTGCCAGCTGGCCCTCCTCGTAAGAGAGAGCAAGGTGGATCGAAGTGGTTTGTGAGTCAAGAAAATTTTGGTGAAGAGAATAAAAGTCTTGGAGTTGGTGTCAATATGGAGTTGTTTCTGTAAGCACATTTGCCCTCTGTGGCAACACTACAGTGCAGGATGTGGAAGAAAGAAATTCAGCACTCGGGCAGGTGTAAGAACTTTCCCTGGCCAACAACCTGTACCTGTCACAGTGCTGTATTAAAGGAAAGAAACTGAATGGTTTGCATTATTTCAACAGCATTTATCTGCTGGACTACAGCTACGCCTCCAAGCCATCCAGAGCAATGTCAACCATCACAGCCTAAGGATGTTACAGGGGTCAGGACAAATGAACAATAGCTCGTCTGTGCTCCGCAAATGGCTACAGTGTACCCAGTTCAAAATGGCTCAAGTAGAAATTCAGTCATCAGAAGCTGCGTCTCAATTTTATCCTTTATGATTCGTGTAATTTGTTCCAAAATATTAATTTTTTAGCCTAGCAATAACAGAGTTAGAGCTGTAAAAGACCTTTTGTATAAGTCAGTATACAGAGTATATACTGTATCTATACTTTTTAGCCTAGGACAGATTGTGAAAAAGCTTATAATGGGTGAAGCTCAGAGCCTGATCCTGCTAGTTTATAATTACAATTACTCAGGATCAACAGGTTCTAAGTCTGCATTCATGAGCATATATTTGGAGGATTGGACTCAAATCTATCACACTGTACATATCTCTCTGATCATTGAAATATCTTGTTCTTAAATGTTTCTTTACATTATTTTTGAAGCTAAGACGAAAATCACTTTTCTTTAACTTCTATTTTTTTTAAAAATAGAATTGTGGGTATTCACAAACATGGAAGTGCTATGTTGCTATTTTTTTGACAATAACAAAATAAAACTGGGTTTTTAGGAACCTTTATAGGAGTTTTTAGGGGGGGATGTCTTTTTTTTTTTTTAGATTCACAGCTGGCAATGCAATAAAATCTGTCACTATAAAACAGTGATGTTCTAATGAGGCTTTTTGTCATCATCTTCTGGGAAAACAGCAGCTTGTAAGGAGAGTTGTTATGAAGTGCACTTAGAAATTAGGTTGTTAAACTGTGCCAATTCATTCGTCTTTTTTTCAGTACGTTTTCCAAAACTGCCAAGTCTGATTTATAATTCTTTGAAATACTGCTTTTACTTCATTGATTCTCTGCTGCTCTTCTTTGTAGGTTTCATAGAAGCCTTTTTAATTTTGTGATTACTGTATTGTATTCTTCTGTCAATACTTGTATACAGTGCAATTAAAAATGGATATCCCAGATCTATTCTTATTGATGTCTACAGAATTTATGTTGCAGACTTCAAGAGGAGCATGATTGGACCTGAAATTTTGCATAATGGTATTTACAAATCCCAGCATTTGCATACTGCTGTATTAAACATGATGTTTAATAACAGATGGATTTTAATATTGTTAGGGGACTCAGCCAAAGCCCATTGGAATCTAAGGAGAATCAATTAACTCAGTGGATTTTACATAAAATCTTGAAAGCATCATAGTTTACCACCTCTTGTAATAAATACTTAAATCTGTGCAATCCCAGTTGTATTTTCTGTATTTATTCTGTAATGCACTGATTAGAAGAATAACAAACATTAAGTTGTATATTAGAATGCTATTAAATCCCTAGTCCTTATTACCACTCTCGGAATCTGCCTAGGTACATCTCAGCTTTTGTGAAGGGTCAATCTTTCCTCACTGCATTTACTAAAATAAGAATGGAAATGTTTGCATATATGCCACTATAATACCATTATACATTAAAAAACAACAATCAAAAATAAAACTAACCTATGAAACACAGAAAAGACAGTAAGGCATGTGCTAGCTTGCTTAAAATAGCCCCCTATCTGTGTTTTCAATGGGGAGAAATTGATTTGGCTTTCCTTCCTTCTTAGGATTCACACATTATAGGGTCTAAGCTTAAATGGCAAAGGGGGCATTCAGTACTTCAACCTTTTCCACGTCATGTATAACCAGGTGCCCTGTCTTATTCAGCAGCAGGTCCACATTTTCCCCAGTCTTCCTTTTGTCCCCTATGTACTTATAGAAGCCCTTCTTTTTGATATCCCTTGCCAGCTTCAAATACTGCTGGGCTTTAGCTTTCCTAACTTCATCCCTGGATGACTGGACAATGTCTCTGCATTTCTTCCAGAATGCCCATCCTTGCTTCTGCCCTCTGTATGCCTCCTTTTTGTGTTTGAGTTTGGCCAGGAGTTTTTTGTCTGTCCACACAGGTCTCCTGGTGTTTTTGTCTGACTTTCAACTCATTGGCATTGTCATGAATGACAATGAGGTCAAATAATCCCCGGCAAAGGTATCGGCAAAAGCAGGTTTAATATAAAAGTGAAAGTTGGCAAGGTCCACTCTCCTATTTTCGTCGGTGGCTACAGCACACAGAGAAAAATCAGACTAAAATCAATAAATCATTCTAAAACTAAAATCAGCCTAAAATGATCTACATGGAGGCTGGGGATGAAAAAGGGATAAGGATAAAAAGGAATGAGAGACACCCTCCTATTGAGTCACAAGGGTTCAGAGTGGACCTTCTTGCTGAACTGAACAACAGTGTTTAGGCCTAAAGGTTTTAACAGCACTTAACAGCACTTAATTGATAGCCTAATTTAAACAATTTAACAAAAGATACTATAGAATTTACTATAAACAGTAACTCACTTATAGGCCTATCTTACTTATGCACCTAACACGTTTAAGAGTCTAAGAGAGGAACATTCATAGTACATTTGCTAGAGCACATTTGCACTCACCATGTCTTCTTCTTGGTTGTGTCTGCAACACAGGTGATAACTTTGCTGGGTAACCACATAAATAGGGCCCAGGTTCACTATTGTGAGGACTGGGATCACCCTAATGAAACAGGAGTGCTATTGGGCCCCTGAAAGTGGGACATGTAGGAGAGAGATATGTTTGTGTTTTGATGTGCTGTGACCCGGTGAATCTGAAAGACAACTGAAAGGCAAGGAGAGGGAGGAAATATGAGGCCCTCGGGTGGGTACAATGGGAACTGTGGAAACTTGAAAGATGAAGACATGATTTGCAGGGAAGAGCAGAGCCTGAGAAAATTTGTCTTTAAAGCTAACTTCTGGAAAGGAGAATCTATGATCAGGCATCTCACTTGGTAGATAATGCATGTAGACAATGTGGCATAAGTGCTTTCCCTGCCTAGCAAAATCTCTGCTTCAAAGCATCTAGTGTTCAGACTGGCAAAACACAAAACAAATGCAAATATAGTGGTGGGTAGTTATTAAAATTAAACACAAGCCAAAACCAGACCTGCTGAATCCAGGTCTGGAACTAAACACTTTAAACCTTTGTGGGAATTGAGATCTGGTTTCAGCTCTGGGTTTAGAGATAAGAGCTGGTCACAGAATCTACTTCCATTTTTGAGCATAGGGTTTAGTATGTATCTGTCACTGATTATAATTAATACGGTTCCTATGGAGCTGTCATGCGTAGGCAAATTAAGACTACATATAAACTGAGAAGCTGCTTTAGCACAGAGAATACAGCCTGGAAGATGGTATGACCAATGATTAGGGGTATGTGGACTAATAAAAACAAATAGCATGGGGCTTGGCCAGGTATGTGTGCTTTAACACTTCATGAAAATCTCTTTAAGTGCACTCTAGGGATCTTCAGAAGTACAGAAATCTGCATTAGTAGTTTTTTAAAGCACTGTAAAATATATCTTTACTCTGCCTGAGGTCAATATACAACTCAAGTGAGTCACTCACATTAAGTCTCTGAAATAGCCTAGAGCAGCAATTCTTTATATTCTGTAGGAAGATTAGGAAGTAAATAACATTTGGTGTTCCCTGAAAATGCTACCAAGTAGCAGGGGCCAATCTTTCTGCTCTGCCACGCTCCCAGAGTGGCTGTGTCTCTGTGCACATGTCACTAGGAGCAGAATCCATCCTCCGTCTGATCATAGAGACCTGCCATTTAGGAAGAACGTTTAGTCTTCTGTTGAAATAAGCTGCTTAAATCAACGCCTGTTACCAGGCCTGACCTAGTAAAAGAATCAATTTACTGTGTGCTGAACTGTGAAATTTCCAACAACAAGGGGCACTTTGGATGAAGCGATGGTTAAAACCTCACACCGGCTGCAGTGCGTCCTACCGCTGGGTTACATAACCCGTGTCCTGAGTGCGGGGTTAATGTCTACGTGGGCATCTCAGGGTGCTTTCCTCTGCCTGTCAAGAAAGCCATGGCCTGAGCTACACACAGGGTCACACAAACAAAGGCTTTTGCAGCACATCAGTTACTATCTACATACATGCCTTATCTTGTACGTAATGTTTCTGCAACGTGTCATTAGAGCCATGGCAGTCCAAAGGCCCTAAAAACACAGTTGGTTTTCTGGCTTTCTTTTCCATGCTATGACAGCAGTCGATGTGCTCTAGGACTGACGAACATTCTGAGATGGAAGATCTTTCTGAACTCTGGCCTGCACAGCCTCCTTTCAAGCTGGATGAAGATTACCAGAGCCCAGGGCTGTTTGTCTTTGCTATCGTGTCCTGGAAAAGAGCTCTGCAGCCAAGAATCCTGTGCTGTTCCCCCAGCTGCACGCAGCTCTGGGAGAGTTCTATCCACAGTTTTTCTTGTTGACTTTTACAGCAAGGCTGAAGTCTGTTTTTTTCAAAAGGATCTGAATCTCGATTACACAGCAGCCATTTAGTCAACAATGTGGGTCTTCATTTTAGCAGTCTACCTGAAGTCAGGAAGAGGCAACAGCATTACAGTTTGTGGGACTTGATGCAAATTAGGAAGGAAGGGCTCTGCATTTGTCATTTGATTTATAACTCTGAATTACTCTATGCCCTTCAGCCTCTCCCTGCTGAGAACAATTTCAGCTGGAGGCTGAGCATCAAGGGACAGCAGTGAGAATTGTAACCGAAGGGGAAGGTATCCTGGTGGTCTCCAACTGCAAAGGGCTCAGGAAGAGAACTTGAATCCACCCTTGGCATTGCCCTCCCCGGGGCTTGCTGATGGGGAGTTGGGCTATCACTGGAAATGCCTCCAGTCAGATAACAGGAGGCCACATGACAGTGAGACCTGACCCGTCTGGTGAGCTGCTATGGTACCTAAATCCTGCAACTGGGAACTGGGGGGATTTCAGCTATCACTGTGTATGGTTTGTGTATGATAATGTGTGCAAGGGGCAGGAGGGGGTGAAGAGCTGGCAGGGCTTGGGAAGGGTGGCTGGTTTCTTCATTCATCATTATGAAGCATTAACATGGAAAAGCAGAACCCATGACTCAGTCATTGAAAGTCTACATCATGAATTATTTTCCAGCATTTTGCTGGAATTTGATAGATACCACAGGGCTTTCAGCCAACTGGCGAGCAGCCTTCTGTGCCTTGCCCCAGGTAACCTACTCTAACACTGCATTTAAACAGCTCCTCATCAAACCTGACAAGCCATGACTGAGAGCTGGGAGGCTCTGAGTTTGATAGACACGATGTAATGCTAGGTTCAGTTTTCTCAATGCATAATTCAGCAGCTGGGCAACATAACTGTTACAGCTGTTCTACTACTTTAAATCCTTTTAGAAAGGTACAATAGCACATCTGTGAAGTTTTACACACAGAATAAAAATTTTATAGGTAATAGATTTTTTATACAGGTTAGCTTTTCTGGCAGCTCCACTACTTTCATGTCCAATTGATTGCAGTAAAATTCTTTACAAAAGCTTTGCTACACCTGGGAATCCTTGTCATGCAGGAAAAGTACCAGTAAAACAGAATATAAAGGACTATCACTAAAAGATATCGTTAGTGATATCCAAAGAAAGTACAAACTGCCAGACATGTAGCGAAATCTACAGAGAAGTACGATTTATACCTGTTACAGATCACACCCTGTATTTATAGCTCAGAAGGAGCAAGGCCTGATATGGTGAAGCAACTGAGCACCACAGCAATATGTGTTTCAGGTGCTAGTTGATTCCAGGGAGGTGTCAGATTAAACTGCTAAACTGATGCAGCCATGATCTGATTGTCCTCCAGATTCATTTATTCAAGACCAGGTTTTGCCATCATTTTAGAATCAAGTTAACAATGGAGATTTTATTCTTTGTCATGTGTGTGTGTGGCATATCTGTTCTCCTGTTTGCTCTGATCACACACAGAGTCCAGCACCTTCCTAAATCGTCTTAGTGCTCCAGAAGCTGCAGCTCAACTATTGCTCAGGAGATCCTGTTAACTGTACCTGATCAAAGCATTTTTCACATTTTTCAATAGCATATAAAATCATAGTATTGGCATTTTCCTCCCTGTGATCACCACCCTTAAGACACCAATCCGGCTCATGTCAGATGTTCATCTGTTGTAAGTGTGTGTCCTGAGTAACAATAGCCCAGACATGTTTTCAAGCTTTCCCAGGAAAAATGTTAGAGGACCATATTATTTTACCAACTGATTTTGTTAGGCCAGCTTTCAAATTTAAAATAGTTTATTTCTTTTTCCTTGCACCAGACCCTATATCAGTCTCAACAACATTTATGCTTGGATCCCAGTCAGAACTTTCTCAGCCCATCTCTAATGATTATTTAAGATCCATTAAGAGTTGTCAGGGTGAGAAAAGCTGTACAAGCCAGGACAAAAATATGCTTCCTACTG